AGAGATCAAAGTAGTACATCTCCAACCATCACCTGGATGTTCAATTATTAGTGTCAACGATTCACAGAAGACGGACCTCATCTTGGTTTTGCTAGAGGGGAAGATTTCTGTAAACCTATGGATAACTGAATTAAATTATAAATTACTACAACAGGGAAGCCATTCCTTGTTAACAGTGTGATAAATAAGGGTAGCTGGATGCACATCAATCACACCTGAAACCAAATCAGACAATTAATAAAGTGTAAGTATATTTCTGAAATAGCTGCCTATTTAAATATAGAAGACTTGCTTTAAGGAACAGAATCAAAGATGTTCAGCACTGCATTCCAACACCTGTCCTCCCCCGCTTGCAAAAACATCTGTGAAAGTATTTTCAATAATATTTTTCTATTTCTTAATGTACCAACTTTTAAAGCATATAATCCCTTCAGGTACAAAGAGGCCCAGTCCTGGAGCCCTTGCAGTCCTGTGTGCCTCCTCTGCAGTATGGAAATTATTGAGGAAGTTACAGGACCGGGTTAAAATTTGGCTTTTACTTCCAAAGTGCTGCAATTTCATTGGATAGCATTGTTTTATACTGTTAAGTACTAATATCTATGCAACATACTTTGCAAACAGCTATCAGCACCTTGGAACATCAGGTAACAAATCAGGTCAAATTACAAGTTAAAAAACCCACAAAAGGCTTAAGGGAGCTTAAGATCAATATCGCTGGAGCAACCACTTACTTCAGACACTTGGGCTGAAAAGCTTAGGAGTGGCTGAGCCCCTTGAGACTCTGTTTAGCTCCATGGAGGTCATGAAGATTAATATATACTTGTTCTGAAAACTGGGTTATTGATGTGCTCTGCAGGGTACACGAAGAGACACACAGACCATAAACAGCAATTTGTTATCAAAGTAAAACGGGAGAACACGGGTTATTCTCCACCTGGTGCTCAACCATTCCCTTATCCCAAAATACGTGACTTTCTTCCCTTCCCCTTAGGATAAAGTACTGTTACTTTTGAAAATATGATAATTTACACTTTCGAAGCGTTACAGAAGTTGATTTCTGATGACTTCACGGAAGGCATGTTCAACTTCCTACTGCTGAATAGACAACTCAGAATCAAGCCTGTTCTTTAAGAATCTTTGCAAAAAGATTTTCAAAGCCTTTTCAGCATCTTTCATAGTAACAATTTTTCATAACTAACACACTAAAGATGTCCACAGTGCAACCCACCCATAAAATCCAAGTTAGCCAAGGCATGGCTACTGAGCCTAAATTGTTCTGATCTGTGAACAGCTATCTGCAATGAAAGCCGACCCGTGTAATCCTGTTGTTTACACGATACAATGCACGGATGTTGCATAAAGTACCTCCTTGGTAACTAAGCCTTGACATCAAATATAACGCTGGTACCGCTGATGTCAGAGAACTGTGGTCCCTCAGCACGACGGTACAACAGCACCCTCTCTCAGGGCACACAAGGAATACAGAACTGCAGAAGGAATCCTCCAGACACTTTAAGTAGCTGGTTTGACTGGCAACTGATATTTCCACCCAACCTGTTTTTTGAGGGGTGAAAACAGCCAAAGTCTGAGTGGTTTGTACCTTCTGAAGGGTTGACTGTACCCTCCTACGCCCACCAACCCAGGCCAGAGCTGCTCCACTGCCTGAGGAAGGGGATGAAAAGCTCCTGCCCACACAGCTTTGGGCAGAGCTGCCTCCAGCAAACGGGGAGGGACAGAAACCTGTGAGCAGGGCCCTGCACTGCTGCTGACAACATCACACCCTGCTGCCTCTATGGGTTCTTCATTGGATCTTGCTTCTGGACATCTATGAAAAGGAACTTCCTAGCCCCAGGTTACCATTCACCCCAAAATCCACATCCGCATTCAAGATGATTCCAAAACTAAAATAGTAGAATAATTTTTTGACAGTATAGAAAGAATTAGATAACAAAGCCCACATATCTTCAGTGTAACATATACCAAGCTTCTTCCTTCACTCAAGGGTCTCAAAATATACTGCAGTCAGACCCTTTTCAAGAGCTCTGTGGAGACTACCTTCCATTTTGCGATTTCCTACTCTGATAAGGAATTCACTACTCCCTGCACCACCTCCTAGTCAGGACTGGAAATGTTTGTAAAGTTATATCTCCTGAGAGAACAAAGAATTAAATTAGGAAAATGATACAAAGCAACGGTTCAGATGAACAATTTTAATCAGCCTTAGTGAACGGTGTTCACTAAGCAGTAAATACAATTAATGCGGAAATCCTTTTCCTTTCTCAGTCTGGAAGAGATGGGCTAAGTTTTTCCACTACTGGAACTGACAGAAAAAAGCAACTAGAAGTGCTTTGGATTGTCATCTCCACATAACCAGATGTATGACACTTCCCACAAGCAATACTGCACAATCAACAGGTAGCCTAAGAAGAAGCCAGTGTTAACACTTTCAAAGGGTATAACTTGCATACTTCCCTAAACTCTTTAAGACCCACACAATTTATTTCCTGCTTTATTAATATTTTTACAGCAGCTCCCATTCGAGCATCAGAAACACAAACGAAACCAGCACAACCACAACCTCAGGCAGTGAGGAAGTGCAACACCACCTTTGTCACAGAGCAGAAAACAGTTTTCTGAAGGTCACTCAGGGAACCTCTGTCAGAGCCAAGACTAAAACTCAGACTAGCATTTTTATCCATGAGCCTGTCTTCCTTGGAAAATATTCCATTCTAATCTAGACTGAATGTTTGATTTTTAATTTTGAACACTGTAATTCTAATTCCATTCTCAACATAGATTCAGTTTTCACCTCTTCAGTACTATTTTAACCAATTGGTTTTATATGTTTTAGTAAGACCACAAATGTGGTTGGTTCTGACCTAGTTTTAAATCTCGTTCTCTTCTCTTATCCCATTGCACAACGAAAAAAAAAAGGCACAGTTAAGTAATACTAAAAAGAAATCAATCAAATAATATGAAAACAGTAACCTAAGGTTTATTTCCCCAGATGAAATATTGCCCTGCTTCCTGAAATAGTACTGTTGGCATGCTTTGTATTTTGATGACAAAAATAATTTTACTAGCTAAGTATTTTAAATTGCAAAGAGAACCAGATGACTAACATACTATGAAAGAATAATTAATGATTTCATTGTTTCTTTCTAACTTGCACTGTTCACAACAACTGCTTATTTAGCTCTGTTTAGTTGCTGATTTAAGGACTTTTTTGCAGCCTATTTCAGGTTGATTGCAATTCAGGTTGTGGTACTGAGATAACTCCCACTCCATCCTGCAAATGTTTCTTTCCTGACACATCCTGCCCTAACTTGCAATTCCAGGGATTAGTGTGGTCTCTTCAAGTGACTGCAACATGGTCTGATTCTCTGCATGCTGGGATATATGCAAGGCATTCTCCAAAATGCCTGGTTCTTTAAAGGGAAAATTAGGAAGACACAATCTCAGGACAAATGTTCTTTTACACATAAAGTAAAACTGGAAGTCCATTTATTTGATAGCAAACCAGAATTTATGATACATTCAGGAAGTCCATAAAGTCTTAGGAAAAGTGGAGTCTCATAGGGAATGAAAGGGCATGAACAAGTGGATTGTGGAGAACAGTGAGATCTGAGACTGTCAATCTTAACATCAAATCTGTAAATGTAAAACGAGGACAGTATTTACCCACAGCTTTCATGGATGTCACCTTTTTGAAGGAATGAGTGTTCCTTACTATTCTTTGAAGCTGAAAAGGACAGTTCACTATAATGAGAAATAAAACTGATAGTGGTTTAAGAGCAAAATCTTTACAGTATCTTAATACAGCTTTATTGTATTAATTATACTCTAATTATGAGATAGTCTGACACAATTCACTCACTGTAGATGACATACCAGGCAGAGAGTTAGAAAAAGCAGAATGTACAGAGAGAGGTCTCAATCCTGCAAACTGTCCTGCATGGACACATCACAAAGTCCAGAGGACAAAACGTCATCCCGAGGTTAACAGCTGCCTGTTCAAACAGAAGGATTTACTCACACAACACAGAGTGCAAGGTCAGGGACACCATTCAGACAGCACAAAGCTCTGTGAGCTGTGAGGAGAAAGTGGCTGAACATATGGATTTTCCATTCTTGGAGAAATTCCATACCAACAGGGACCTGTGTAAGCTCTCTGGGTGAACCTGCTTTGTGCAGGGGGTTCAATGGGCGATATCCTTCCAACCCCAACTATCCTGTGATTCTGAAATATTCCATTCGGACACAATCTGCTTGATCAGAAGACAGACACCAGCTGTTATACTCTCAGGGAGAATCCTCAAAGACAAAACACGTTGTGTCCGCAGATCTCAGGGAAAGTTCAGGACTTTTTGGTACTTTGCAGGTGATTACACACTTGGGAAAATATTCTCAAAATCTTCATCAAGACTGTGCTTGTGAGCTAGAATTATCATACTTCTGTGAACATAACATTGATTATACATCTGGATGGCATTTTTCAGGGTTGTCTCAAACCCACTCTCCTATCATACAGGCAGCAGACAGGGAAATCAGCTATGACTGAAGGATGCCCTCCAAGCCAGACAGCTCTGCACAGTCAGGTACAGCACCAGCTCCATCTTGAAATTGCTATTTAAGAATCCTAGAGGTTAACCAGCGCTGTGGGATCAGCCCAGGATTTGGGGTTTCTGGGCTAGGTCATGTCCAGCCTCTCACCCACCAGCACCCCCAGGTCGCTCTCCCCAGGGCTGCTCTCCATCTGTTCACCCGAGCCTGGATTGATCCCAGGGATTGCCCTGACCCAGGGACAGCACCAGCACCCGGTTTTGGTACAAACATCCGGACAGGACACAGCTGGAAAAGGCTCCGGTTCCACAGACAACACGACAGCCCCCATTTCAAAGTGCCTCAGGCTGAGAGCCCCGCTGTGACCGAGTGTCCCTTGTCAGGAGAAGGGGACAACCGGCGCCCTCCAGGCACGCGAATTGACACAACGCTGCCAACCAAGGCCGGCAGGGCCCGCCCGCCCCGCCGCCATCTCGCGGCGCGGCCCCCGCCCCGCCCGCTCCATTTCCCGGGATCCCGGAGCCCGGCACCGCTCCGCAGGCACGGGAAGGACGGGACCGGCGCAGCAGGTACGGGCTGGGACCCCCGCGGGACCCCCGCGCTGCCCGGGGAGGGGAGTTGGAGGCCGAACGAGCTCGTCACGAGCGGCTCCAGACTCGCCTTGTCCCCTGCAGCCCTCTGTCCTCCGCGTAAAACCTCTGCTCTGAGGAATCCCGGGGCTGAGCGTCCTCCCGCGCCTCGGTGGGGAGATGAAAGGCTGCAATTAAAGCGTGCAATAGATTGGTGAATAACCGAATGTGCGGTGATATTAAAACTCAGATTGGTTTTAATGTATTTGCAATGTGACTTGCAGGTCCGTTTCACCATATAGTGCCAAAGGAAAGAGGATGGAAGCAGGAAACGCTGCCAAGGAAAGAGTCCTCATTACTGGCGGAGGGGGTTATTTTGGCTTCCGGTTAGTGCATTAAATGGTTATTACATACAGGAATAAATGTAAGAGATTGCTGCTGGGGAGGCAACAAATTCCATCTGTAAAACGGAAAACTGTGTCCCTGAGATGCCTGATCCAGTTCAGTCCATCTTCTGGTTCATGTGGGCTCTCAGTTTTAAAGAAGCATGTTAGTCTGTCTCCAGATGTTGTAAGTAACTCTGTTATCCTGTTTCCAACTGTCAGGCACCAGCTGCCTCGCCGACATTTACCTGTCTGAGCACCTCTGTAATGGGGGTCAGATCACCACCTTTCAGCCTGCTCCAAGGGACAAGCCTCCACTTGTACACACATCTTTCTTTTGACCTGCAAATAGTTACACACTGCTTAGCTCTACAGATTAACTACTCCAGCTGCTCTCTCAAAAATACATTTATTTTCATGGGCAGTAATATTTTAGGATTAGAGCTGTTAATAAGGTACATATTTCAGTGAAGTCCATTTACTGTAGCTGGTTCTGCAGGCCTTGTAACGAAAAAATCCTATTTTGAGCCCTAGACTATCTTGAGTACCTGCACAGTTAGAACTGCTTACAGAGGGGAGAGAGACCACAGTCAGGACCAAAAAGTAAATGCCAAGTGGGAGGAGGGGAAAAAAAAAAAAAATCTCAGAAGAACCCTATCCAACTTCTGCTTGGCTTTTTCTTCCACTATCTCCCACTTAAAACACTATAGACATAAAACAGCTGTAGGAAAGGGGGGGAGAAACACCAGAGTTATACTTTGTGTCAATACCTGTATTTATACCTGCAACTTGGAGTAAAATGTGGCATGTGGCAAGGTATTCATTCCAGCTGAGAAGCACCTCACTCCTCTTCTCCACAAATTTCAAACACAATGGCGAAGACCAACCTGTTGTTCTGCTAGAGCTGGGATGGCACAAAAGCATTAAGATAAAACCAATAAACTTTTTTTTTTTAGTAGTTGGCTAGAGGTTTCCATCTGAGAGGTTTGCTGTTGCTGATATAAAGGGGATAGAAACATGGTTCTTCCAAAGCTGTGTTCTTCCAGAAGGCCGCTGAAAGCACTTCAGTAGTTTCTGTTCAGAATCTTTTACAGCAATTCTGCCTCTTTTTTTCTCCGAAGTACTGCTGGAGTGTGAGAAATTAGTTCAGTACCTCAAGTATCACAGCTGAATCTGCCCCATAGTAGATGGCTGAATATTTAAAAGGCTCCCATCAGAAAAATAATCAGCACTGAAATAGTTAATAGTCCTCTCTTCTTCCAGGTGAAATGTTTCATGCACCGTTGTGCTATGAATCCTAACATATGGTTTCTCTCATGTTTCAGTTTAGGTTGTGCCATATATCAAAAGGGAGTTGATGTGATTCTCTTTGATGTCGTGAAGCCGCTTCAAGCCATGCCAGAGGGAATAAAGTTCATGCAGGGGGATATCTGTTGCCTGTCTGAAGTGGAAGATGCTCTCAGAGATGTAATCTGCGTATTCCATATCGCTTCCTATGGAATGTCTGGCAGGGAGCAGCTGAACCGAAAACTTATAGAAGATGTTAATGTGAAAGGAACAGAAAATGTCATCCAAGCCTGCAAGAGCACAGGAGTGTCGAGTCTGGTTTATACAAGCACATACAACGTGATATTTGGAGGGCAGATTATAGAAAATGGGGACGAATCTCTGCCTTACCTCCCTCTTCACCTCCATCCCGATCACTACTCCCGAACCAAATCTTTAGCTGAAATGAAGGTGCTGGAGGCAAATGGTGCTGAGCTTGGAAATGGGAAAGGTGTATTAAGGACTTGTGCTCTGCGACCAGCAGGCATCTACGGGCCTGGAGAACAGAGACACCTTCCAAGAATAGTCAGTTATATTGAAAGGGGACTGTTTAAATTTGTCTATGGAGATCCTCTTAGTTTGGTAGAATTTGTACATGTAGACAACCTGGTTCAGGCTCATATCCTTGCCTTTGAGGCCCTCAAAGCCAACAAGCAGCACATTGCTGCAGGCCAAGCTTATTTTATTTCAGATGGCAGGCCTGTAAATAACTTTGAATTTTTCCGACCCTTAGTGGAAGGTTTGGGTTACAAGTTCCCAACCTGTCGCCTCCCTCTCTCCCTTGTCTATTTTTTTGCATTCCTTACTGAAGTAGTTCATTTTCTTGTAGGACACATTTATAATTTTCAGCCCCTCCTGACTCGCACAGAGGTTTACAAAACTGGTGTCACTCATTATTTTAGTATGGAGAAGGCCAGGAAGGAGCTGGGGTATGAGCCTCAGCAGTACAGCCTGAATGAAGTGGTGGAATGGTTTAGATCCCAGGGATGTGGACGAAAGCCAAGAAATTATACCATTATGCAGCTTGTTAGGGATGGAGGACTGCTTTTCCTGCTGATTGCTGTGATGGCCTCATGGTTTCCATCTGCAGTTACATTTTCACTCTAAAAGATGAAATGCTGAGGACAGAATTTAGTTACGTTCTCCGCATACTCTTGGTTTTGACAGACAGGTAATAAAGATTTTTTTTTAAAAATACACATTTTTGTGATTCAGGTAAATATCTTTAAACAGTTTTATCCCCAAGGAATGGAACCATTGAGTAAAGAGGTGTAATTTTTATATATAGTTTCTCTTCAAAGTAAAACTGATCAGATCACTAACAAGATGAAGCTCAGTATTACTGCAAACAGCATTTTATTCTCAGGTACAACAGCACACTACAGTGAATGGAACAAATGTCCTTAGGCTGGCTCTTCTTCCTCCCTGATGGGATTATACTCTTGATTCCTGCCCTTTATTCCTAAAGAGTTTGTGCTACATGATCCAGAGGAGAATAAACGTATTCTTTGATCACATTCCAAAACCCAGTTCTGCTTTCCAGCTTGGCTGCATATATGCCTAACCAAGATTAACTGATAAACTGCTAGACAATAAACAAATGTGGTTTCTTTACATTCTGGTATGCTTTTCTGAGTTAACTCTCTGATATCTAACGACATTCCTGGAAAATGCACCATGGTTAATCTAAATTACAGCAAAGTGCTTGAAGCACCACAGATTCGTAGATTTTTCTAACAGTAAAATATGTCTGTTTAAAATGAATGAGCTACCTAAAGTGCATTCATAAATAAAACCTATGATTCTCCCCAGCATTATTGAATAGTTAAACAAAGACTCCATCAAAGACATTTGGTAAGTGATTACACTCACGTTCCACTATTTATAAAACGTTTTTAGCTTTAATAATATTTCTTTAACACCTGACACAATTTGAATAGAACTTTACCTTTGTAGTAGGAAGATAAACACTTGCTACAAGGAAACTCATAATTTTATGGAGTTCTAAGAATAGAAGATAAGACCTTGTTAAGTACAGGTCACTACTGTCCCAAGCAACTCCCTCTGTCAGTTTAATATAGGAAGAGAAACAGAAACCACCTCAAATATTAAAATACAGTTGTTTTCACTTAACCCATCAACATTACAGTTTCTGTACCCCTTGATAAAAGGGGAGTCCTTCAAGAATTTCACACTCCTCTTCAAACTTTAGTCTTTCCATTTTAATAGCTGAAACTACACTGCTCTTAAATTAACCGTAACTTCCAGTTACTTCAGTTGTTACACTCTGCTGCAAATGAAATGGGGAAGTGAAGAGCAAGAGGCAGACAGTAGTTCTGCTGCACTGTTAAAGGATTCTCAGAAAACAAGAGTGCTTAAATAGAGGAACCAAACTAAAAACTAAAACCAAACTAAAACCAAACACTGCCACCCCTGCTTAGAAGATGGAGGATTTTGTAGTTAATAATGACTGGAGACAGCATTATTTTTTTACTTTTGAGTTCCCTTCCAGAGAAGTTTACCTTAAAAAGAAAATAAACCCATGGTATTGGTAACTTTTTTGTATTGTCTTGCCTGAAATCTAACTTCTCCTTCATTCCCCTACCAGTAAGTACACCATAAAAGAAGTTAAATTTAATACTTAGCTTGAGGGACAGTTCAAGAGAGAACTCACTTTTTTTTTTTTCTCTAATAGCAGATAAACTGTTTGTGTAGCAGGAGTGTTGCACTCTGTTATAAAGAGCTTATGTGCCTCCAACTGAGCGCTGATGGCAGAAGGGCCACGCTCCAGAAGTCATTAATATACACCATCATCTGCAGAAAGAAGAAACCTTCTTTTTAATAAAACAGAAAGAAGACAGCCGTGACCTCATGAAAGCACTGGGCTGCTGTTCTCTTTCCAACAGCCTTTTTTTTCTTCCAAGTGGAAACCACTTTGTTTTCCCCTTTAAGTTCTCTGGGTTTGACACAATGTTATCAGAAATAGATTAAGAAATTTTGATGCCAGCAGAAGACAAAACCAAAATGTACAAGAAATTGCACAAGCCTGTTGCACATAAACAGTATTTCATGCTACATCTTGTAAAAAAAAAAAATCTTTTTAAGATACGGAACCTAATCCCTGTGCCCCTGGGGAATTTCCTCTGCTGTTTGCAATCTTTTAGCAAAACTCAGCTACTGCTATTTATAATTATCTCAACGGTGGGGTTGGAAAGAAAAAAATCTATGAATGGTTCCTTAGGCCATGAATCCTAAATCCACGCTGTCAATACCAGGTGAGGCTCAAGCCCTGGGCAGCTTTTGAGGTACAACAGCAGCGGAAGCTCCTGAGCAGCCAAAAAAAAAGCCCAACAAAACCACAAATACCAGAAGTCCTGCAGCAGCTGAGCTCAATCCATGAACCTTTTCATCTATCTGGAGTCAAGGACAGAAGTCCTCACCACTAACAGAGCAGGGGGCACTTTTTTGTCCTAATGGCCCCTGACTGTGCTGGAGCACACGGAAGTAAATCAGGTACTTGTGGGGAGACACGGGCAGTGCTTGGCAGGGGTGAGCAGAGCCGCCAACAGTGCACTGGGAAATCCCTGTCAGTCACCTTTATCTGGTAAAAAAAAGCATCATCCTGACTACAGAGGAAGTGAAGGACACTTCTCTTTCCAAAAGGAAAACAGGCAATCTGCGGCTTAAGGAGAGACTCTAAAATTGCTTGGAAATTACATCTGTGTAAAACCAGTCACAGCTGCTCCATTCTAAGTATTTTACAATGAGAATTCTCTCTCCTTCTTCCAGGTTTTTTTTTGGTTGTTATTACTCCTCTTGCATGAACAGCAGAGTAAATCAAGGTAATTAATGCAAGTGTCGTGTCTATTTTCAAATTTTAATTTTTTGCCTGTTTTCCTGAAACTGAATTACCAGAAACACATCTAAAAACTGAAAAAGCAGAATGAAATTATAGCACAGATTCATTTTTTCCTAGTCCTCAAAATTACTGAACAATTGATACGTGCCTCACTATAAAGAATGATGCTGCTGTTTCAAGTGAATAGAATCCTCAGTCAGCTGCTTAATGTCAGACACAGCACATCAAGGTACAAATTTGCCATATACACATGAATAACTTATACTTCTAATGTGTACTTAAATATATTTATTTTGGATTTTTAATCAACTTTAAAGTAGATCAGATTTTATAGTGCCTTCTCCTAAGAAACCTAATGTTCCTTCATTTCTATTTATTACTTATTTCCATATACTTTCCAAAATATAGTGGTATATTTAATAATTCATGATGTGATCTTCAGAGAAAAGTGTCCTGAACACTGATAATTTATACATATTGTAAAAGATCTGGGGATAAACTGCAATTCAGGAGTATATAAGTGTTACGGAAACTACTTCTGCTTTATTTTAGTCAAGCTCATGGTTCCCAGTTTTACTGAAGTAAAGCTAAAAAATGTAGACTAGCAATTAATTAAACTGCTTTTATTTTAATTTAAATTCTTTTAAAACTAATAGCTGTGCATGTTTACAAATACTGTTATGGGTCAGAGGATAAATTTGTCTCTGAACTGATTCTGAAGGTTAATTTTCATTATCTGTAACTTCTATTTCTAATGATATAAATGGAATTTCAGTCTGGAACCAAGCCAACTAGCTGGACTGCACTTGGAAATGCTAACACATGACTATAGCAGAATTCAAACACTGCACTTCAGCTTTCACTCCACATTCAGATTTCTACAACTGGTTTGAAGAATTCAAAGATAACACCTGGTACACAGCTCACACCATCTCACCATCGAGAGAACTGCAGAACTAACAAAGTGCTTTCAACAGAGAAACATAAAGATGCACTGGGGTGGGAAAAACATGGCAACAAAACACCTAAATAAAGCAATATTTTGGACTGCAGAGCTCATGCATACCAATACTCACAAATGCAAACTAAAGAGTCTTTATCACCTTTATCTAATGACCTAGAAGAAGTAGGCTGCAGACATCTCATATTGATTCAGGTTCAATAAGCATATAATTTTTATCAAAAGACTGAGAAAATTTTGTTCCCAAGACTCCCAACAATTATAAAAAATCACAACATAAGGAGAGTGTGCATTCCTCCAGCAGCACCTCTGCCCACGCAAACTAATGAGCAGAAAGAATAAACATCAAGATTTGGTAAACATCAAGATTACTGTTCTTCCAAATTACCAGCAACTTAATCTCTGCCTCTTTCAGAGTTTTTTGTTCAAGTTCATACAAATCTGATTCTCACTGGGGCTGAAGTTTATATCTAGCTCTCACTGAAAAAGGTCGGGTAGGAGTCACAAGGTAAACATGATCCTTGACCTTTTCCTTCTGCCCTCTGTGTTTGCAGGCAGAGGGAAGTGCAACAATAACCATGTCTACAGAAACAATCATTAAGTCAGTTCATCTTAAAAACACAGAACTGCCCTTCTTCCAACCTCCAGCAGAACATACCATAACACACCAGCAGACCACATTTCAGTAAGAACTCACTCACTGCTTCAAATGATGACAAAATTCATGAAATTCAACGAGCAATACTTAAACAAAGCAGCATCTGGCATCATTCACATCACAGCTGAGATGTCAAAAATTATTTATTTTAATAAGTTATTTCAGTGATTTAAAACAGTTCCGATAAGAATATAACAATTTAACAATTTAACAATTGTTAACTTCAAAAATTTATAAATGTTTTTCCTCCTGGATTAAAAAATTAGCACACACATTCAGACTTACTTTCGTATTCAAACAGTTGCAATTGTGAAAAAGTTGATACAGAGTCTGCCCTGACAAAGAACTGAGAGGTGAGATCTTGGATTAAAACAGAATGCAAGAAACCAAGGAAGAGTTAGAATACAGCCTTGCCCATCATTAGCAAGTCAACAAAACAGTCAAAACAGTATTTTCATTCTGCATACAGTGTATCATACTCTGGAGAAAAGTCTTACTGTAAAACAAAATGCATTTTCATAAATACTGAAGGAGTGCCTCATAACTTCTGACATCACATATGCGTGGAGAATGTGCACAGGACTTTTCAAAGGACTACAAAATGTACTAATTCTTAAATATTTGCACAACAACAGCACAAGGAACTCCTGTGTCCATCACACAATGGTTGTCCTGTGTCAGGAATACCAACCAAGGAAGCCAGGACAAAGGGACAGTTTGCTTGTGTCTGCTCTGGAATTGAGCTTTAAAAGAAGTGCCCACAAACAGAACAAAAACCTCACCACAGCAACAGCCTCCATCTCTAGGTCTGAGTTTCCTAAGCTCTGGCATCTTGTAGTCTAGTTTTTGTGATCAGTCCAAACCTTGCTGGTAGTTGGCTGCCCATGAATCTCATCCTACAGCAGCGACAACCTCAAGGCCTTCCAGACAAGGCTTTGGGCCACCTTGTCTGATCAACACTGACAACACAGAGTTCTCACAGGATTACATGGCAATCACAGAGGCTGTTGACTGAAATATATAGCACAGGAACTGATCATATGACAAACTAAGCACATCCTGCAACATGCTGCAGAATACGTGCACACCAAAGGGAGAGCAACTGGATCACCTCACTAGACCTGGATACTGCAGATAAGACCAGCTTCATACAGCAGCCCAAATCCACTGTTGATGTGATTTTTTGCTTTGTCTGAGGGAGGTTTGCACCCATCTAGTCCTTGAACAGGTCAATCACAGGTGGGTACTGAAGAGATTTCAGGCAGGAGGATGAAAAGCAGAGAATTGCCTTTAACTTTGCTCTGTTTTTCAGCTGAGTGATTAGTAATTAATTTCTTTATAATAAAAAATTTACAGAAGCCACCCCATTGTGGGATACACTATTAAAATACTTTCAACTTTGAGACAAGGCTGTCTTTACAGAACAGCTAAAACCTCAAGGGGGTTCCTCAAACCATCGTCTGTGAATGCACAATGGCATCAATTAAGAGCCTCTTGAAACAACAGAAGTCACAGCGTGGGGAGCAAGAGAAACTGAAAATTGCTGAGGCAGCTGCATCAGGCCATGAATCCCAAATCCAAGCAAGCCCTCTGTGATCAGAAATACAGCACTATGTATGCAGCATCTGATGCCTCAGGCAGCCATTCAGGCAGAAAACTAAACTCCTCTGCACACATTTGAAAGCTGAAGTCGGGAACATAGACAGCAAAACTCCGCCCATGCAGAGATAAGGCAACTAGAAATTTGATAGCAGTAAAACAGTGCTAGCACAAAGGACCAGCACATACACAAATTATGACAACTGCTGTTAAATATTCCTGCTCTGGCAGGAAAACACACTTGCTAATCTAACAGGTTTTCTCATCTGTAGCTCCATGCTCTTGATTTGATTAAAGGCACAAGAATGATGTACCTCTATATTTGTTTACACTATCATTCTTGGATTAGTTACATTTTGGGAAAATGGTCTGCATTTACAGAACACTATCATTTTACTATCATCTAAGTAGAACTGCAAGATTAAAAATTGACAGTTCATTTAAAAATTCATTTCTAAGCACATTAGCAGCTGAAAGGATCTGCAAAAATGATACTATACAAAGTAAATGCTACTCAGAATTTCAAATACCTTCCCTTGCTGCAAACAAACAGATATCTCCTACTGCATATCTTAAAACTTTTCCTTCCAGTGCCTTGAGGTTGTGACGTAAGTTCATAGGGGCTGTGAATAGAGGTTCACACATTGCTCCTTTCTTAAACCTTTACAGAGAGTTCAACAGGAAGAACACAACTACAGTGACAAAAGGCTATTTGCTTTCAACAAAATTAACATATTATCTTGTTCTCAAAAATGCAACAGAAAACTTTTAATAAGAGACAATAAGGTACAAGCTATCAGCTGCCCAAAATATTTTATACAGTATCAGAAGCACAATCCCCAGGGACTGTAACATACATGAGGTGACAATGCTGGTGTAGAAGTGCTTTTACAGCATTTAATAAATTAAAAACTCACTACTAGTTAATCTTGAGGAGCCAGGTTGTTAAAGTGGCGTGATTCCATGCATGAAAGTGGTTGTGAATGTCTTATCTACAGCCTGCATACACAAATATAGGAGATGAGTTATACTTGTACTTCAGGTATTGATAATAAGAAGTGAGGTCTATCCAACTACATGTCCTCAAGTTTTAAAAATCTTGAATACACAAAAGCTCTGGCTTGCACAGAGGATATGCTTTGTACAGAATATAAATTATTAGGAATTAAACCAGTTTTTCTTATAATAAGAAATTCTCAAGGAAACCCATCGTTCCTCTTCCTCCTCTTCTTCCAGTCATTCCATCTGATGAGACCATCATTGAGTAGGATGACCAGGATAAATTAATCTCTTCCTGAATCGCACCATAAAGCAGCCTTAATGAATGATGGCCTTTAAGAGTAGAATTTGCTGTTACTGACTTTCTTCTCCTTTAATCTTAAGGGAAAAGAAAAGGAAAATGTTCAGTCTACTAGGCATTTCTCAGAGGAAAACAGTCTACCAAATTCAATCTAGATACCAAAATGAGTGATGTATCAGCAAGAAGCATTGCAATTTTTTTCCTCAATAAATGGGAGTAAACCAGTGATTCATGCAGCTGTTCAGCACACATAAAAAAGGACAAGAATACTTCAAGTCATGAGATCTACTCAAGACTTTCTCCCTGTACATGAAGCCTCTCTCTGTCTCCTTCACACTCATCCCAAAGATGGCAGCAAAGGAGAAAGAACCCTCCCCTAAGCTCTGGATAATGTACTGAACTGACAGTGCAATGCTGTTACAACTCAATACTGGTTTTATCTTTTGTGGTTTGTGTATCTGGAAGCATCCTCTGTTCCTACACATCTAATATGCTCAGGACATTTCCAGGGACATAATTTTGACAGTGTAGAAAGAGTGAAGGGGTAGGTTTATTTGTCTGTATATACTTCCAGACTTTCCTCCTGGAAAGCAGAAGAGAGGAATATAAAACCTCACAGGATTACACGTCTCGCTGTGATCACTGAAACTGAGATGCCACTGAGCAGACATTGCACAGCTTCTGCTGGCCTCTAGTGGCTCCCAGCCCAGCCTGGCTTCTCTGCAGCCCTTCCTCGCTTCAGATGAGCTCATTCTGCCCTCACCACTCTTTAGATGCCCATTTTGATACATCTGAGGTTTCCTTACCACAGCTCATGTGTAGATAGAGCTGCCTTGGAAAGGAGAACCATTATCAACCCACCTGCGGTTACACGTCTCTTGATATATCTGTAGTTTGTGCTCATTCACACTGAATTCCTTCAATATTGCATCTCTGTTAGGATTCCTTAAATTCATGTGGGTGTCATAAAGGAACAGCTGGTTGTTAAGCTCCTCCTGGCGCTTCCGAAGTTGCCGACAGGAGGAATAAAGCTCTTCTTCACTCTCCTTCAAAAGAATATTGGAAATCAAGGTGACTTGTAAGACACACACCCAAAATGGCACCAAATATTTATAGTTTGGGGGATTATTTTGTTTCTCAAACACACTTTAATAACTGTATAGAATGTTTTATAAAATTGGTTTGATATGTTTATGAATGTTTATGGAAATAAACTAACTTAGAAAGCACTGAAAAAAGCCAGCAGCTCCTCTAACAGGGGTGTCAGGGACATTCTAGCACAGGTCACGACTTGGGTGCATCTAAACACTTCTGTTGGAATGTTTTTCTCTAATAATGTATGTCAGTCTCTTGAGGAAAGAACAGAAAATAGTGTATCATGGTGAGTTATCAGATTATAACAGCATTAACTATACTTTTTTAAAAGTTTATTTTTTGGCTCTTCCATCATATTTGTGTACTATGCAACAAACTGTCAATCCTGGGGATTGTCTACCGAAATCTAGACTAAAGGTCAAAATACTGACTAGTAAATAGGACCCCTAATAGCAGCAAGTACCCAGATGGTCAAGAGAGAAGGACAGCTCCTGTATTTCTCTGTAGCTATGGCAATTCAGTACTTGCAGAACAACTGATTATGTCTGATTTTCTGTTGTTGCATGTGGCCCACAGTAGGTCTCAATATATCCCACAAGCATAAAACAATCATAATTATTCCCTTTAGGACTCCAAATTATTTTAATACTTCAAAACTTTGGAGTCAAAAGCTGTCTCTATAAAGAGTTACTAGTGGGGAATAGAACTGGCAGGACTGAAGTCTTAATCTTCACATCAGCAGCAAAACAAGATACTCATTCTACAAGAAATGACATGCAATCAATAAATGTAATAAATCCAAACATTTTCAAAGGCTGCATACTAATAAGACTGACTCTTTCTGCATTCAGTCCAGATCTAGGAAAACTGATAGGTTACCAACACACCCAGGGAGTTTCACTTACAGGAAGGAACAAGATCCTTTCCTAAACCCTCTTTTTCTTCCTGAAACACACTCCTACACAGGCATGGGTTGAAGCAACTGAAACGGCCTCAGTGCTATGCTACTGATTAAGATTTAAAAAGTAATTTATTTAATTATTGTTTGTAAAGCAGTAGGAAACTCTGTATTCCCAAATCACAAAGGAAATGCAGATTGCTAATTACCAATTTGCAGGTGTAATCATCAAGATGCATATGTACTGCTATTAGTTCTTGTAAATAAATGTATCCACAAAGGTAGACCTTAAAACTGCATTTAAGAATGTCCACTTGAATCTTTATGTCAAAAACATATGCACCATTGAGGCTGATTGTAATCAGAAAACACTGAAGAGATACACACACTTTCTGATGGAAGTAAATCAATTTTCAAGCAAATAAGACATGTTTTTAAATGCAACAACCACCTCAGTATTTCTACAATATCAAGAAAACTGTTCAACTTCTACAGGAACTGCATAAGGCCCCTCATAATAACTCTCAAATGTGCATGCTTACGTCTACAATATTTTTGCTTCTCTGTTCCTGAGAAATTCCACAGCCATCTGTAATTCCTCTTTATAATTTTGTATTTCATCTCCAAGTGTATGCAGATGGGCTCTGTATATAAACAGGCCTGTTATTAAATGGTATCATTTTATGGATGGTCATCATTTTTTAAAAAGAGGCAGAAGAACAGAGACAGCCTTGATCTTTTCTGGTGCTTCCTGAATGATCTGCCAGAAGTTCTAGAGCTGATAACTACAGCAAGTCTGGGTTTGTTGCAGACTGCCAAACAAAAGGGAAAATTTGTGAAAGTTCTCCTTCCACTGCAATACCACCCAGAGACATCAGACATTGTAAAATACAAAGCTGAGCTGCATCTTCATTTGGCTTAACAAGCAGAAGAGGCTTCGAGAGTGTAAAACGTGCTACGGTCAGAGGGCTCAGTCTGACAGATTGGGAGACACTCTGCTGCTCTGAACATCACTGTTAGAGCTGCTCCTGCCCCAGGCAAACAGTGATCTGAATTCCTGAAGAGAAACCACAGCAGGAGGGATTCCCAGTGTATCCACAAGTGATGTCCATGCTCAGCATTAGGCAATGGTGAGTTGCTGTCAGTTTTCTCAAAGGCAGCAAGCCAAAAACCAGCAGTTTACCAGGCCTCCTCTGTCAGATTCGTGTCCATGAAATATGAACAATTTAAATATTATCTTTAAAGGACACACCTCTCTTGTTTACACACACACAGCCCTCTTGTCTCAGCTTCCAGCCCTCTCCTGCTCTCAGGACCCACAGAAAGAACCTACCATGGCTGTCAAACACTCATTGCACAGTCACTTTACAAGATGTGTTACAAGGTGGCTTTGTAAAAACCTCCACAAAGGATGTTTGAAAAAGTCTGCCACTCCTTTGGGAAGAACAATGTGACTGAACTCAGCCATTTCCAGTTCAGCATTTGCAACTGCAGGTACAAATCCCTTCAGAGACATTATGACTTAAAGTTCCCAGAATTTGGTGTTTTAGTCAGAAAAACAATGTACACTGGTGTGAAGTGCAGTGTAGGCCTGGATGGTTGCAAAAGGTTACAAATAAGAAGTTGAATTTTTTTTTTCTCTGAATCTGAAGGTGTTGGAAAGCACCCTGAAATAGCCACTTCCCAGAAGAATCTTTAAACTTTCATCATATGGCCTCTATGCAAGTGTATTTAAATTACATAAGATATTATTGAGAAAGAGTCTGAGAATAATCCTGCTTCAGATCAAGCTATATAACAGCACCTTTGGAACACCAACACACACCATTCACAGATCAGCCACTTTAATGCCTGGCTTCATGAGCAAGGATGAACCATTATTCTTCCTCTATGTGTTTTAAAATACAAGTACATCAAGTAAGTGTTTTACAGAGGCTTAAAAGAAGTAGATTAGCACTTCTGTAGGGACCAGATATGTCTTCCACTTGATGGGTTGTTTATTTTCATGAAATACTGGAAGAAATTAGTATCTTCTCTTGCTAAAGTGATTTCTTTTTATGTAGGACCTTTAAAAAAAAGGTTATTCTACGAAGTCAAAGCTGATTTTAGCTAGTTTTGCATGGCATCACTCAGTTAACAGGGAATGACAACGAGCATGCTGTTACAGCAAAAACTAGTGGAGGTAATGATGATTTGTTTATGCATTATTTCTTTTAACAACCATGTAATCTGTCCACCCAGAGGGAGAGTAACTGAATTTGTGCTATTTGTCTTCCCCAGTACCTGCAGAAGAAATGCCTGACAATAACACATCAGACACAGAACAGAAAACTAAATCCTCAGTTCCTGGTTTTCACAAAATACTGATAACATACATGCTAAGTGCACAAAAAAAACCCAGTGGTTCTCACCAGAACTTGCTGCATTTCACAGTGAACCAGAAGCGAGGCCAGCTCGATATCTTCACTGTAGCCGTTCTTGAGAGGGACTGCCCTGAAACCTGGGGCGGGGGGAACATACACAAAGGACAATTAGAGCCAAGGCAAAGGGTCATGTGCAGCCACAAAAAAAGTGCACACAGTCCTGAGGGGATTCTTTCAGTGCTCAAACACTCCACTGCTGAGAGCAGGCTTTGCTATGGAGGTTAGAGAGGAGCAAAAGGCAAGAATGGCAAAATTGAGAAACTCATGACTTCACATGCTCTTGAAAACTAAAGCAAGAGTAAGTCGGGTTCATAGAGGAAGGAGGGAGTCCAGCACCACAGAGGAAGTCACAGTACAACAGTGCTGAACAGCATCTTTCTGATACAGCCCCTCATTGTAACCACTGATCCTACCTGATTTGATTCCTTTGATGGGAAAAGTGGCGTGTGCTAAGAAATTGGGATCACTGAACATGTCCTCCTCGTAAACAACAAAGCGCAGAAACGCCAGGTTTGGATCGTAAATCTCAAATTTCACTTGCTCTGCACAGGGTGCCCAAACTGGATTCAGGCCATTGTCATCTGTAGGGAAAGGGGAAACATTTGCAGTATAGAGCAGTAAATTCACCTCGTTCACATATGGGTATGTATCCCAGGACATTTCCTAAGATACAAAGGCCCAAAAATCCTATTTACCATCTGTCTCATGTTGTAACCTTGCTTCAAAAGGTTTGTATTTGTTTACTTGGTGGGGGACATAGGAGGAAACTAGGCAGGGATGAAAATCCATTAAGGAAAGCTATTATTTGTATTTAACCATATAAAACCCCCTTGGACATGTATTTGTTTTTTAAAAAAAAAGCTAATTAATAGCTCATATTCATAAGCCTTACATTCCATACGTGAGCAAAAAAAAAGCAGGAAAAGCACTGCCTGTACCCTGACCCAGGGTACATGTAGCCATGTACAGAACACCAACATTTGGTATATGTGACACAGCCAGGAAGTTTGCTCTCTAAAGTCTTGGTCACTTCCCACAAAAAGTTTACACCATAATCCTCTTCTCTGAAGTACCAAAGAGCCACAATGCACATTCTTGCTCCTGCTTTTGTGTTTATTTTCCACTGGTATTACTGGTTTGGATACTCAGAACCAAAGCCTGTTATTTACCAGAGGAAAACTGCTGTATCCAGAAATATTAAATGGTAAAATATGAAGTGGCTGAGATATTGCCCCATGGCACTTAAATGAAGCTCATTTACAAACACACATCCCTTGTCCAGAACTCTCCAGGAGTGAGCTTTGATCAAACTTCTCTTGCATTGCAAGTTATACTATTTTACAGCCCTATACACCCAAGCTGTCTCCCAGGGGGTGCCAGTCTTAGAAGCTGAGTTTAAATAAACATAGTCTGGATCTCACAGTAGTAACTCTCTATTTGGGCCAGACTTTTGGGAACTGACTAGCACTGTTGGAGGCACTTTCAAGACAGCAATTTTTTAAAATATGCAAATACACAAACTTATGCACAGGCAAAAACATAACAGAATGGGACTTCTTTTTTTTCCAAACTGCAACAGTACTATTTTTTCAAAACTTGATATACATTGAAGTTTCTCAAATTAACTGGCCCTGAGGCAAGCAAGAGAATAACACTGTATGACTTATCAGTGCAGAGCAACAGTTAACCCACTCCTCCCTACAGTATAAGTTGCTGGCCAATTACAGACAACATAAATACATGGTCATCCCCTGCCTACTCACTTTATTTAAGTACACTGGAAGTATAACCACATCCTTACAACACAGAAAGCCACAGATACTCACTCACAACTGTTGTCTTGAATTTGCTGTTATCATATTCAGCCCCACAAATTTCAACCTCTACAAAGGGACAAGCGATGCTTCTACCGAGTTTAGGGAGATGACGAGCACCCAAAACCTGCAAAAGCAACTCTAAATTATAACCACCTCCAAAGGAAACTTGGCACCATTATTTCTGAACAGAAGACATCCTGCAGAACTAGAGGGGGGGAAAAAATCCAGAAGAACGTGGAAAAGCACACGGTCTCTTTCTTGAATATGTTTGCATGTATTAAACATACTATCTGTGCAACAAATAACTATTGTTTGGGTAAGCCAGTGATTTTCATTGTAAGATACTGCAGCTGACATTCATTATACACAATATGCAGTTCCAGACCAGGCCTCTAGCATAAGTTTTGTTATCTTTCTTCGGTCTTTATTACATACCTATTTCTAGACATTTCTGCTTTGCATTCACAGCCCCTGTTTAACTTGTCTTTAAACTGCAGTGAAAAGCAGTTAATGTGTTTTTTCTTTCTCAGAAAACATACTTTTAAAGGACATGTCTTACTGCATAGCAACTGAGAACAGACAATCCCTGTTTGGCACTAAGTCAACATGGCAAAATTTTCTCAAATTTTCTCTTGAAGAAAAATGAGAATGAAATTCAGATTAAGTCATAGTGTATTAAATATGATGAAGGGGAGATCAGCTTATTATTTTTTTCTGTTTAGTTTCTATATTTCATTATAAATATTTTTCTTCCACACTCAAAATCTCCTAACTAGTTGGTCTGCTGCAAAACAATCTCTAGTAGGACCCTTCTATTGAGAAGTTATTAGGTTGGAAATGCAAGTTAGTTCATTTCAAGTTTTTATTAACAATTATAAAAAAATCACCCCAGGATTGTGTTTTCAGTCCTAAAACATGTGCTTCATTAGCATGATAAAGATATATATTTCTTTTTAGGAAACCAGTAAAGCTAGTTTTATTCTCAAACACACTGACACTTAAAAACAGTATTTTGACAACCTGTCAGATCTTGCTCTGAAATATAATAGCTTTATTTTTAGTTTTATAGATATTTATGACTGGTAAAAACCCATAATTTACAAAAGAGATTTACCCTCACTGTCATAATCATCTGCAATTTCCTCTTCGAGTCGTTTGGCATTGGGTCATACTCCTCATTCCTCATGCTCTCTGGCTGCAGGACGTAGCCAGTGCGTCCATTAAGTGAAAACAAGGCATGGTTCAATTGCATGTATTTATCTAGGGAGAGAGTTAAACAGTCATAACAGAAGATCCCAATTGGAATAAAGCCAAGGAAATACCAGACCAGTGGCTCCTCTCTGCAGAGCTTCCTGGTCACCACTTTATCAGAAAGAGCTGGAAAGGTAAGTTCAAAGACTCAGGTTCTTCAGTAACTCAAACTGACAGGCTATTTTTCATCAATTTTAATCCCCAAAACCCCATCTCCATCCACAATTGGCTTCCTATCAATGTGTCATAAGATAGTTGGCCCTCACCAGAAAGTGGAGGACAGCCTTCCCTGTGTCTGAACACCTATTCCTACACCTGAAACTTACTGTAAATATCTCTGCTTGCTTTTCACAGAGAGATCAAGGTGAAATAAATCTTTTAGAGTTTAGGGCTACTTTGGCTCAGAGACAGGGCTTTTGGAGACCCCTTTTTGGGGCCCAGCTCTATAAGGCGATCCACACGTTCAAAAGCAAACTTCAATTCTTCCACATCCCTTCCCGAAGGGAAGTACAAATAAATAGGACAGTGACTAGAATGGCAGAAGGGCCAGAAAGGGGTTCGTTCATGGTGAAATGGAAGGTGGATTAGATCCTTCTTCAAAAGGAATATTACCTGGAGTTTGGAAGTTAAGAGCCACCATCTGGGAGCCACAAAGCCAGAGGCGAAATGGGTCGTAGTTGGATGAGTCGACCCTCTGTCCTTTAGGATAGACACGTGTCAGTCCCTTCAGGTTGTATTTCAACAACTCAACTGGCTTTTGCTTCACAATGCTCTCTGCCTTGGTTTCCACAAAAGAACGGATTTCTTTGAAATCAGGATTGTCTACACAGGGGTGAGGAAGAAAAGTAGTTACCAAAGGAAGAAATAAGTTGACATTTATACTGTATTTTTACCAACACTTTGTTTTACTTTGTTTTGCTTTGTCCTTTAATGCAGTAATTGGCACCATTTTCAGGCAGACATGGCAAATTGGTTGAGAATCAAGTCTGAAAGTCAAAATTGCCTGCCTGCCACATGCTTTGCAGGAGGGCAGATAAGAGCCCATAGTCATGTCCTCATCTCATCATAGCTAATAATGTACTTCTGACCACTATAACACATATTTAAATGAGACATCTCTTCCTGGGTTTAAATGGGGAGAAGAAAGGGCGAGCCAGGGTTAGCCAATGCCTCAAACAATGACTATAATTATAATGTCTTAACTGCAGTGACAGCTTATTAAAAACATTTGCAAAGAAACTTAAAGAAAAGAGCACGTTTGCTGGCTTCTCCAGCAGCAATGACAAAACAATGGAATCAAAAGCACATTTTCAGTATCAGATTCCACACCTGCACTTACACAGACCTCAGTTACATTATGAAGCCACGTACATCTCAACAGCCTACACCTGGTAAACAGGCTCTTACCATAAAGTCATATAATGCACAGTAAACCCACTTTGAAGGTTTTTTACAAACAAACCACAAGTGTTCAGCCAGATTTTATCTTCAGTTCTAAAATCTCAACTAACATCTGTAAAGATAGAAGAAAGAGTAAAATTCAGTTGTAATATTAAAGACAATACCTAAATTGTCCTTGGTTTTGCTCGTTGGTTTGCAGTAGATTACCAGATCAGATAATTCAATAGCAATTAATTGATTCTTTTCCCAGTATTTCCTTCTGTTCTCCTGGAAAACATAACAAAGTTTTAGATTACAGATATGCTGAGTCTTATGGTACAGTAACTGCAGGGTGTACTCTAATGTGCATTCTTTGGTGCCCAGATTCCTATCTGATACTTTAGACACTTGCATAGATGTAAAGCACTTTCAGACCCAACTCAGAGAACAGGCTATAACCAAGTGGTTTTGGGTTTTAGTTGGGGATGTGCTTTGGGTTTTTTTTTTATGGAGGAGAAGGGTGCTGTTTGGGGCTTTTTTTAAGCAAGAGTTTCATTGCTTCCCTGATCAGTCCTACTCAGAATCCCGGCAACATTTTTTTTTTCTTTTAATGTGGCTCTACTCAACTTATTTTTAGTTATGTTCTTAACTCCATAGCTCATATAAATGCAAATGTATGCAGAAAAAAATGCAAAGGGTAGTGAAGTGTCTCTGTATTTATTTAAAATTCTGAGCAGAACTTAAGTCTTGCTAGTAACTCCCAAACAGCTAAATTCAAACCCTGTGAGCACCATTCCTCTAGTTTTCTATTTGTGCACCAAACCAAAAATGTTCTGTGTGGAAAATCATGTGCAATCTTGTTGACATTACCAGTACTAAACCCACTATCTACTTCCACATTTGCAAGCACCTGCTCTATGGAAGCTGAGCAATGTTCCCTGCCAGCAAAGACTGGGAACTGCTGGAAGCAGCAAGACATGTCCCGAGTGGAGACATTTGGGCTGGAGGTTTTTCAGACATAAGAAGCTACTACAGGATAGAACATGTTAGAAGAGTCCCATACTGAACAGTGATTTGGCACAAGAGATGATGAAGCAGCAGCTATTAGTAAGCCTTCTGAAAGAACTCCCTCAACAGGACAAACATAAGAGGAATGAAAATCAGAACTAGACAGGCATGAGTTTCCAGAGTGTTTCACTGAAACAGAGATTATGTATTGAAGTCTAAGAAAAGCAAAGAGGAACACAGTATTTAGACTTGGAAATAACCTTGGGGAAAAGCTATAGAAACCTCATTGTACTCAGTGATCCACCACAGTTTCTCAGACGTTGCTTAACAGTAATCAGAGCTGCAAACAGCAAGAGATCACTTCTACTCATCTCTAGACATAACCCTCTAGTGACAACCAAGCAGGAGTGCTGGCAATGAACAACCACTCCTGGGAGCATGGCAAGGGTCAGTATTGAGCAGAGATGACAAGATACATGAAGCTTAGTTTTATTTCATGTGTATAACAGACACTGCTTAAAAACAAACTAATTTAGAAAAAAAAAAACAAACCTGTATCACATTGCAGCATAGTGTTAACTCACTATGCCTTTTCCTTCCCCAAAATTCAGCCTGTTAACTGTACTGGCAACAAGGGCCTTTCCTCATCTTTATCCCCTCCCCATGCAGCATCTATCATGTGAACTTTCCAGAGGCCATGCTGTGAGGGAAGCCTCCCAGCTGACAAGATCGAATTTTGAAGCATCTTTGAACACAGAGTGTTTAATACTTCTCCAACTGTACAGAGAGAGAAAAAGCTGCCAAGCTCCTGAAAAGCCATTGTTGTACCATAAAAAACATTCAATTTAGAGACACTTCTTCTGGGTCGTGTTTCTCTTTTTCTCGTTTTTATTTCTAAATGAAGGCCTGGCACAAGAACCTTATCTCTCCTCCCCCAACAATAGGTCAACAGCCTGTTGCTTCTCCCCTTGCTGAATTTGTAGCCCTCTGTTTGAGATATCAACTTGCCTGCTATAAATAGGATTAGGACAACCCCCAGAGCATTACCACTCCATATGACAGATAAACAGCATGAGCCAACAGGATACTGAAACACATTTTCCATCAGCCATATCACCCACTTAACAATAAAAGTGAATAAAAGCGAATAAAAGCAACAAAGGAAAGAGTGTAGTAAAGCATAGCCATTTTAAGGACTTTTTGGTCATGTAAAAGAGTTCTTAAATACTAGAAAACACGACAGGGAGGTAAATTAGAGCATCAGAACAGGAAAAGCACAGCCTGAAAAGTGCCTTTAAGTGTTAGTAGAGGAACATAGAAGCTAAACTTTGGCAGAATCCTTGAATTTGTAGGCAAATATTTGGAAATATTACTATTCTGGGAAATCCAGAACATGCTTATTAGTTACAAATAAATAATTAGCCAAACAATTCCCTATCAGCGCACTCACCGGGAAGCAGAGTTAGTAAAGAGGATTAAGAAGAGTTTAGGGAATGGCAGCTCAGATTTCACACATACTCACCAGTGAATTCACAACTCTGAACAGAACAGTCTGATATCTGAGTTTCTGCTGCTTAACACCAGGACGAACCAGTGTAACCAGATGTAACATTGTAATGGTATCTACTTTGGCCTACTAAGCACCTTCACTGAGGTGCAGGGTGCAACACAGACAGTACTCTGCTGAAAACCTCCTGTTAACATAAATTTACATAAAATGCTCATTCACACACCGTTCCCCAAAGATTTTATGGAACAAGAGTCACAGCATCGATAGAACGTACAGAAAACTGGAACACGCATGAGAATGAAGGACCACATGTTAGCAACATTTAGCAGCATAGAGCAGCTAAAGATAAAAGCTATTGTAAATTTATAGCAGTACATCATAAAAAACAACAAGGAATAATTTTTTCTCAATACCTCTTCTGCAGTTTTCCAAGTGATTTCACGGATACTTTGGTACCATTCAAAGAGTTCTTCTACTTTATCGGTTGCAAACTCAACACAAGGATCTTCTGGATTCTTAGGTTCCAGAATGAAGACAAAAGGCTTTTTGTGCTTCCCTTGTGGCATTTTCACTGTTAGGCAATACAGTAGCAAGAAATTTATACTGAAATCCAACAGTTCTTTTTCTAAGCTGTCATTGCTGATTTATGGCAACAGTTAGCGTTATAAAGTTTCAATGTACCAACCTCGTTGGTTAAATTAATACAAGCAGAGGGTTCAGGTTTTTGGTGGGGTTTTGTTTGGGTTTTTTTCTAAATCTTTCCTTCTAAACATAAAAGAATCTACTCAACAAGCTCAGGAGAGTCCACATGTGAGCATCAGAAAATACATACCAACGTTGTACGTATTGAGCACCAGAATGCCACGGCACAGAGAGCCTAAGGGGTTGTCCTCAATAATCTGAAAAACATGAGTTGATTCTCACCCTAAATATTCTCTTGAGTCAACATACACAGGACATTAACAAATAATAATGTTAAATCCAACCTCAGTTTGACTGAAAGCATGCCCACTGTAAGGTTTAAAAGCCTGTTTTTAAAAGCCTGTTTCCGTATCAAAAGCGTCTTGTTTTGATAAACACATGTGAATCTCTTCAGTGAGAGTAGTCAAAAGGAGGAGTGCAGCTTCTGACCTAACATAACTGCTCATTTGTTAAGTCTGCTTAAGGTTACAATGACCTGGAGGGAGGAAATCTAATACTTGTGTTTTCCTCCAAAGACTCCTGGAAAATCATTGGAAGTGCTTCAGAACAACAAAAGAATTCAGTGTTTTATTTTTAAAACTCAAAAATGTCAAAACTGATTATTGTGAAATTCTGTTTTCTTTTGTTGAAGAGCTCTTTGTCCAAGACACTGGACCATATATTTTAGATACTTCTGACAAACACTATAGGGTTAGTCATGCATAAAAACTTAATAATAGAGAGTAAAATGGTTCGTAAGATCTGTTTGGACACACAGTTTTCTTATTTGCAAATATTAAGACAGTAACTATACAGGAAAACTAGTTAAAAGTTTCAGGTATGTTATTGTTTAACCAAACTATCTGAAAAACCTGAAGTGGTATGATTTTCATTAACAGGAAATCATCATCATCTCCTGAAACCTCACCAAATCAGCCATCTCCTTAAATAGTTTTCTATGAGCGAAAATATATTCTGACAAAAATATTCAGCAGCAGAGAACAATGAAGAATACATTCATCTCTCTGTTGTGTGTTCTTTCAGACACAGCATGCAGTGTTGTGAGTCTGTAAACCAGACTTCCACTGCCAGGAGGTAGCCAAGGAAATGTAGTGGACAAACCATAACCCTCACCTGATTCTCAAGCTCAGCAGAGTTATCAGATGACATGTCTTCAACATAATTAGATGGAAAATAATGTTGGATTTTTTCTCCATAATCCCCCTTCCACCTGAATTTAAACAGAAAAGTAGAGAGAGAGAAAAAAAATAGCTAGAGAACTTCAATAGGCCATTAATGAAGCAATAATCCCCAAGAAATTGGTCATTAATACCCCATAGTAGCTTGTCTAGCTGGCTATCACCAAAATATAAATGATGAAGTAGCTAAAAGCTCTAACAAAGTGATCATTAACTGTAGAAACAGATGATTTCAGAGGGATTACAGTTACTGTAAACTGCAATTAATGACTTAAGAGGCTTTTTCCCCCTCCAGTACTAAAAATACTATTATGTGGTTGATTACCCTGTAGAAACTACAGGGAAACATTAGATTCCCAAGCTTTCCAAGCAATTTACAAGCCAGCTAGAAAAGAAAACCTGTTATGAAAGGAGACTATACAGAGAAGTAAAAAAGGTGGGTTTGATTCCTCAGAAGTGCTTAGCAGAGCAAGGACAGAAACAGGGCAACGATTACAGTGGTAATGGGTGAGTGACTCCCCAGAATACACAAATGTTTGGGAAGGATGCAGGTAGTAAAGGAAAAATACCGGATACACTGGGCAAAGGAGGCTCTGCAGGTTGAGGTTATTGCTGTGGGATAGAAAAATGGAAAAGACATGAAAGGAGACTTGAGGACGAGGGAGTTTTGTGAGTTTTTTTTAATACACTGGCATTAAGATTTATAAGGCCACAGTTAATAAGCAGCAATCAGACAACTGGCAGTTTTTTTAAACTACTACTCAAAGCTCATTTTTTTCCTCCATCTAGTAAGTCACCAGAAGTTCTCTCATGAGGAATCTTTGTCCTTACCAGCCTCCAGTTTCCTTTGTGACATTATGAATTAAAGCTCCTCGAGAGAAGCTCAGTTCATCACTCCTTTTGGCTCTGTAGTCATACAAGGCTTTCACTGTTCTCTGAGGCTTCAAGAGAAACAGAGCAAAGGGGTCATCTAGGGGGACAGGTCATAAAATAATCAATAATCCAATTTTAAAAAATAAAAAAAAAAAAGAGGGGAGGATTGGATTATTATTTTGTTGTGATGAAGCTTAGAAAACAAAATACAGAAGATCCAGAGTGACATCTATTGGTGGAAGCAAGTGATGCTACTTTGTTATTATTCAAGTATCAGCTCGGGAAAAAAAGAAAAAGAAAACGAAAAACCAAAGAATCTTTCTTTTATGGGTGCTGAAACATAATTACGGTAGAATAAAAATAAGAAACTCCATACAGTGAAATATCAATCCTCTATTTTTAACCCATGTATTCATAATCATTTTGAGTTTGTAGGCTTAGATGCCTACAAAACCTTCACTTCAAAACCACATCAGCTATCCTGCTGGTCACATTTCCTTTACGAAGACAGGCAGTTTTAGCAGGATGAGCAATTCCTTTATCTTGAGTTTACTCCTACTACCCAAATTCTTCAGCAGCAATGCAAATTCATTGGCCAAAAAGACTAAAAAGAATTACATTCACAAAATTTACAAGCAGGTGGTTTTTATGAGAATTTACAAGTAGGCAGGCCCTAGCAGGAGTTACAGACAAGTAATGTTTGATGTGCCACTGGTTTTTAAAACAGTATTTATATTTTAAAAGAAGACAAACTTTAATAACTCATTAATAAACCAAAGGCACCATTTTAATATAGAAAGCACATGAATACACTCTGCACCTATTTGTGCATTCAGGCCATGTTTGATGACGGAAATGCAATGATTTTGTGCACACAAGTAACAGTGTGTAGAGACACCCACAGGCACAGAAATGAGGTTTATTTGTTGTACTTTCTTTCCACAAAGATGTGGCCTTCTCAAATTGAATCTTCTCACAAGTATTTAATTTGGGGACACACCTGCATAAGCCAAATCAAATTGTCTCCACAGACTCAATAGCAAAAAGTGCCCAAATTCCCAGTGTGAATGAATCAGTACAGGATCTGAACATAAGAAAATGTGTAGGTACAACTTTTAGAGACTAGAAAAAAAAAGTCACACCCTTGAAATTTCTGCTGTCCAGTCCCCCATGATCAAGCAGCCTGATGCTTTCAATTCTCCTTTTCATCACTGCTAACAGGAAACAAACAAGTCTCATAATTTTAAGAAGTCTATAGTACATGTGAATAACTTTCTTTAAGCATACCACTGTGGGGGTGATTTCACTGGGTTCCACATACATCTTGACATCATAGAGGGAATTAATATCTTTTTCCTAAAAACAAGAAGAAAAAAAAAAAAGAAGTTTCAGAAATCAAAAATTATAAAAGTGCTTAATGTTAATTAATTAATAATAATTAATATAATATCATATATTATATAATGTTATATAATATAATAATATAAAAGTACTTAACATTCATTGCTGAAACCACCTTTTTGACCATACATAGGCAAACAGAAGAGAAGGAAGCCAGATACCTATGTTTTGCTCATTTCTATAGTTGAACATACCTGAGCACGAGTTTGTTATTTAACTGTCTGTGCCTCAGTTTAATGAACAATAAAACCCCATGAAATAGCAATACCTCACAAAGGTATCTCTTAATCAGTCAAATAGCTTTTTGGTTGTGAGAACCCTTCTGTGTACAACCAGGAAAGAAATACCTACACTCATGATTTCTGTGCTACAGTACTTTAGTACTAGTATTGGTTTCACTATTAGATAAAAATTCTAAAACAATATACACAGTCATCTGTTTCATTTTATTCTGTCCTTGTGATTCCATTTGGACCTGGACCTAAGACACAGAACCTTTGCTATAGGCAACATTATAAAAAATCCTGAGGTCTAAAATCTTTTTAGCCCCTTTCAGTCTCCCCAGAGGAAACAAAATCCCCAGGTTTTGGTTTTCTCAAACATGCCAGATGCTTTTTTCCCCACAGATATATATCTGAGGAGAGAAGACAGCACCTCAGGTTTTTCAAAAGCCTCAGCAAAGCTTTCTCATAATGAAACACATCCATCCAGAAAGGAGACCTTTATCCTCAGCTAAATGTTCAGGTTCCTCGTTTAGTCAATGGATAGATCTCTTGGGGAGACTTGGCGAGAGAAGTCAATATAACCATCTCTGTTTCACAGAAAACTACCTGTTAGACCTCCCCCAAGCTGATCTACCTCAACCAGGCTGAACCCCAGCCCTCAGGCCCCCGGTACCAGCCCCCCCGTACCGTGCAGTAGCGCTCCAGCAGCTCCTCCGTCACCGGGTACCGCAGCTTCATCTTCCTGTACAGCCGGTGCTTCTCGTAGTATGTCACCAGCTCCACCAAGCTCTCAAAGTAGGCCGAGGTTCCCAGCACAAAGTGACGACCTTCTTGCTGAATTCGGAAGTGCTTCACCTTCCCCTCCGCCCTGCGGGACAAGGGCAGGTGCTGTGAAAGGTGTCGGTGCTCGTGGGGAGGGCTGTGTGTGCACTGCACCAAAGCTGCCTCGTGCATCTCAACCATGTGAAATGATTTCTCCCCCTAACAAAGCCTCTCCCATTCAAATCAAATTACAGTTGCCTGATTAAATTCACAAAAAACCATTCCCGCTTTTCTACAACATACAGAGCCCTGGGACAAATCCATGGTTTTGCTTGGATTACATTTCTGTGTTTCTTCCCCTACAGAGAGGTATTTTGTCACCTTTATACTAACACAAATATCTCTGATCAGACTGAGAGTCCCTCTGGAACCCTCTGCTGCTGATCTGCCACTGTCCCTAAGCACCAGACACACTCCCCTCAAAATGAGTAGCTGTCTCTTCCTTATAATCACCTTGATAACTACAGAAATCAATTTTGAAAGAAAAAAGAAATCTCTTGTACTTGAACACAAGGTTTGTGTTTGCATTGATAACAGCAAAACAATCCACTGACAACCATCCCACCCACAAAGACCCCCTTTCAAGCTGCTGAAGTTTTGGTACTTCTTGTTTTCCCCACTGTTAAATGTTTTTATTGAGATGCTGCAGCTCCAGTTACTTCAATATCCACCTTGGTAACAGCAGAAAGCTTCAATCTAAAGTACATAGGAGACTGGGGAATTTTGGACATCTTCAATACACAATAAGCATATACATGAGCAATTTTGTATGTTGCTAAATTATCCATTTTCAGAGAAATGCAATTTGATCTGAAGGCACGATGGAGAACACCACAATTCTCTACATTTTATTAATGTTTTTACAAGAGCCACAGTTTCAAAACTGTTTTCCCTGGTGAGAAAAGCCAACAATTTCACTTTGACATTTCTTTTCAGTTATATGACAGGTCAGGATTTCTAGGGGATAAGGACATAGAATCACTGATGAACCTGCACCAAAGAAACTTCAAAATAACACCATCTAGCAAGGGGTGTCAAAGAAGTGAAGAAGGGCTATGCACAGTTCTGAATGGAAAGAAAGGGACAGCTGGTGCTCAAACTGCCTTTATAAAAGCATAGAAGTTTATGCCAGTCACAAATTAACTCTTGTACACATTCCCATTCTTGGAGCTGCTGCACAAATCGATTACTCAAAAGCTAATTACTCAAAGTTTGAAAGCAAGAATACCATGACACTAAAAAGACCATTATTTTTTAAATAAGAAAAACCAGAACATTGTTGGGCTACTAGGTAGGGCCTATCTGTCCTTTTCTTACCTGAAAGTCATGGCAAACGAGTCAGGTTCATCTCTCTTCCTAATCAGAAAGGCTCCATCTCGAGGAATTCGCATGAGCATGTCTTCTGCCTCGCCCCGACTCAAGTTGCTGTAGTACCAACTACAACAGATAAAAACCAAAATGGACAAGGCATTACAAGGCTTGTCAAATGTCATTCAGAGAGAATAACAGACAGCATTATTAACAAGAGTTTCACACATTGTAAGAAAAATTAGATTTTCCCCATCCTGCCACCTATGACAGCAGTTTTTTACAAAACATTGGAACACGGAAGCTTATTTTGGAAGAAAGCAAGGAATATATCAGTACACCTTGTCTATCTCAAATCATAAAACATAAATCTACATTTCTTCCTGAAACAAAGGCACTGGATCCTGCTTTTAGTCTGCCATTCCATTCTCAGGAGTTGATTCAGTTTTGACACAGCAGATTTAAGGTAAAGCCCAAACATAGACAAAAGAAAGACACCAGGCATTTGAATTCTTTTCTTTAGTGCTTGATTTTATCTTCTCTGTAGGGATGGACCTATCTTGAGTCTGAAGCTGTGGCCACTTATACTGGCAGTATATCCCTACCTTATTCAGAAAGGCAGGAAAGTCTAACCCTTAAACTCTACCTTCCCCTCTCACTGGCTTCCAAAGTTACCTACAGGTGCTCAGTGACTCCCAGATCCCAGCAGGGTAAAAAAAAGTTTAGTCACAGATCAGTATTTTACATGCAAAAGAGATTTATTTTTCTCCCTGTGAAAGAAACCCAACAGAACAAAGGGCAGTGATTACAGTTCTCTGTCAGCAAACAAGGGCAAGCTCTGCCCAGGATCTGTGACAGGCAAACACCAGCTGGAAACAAGCACCGAGCTGTACTAGTTCCTACCACAGGGGGTGAAGTCAGCCTAACCAACTCTGACAGGGGTGAGGTGGAGGGCAGGATTAGGAAAACGTAACTGTTTGGGCTCACTGCCCCAGTAACAGTTTCCAGATGGCACAGACCATGACCACTTAGTTGCCAAACCACAGCCAACTACTAAATATCTAATCCAACCCACTGGGTGTTGTAAAACACTGAGCAGACAAAGAAGAAATTGGCACATTTCCACGGCATTACAGTTCTCACTGATTTTCCTAGTTGCTGCTAGTAAATTGCTTTCCAGTGACTGCTTTTTGTTGTACCAAGTCCTCACAAAGTCAGTGGTGTTACTCGGGATCTTTCAGGGATGCTTATTCCTCCAACTTCCAGGGACAAGCAATATTTAAAGCGCGCTCCTGAATCCAGGGAATTTTCTACAGAAAAATCCAAGACCAGCTAAAAACAAGGCAAAGGACACCGACATAACGACACTGCTTGCCTTCTGCTGTACGTACTCTTTAGTCTCATGAGGGCTGGGATTAGGCACAGCATCAGTCAGGCGCAGCTCAAACTCAGCACAGCGCAGGTGGGCCTCCTTGTAGTGCTGGATGAGATCGTAGATGCTGTCAAAGGTGAGGTTGTCTGTCAGGTAGTACTTCACAGTGTCCCCATCACCTGTGGAACGGATCCGGCAGTGCTGGACTCTCCCCGACCTCCTGAAGAAGTGAAGGGGGGCATAAGGAAAATACAGGTTTTATAACAGATTTTCTTCTTTTGAAGCCCTTCCCCACCCGTTCCTGGTCAACTAGTTGGTGAGCTTGTGAAGAGGCAAGTGTCATCTCGTAAAACAACCAAAAAAAAAAAACCAACAAAAATGCTGACAAGGGAAACTAAAGGACCAAAATAATAATTTTCAACTGACAATTGTTTAAAATCTGTCATAAACTTATTCTGCAAAATTTGCTCTGACAGCTCTCTGAGTCAGAAATCCATCTGACACTATTCCTCATAATGTCCCAACCAGAAGAATAAAAAAAAAAACCAAAAAACAACAAAACCCAGACTATGAAAACAAACAACCAACCAAAAAAACCAACTTCAAAATCTTTATTATTTTCCCTCTAGAGGATCCTTACATTGAAAAGATCAATCTCTGATAATAAAGGTACACTCATGAGACTACCTTTTCACTGTAGAAACAAGCAATTTATCTCTAAATTAAAAGATCTAATTTTGGCCCACTCATTGAGGATATAACAAATCCTATTTCCTGCCAAAACACAAAAAAAGTTGGGGGTTGGGGGAAGAATCAAGCCAGTCAGTCCTCTCTTGACAAATCTAACGCTTCAAATAAAGCCTACTTTGCCAAAATGTGCTATGTTACACTCAAGTTTAATTTAGAAAGTAGTCTTTCACAATCCCATCCATAACATTTGAGTATTATTCCTATTTCTTCTCAGCTATAAATGCATATTTTAAAAATACACACATTCTTGTGCAATGCCATAAAAGAAACAATCACCATACCAGAAAGACAAGGTGTAATCATCAGGGAAAGCTTCACTTTCCCTAACTAGGAATGTCCCATCCTTGCCACCCATTTCAGCACAATATTCCTGGAGCAGTTTCTCAGCAGTTGTTCTCCCCCCTTTCATTTTCCCGTGGAACCATTTCTCTTTTAAGTGCAGTTCAGTACGTTTCACCTCCTAGACCAGAAAATAAGAATTTTTATAATGCACTTCTAATTTTATGGTTTTGAAACAAAGTACTTGCTCTTGACAAAACAATCTCCTGTTTCAGGATTTCAGCTGAGCTCTCCAGCCAATCACCTTTATAGTCACCCTGCTTTACCAAGCACCACGTGCTCAACTGTGGCAAACACTTTGCAAAAGGGAAATGAACCCCTGTAAGAGGTGTGCTGGGTTAGTAACACAACAAACATTAGTTCATGCTGTTTAGTTTGAGAACAGCAATAATACTCCAAAGACTTTGTCAGTGCACACGTCATCATTAGCAGATAAGTACCAAAATTGTATTTAATTGTCTTTGTAATCATCTTTGAAAGTCCTCATTTAACCAAGGGAAAAAGTTATCTTATTAGAAATAGGGTTAATTGGAGTTAACCTTGGCAAAGACCCTTTTATAAACGTTTTATCTCCACACTTTTTACCTCACATGGCTCCTCTACAATTGCAACATTGGGTTAAAAAAATATGCATGTGTAGACACTGAAACAATCTGAGAGAATAAAAAGAACATGCTTAAACAATAAAACACAGCCATCACCTTTGATGAATCTTCATCAGCATTCTGTTCTATATCATCACTGAATGAAAGCTTTTCATCAGCAATAGCACAGTAGTGCCGAGTCCATTTCTGAAAGTTGGGAGACATTGAAACCATTAACAAGAAAAGAGGGAAACCACAATCTCAAAACAAGGTGTAACAATAAACAAAATACCTTCTTCCCCTCATCCACACCTGTTCAACTGGCAATATTACTTACACAAATACTAAAAAAATTCATGCAAATTTCTAGTATTACAGAACTGAGTAACAAACCAGCAAATGTCAGAAATAATACCTGTTCTATTGTGTCCCACATGTAAAGTTCTCCTTGCTGCTTCTTTTCTTCTTTCTTGTCTTCCAAGTTCACATCAATGTCTCCCTTTGGCCCCAGTTTTTTGTGCTAAAAAACAGAAAAACAAAAACCCCACCACATTCATACACTTGCAGAAAATCACACATAAAATTGCTCTTAATGTTTCAGCACACTCAGTATTACTGGAAGTTATTGCACAGTCACTTTCTGTCATTCCCATAACAGCAGCTGTCCTACAAGGAACACCAGGGCTGGAACTTCTTTCTTTAAAATTTAGATCTCATATAAAGGTTAAGAAACTAGCAGAGGTATCATTCAAGCAACAAAGAAACAACTAGTTTTATAAGATTTTGCTATTCTTTAGAGAACAGAAAACATGAAGTGACACGTACCAAGAAATAAGGATAAAACAAGAATCCTTCTGCAGAGAGCAGGTCATAAGGAACAAAAAGTCAAAACAAAATGAAAAGACAGGGAATTAAAATGAATGGGGATTTCACTCTTTTACAAGAAAAATGAGCACAAGGCAAATCTTTCATGAGAAAAAGGGGCCAAGCTCTACTTTCTTGAGAGTTCTTACAAAAACCAGTATCTCAGGGGGCCACAGGTAATATCACTTACTTAACTGCAGTTAATAATGAGATTGTCTCATATCTAGTTCTCAACCACTTTCAGTTCTGCATAGCCTACTGCTGTCAGATTTCAGTTTGACAGGCTTATCTGAAAAATCTCACAGGCCAGTAAAGCAGGAGTTGCCTCTGACTGTTTACTGACAACATTTTCCAAACAAAAGCCAAACAACACAACCAGCTCACTGGCAGGTGCTGATCTATTTAAAGACTCTTCAGTGCTCTTTTAGACAGCACTGAGTGTTATGGATGTTCTCTTGTGCACACTCATAGGAGTTTTCAATTCCCTTTAAATCAGATCTGTCATGTTATTAATCATGTGCCTGTGCCAGTCCCCTCTGTGCTCTGCAAGGTAACAACAAACAGTCTGGAGGGAAAAAAAAACCACCCAAAAACTTTAGCACAGAACTTTTGCACCTTATAATGGCGTGCTACTATTTCCAGACTGACATAATCTGGATGCTTATACCTTTCTACCCTTATTTCTTCTGTTCAGAAGTTTAATACAGAGGATGCAGTACTGTTAGTCAGAAAACTGCAGCATGGACAAAAGTGATTATTGTTTTACTAAAGAAATCATGAACAGTTCTCATATTCTTTACCTAATATTGCCTTTCAAAAAGGTTCTACTGCAGTTTCAGTCTGAGAAATAGTATTTCTGGCTCCTGCTCTTGTTTTCCTATTTTATCTCTCAGCACACAAAGCAAGCCCACCTTGATGATGATTTTCTCTTTCAGCTGGGTTGGTGATGGGAGCTGATCTGCACTGGCTTCTACAGGCTTCACTAAAAGCTGATCCCCAAATACCTCCTTGAACACTTTGGCCATGTGTCGCTGCTGCTCCACACTACAGTGCTCCTCGATTGACAGAATGACTGGGTATCTTTGATGCAGAAAAACAAGGTAAATGAAGACAATTTCTTATTATTACAGCTGGCAAGGCCAAGAAAACAACATCCTCCCTCACCCACCAGATGAAAGAAAATATCTGAAGCAAACAAGATGACAAAAGGAAGAGACAGACCTCAACAAATAATAAGAGGTGTGCAATCACAGAATCACTAAGGTCAGAAGGGACCTGTGGAGCTATCTAGACCAAACCTCTTCTTTGGGAAGACCCACATTTGGCAATAATGAAGACTACTGGATGTCATTTTTGCTCTAGATTATAGAGCAAATAAGTTCAGAAAGGGCTGTGAAAAAATGCTGAAGGAAAAATCAAACAAAGCTTACTCAGATGTAACAAAGGCATGATCTTTGATTGCCTGTACTACGTCATCAAACTTGATCTTTGTTGTCCGTGTCCATCCATGGTAAATGATGGGTTTCCCATCAGGACCATCCCAGCAATCCACTAGGGAAGACAAACAGTGGAAGAAGGAAAAGACCAAACAGTTCCTTAAATCACTCTAGTAGAAAGAATACATCCAAAACTTCAGTGTTCTACATACTGATTCATAGACTTTAATGTTCTAATAAAATATTCCATTACATGAATTTATATCTCTCCCAGAGGAAACTGAGCTCATTTAAGTAAGAGCAAGACAAATATGATACAATATAAAATCTTCCCAAAGCATTGTTATGTGGGAATCTGGAACAAGAAATTCTAGCAAATCCGTGTCAGTCTACCAGGTTAGAATAATTTTCCAAGGATAAATACAATTTCAACGTGGCAAGTTGAGAGCTTATGTCTTCTGTTGATTTTGACCCTGAAACTCTACTTTGAGATACATTTTGCATCAGCCAAATTGAAGAGGCAATAGAACCTAGTTTTATGAAGTAACTGGTAAAATAACATGAAATAAAGTTAAACTTTTCAATAAGGAACACAAGCACACAGATAAGATGCATTCACAACTGATGGAGAACAAATGCACAAAAGACATCAACTGATTTACAAGCAAGTTGAACAGGATGACAAATGACACCAAATCACAAAAATCTCTGTGTCTTAGGTTTGTCTGTATTACAGTAAAGGCAAATAAACTATGTGTCTATGCTACACAAGTGCTCCAGTTTAAATCCTAAGCTTTCATATATATTCAAGATTGAAATTTTGGTATACACTGAGAGGAGATTTAGGAAGACCTTCTGAAAACTGCAAGGGAACAAGAATCAGAGGAAGTGAATGGGGCAATAGTGGGACATCAGAAAAACAATTCAGGGAATCAGTGTTCTTTATATGACTAACTTCAAATTCAGAAAACAAACTAGTTCTTGATTTCGGTTCTTTTTTCTTTCTTGGTAAACAGAGGACACTACTTGTACAGACAGCATGTTACAAACTACTCCACAAGCTCTTTACTCACACTCAATACATCGACATCCCATTCTAAGGCACCTGATGTAGGCTTCTGTGGAGGATTCACTTCGAAGTTGGTCTCCTGTCAGGTATCTAAGGAGTAAATGGAAAAGGTAAAAGACAGGGAGTCCATTTCACCCAGGTCTCACTCACTCACTGGGTGATATTCTGTCTCCTGTAATGGAGAATATATGTTGATTTTTTTAATTTTCTTTTTTAAATTGTGATGGAAGAACCAAACTCTGCTGAACCTGATGTTATCAGATTTTTGAATGGACAGAATTCTAGGAGGTTAAAGCCTCAATATAAACATCAACAGGCTCTAACTGACACGCTTCTAGAGAGCAAATCATGAGCTTTGAATCACACCTAAACCACATCATGCTCAGGCATGATCATGTTGGAGGGATGTGGAGGGTATTTAGAGTGATACCACACCTCATACTTCAAAATACACCTGTAAGCTATATCCACATCCATTTTATTGCATTCCCTGCAATACTTTATTTGTTCATCTCTCCTCCCTCTCTTTACATCTTTTTTTGTTTTTTATTATTCATTTTTGCTAGATGAGCAAATCCCTTTCATCTGAAGACAGTTCAAACTCATCATCACATCCTTTGTACAACTAATGCTGACAGGAGCTCAGCAAGGCTGTTGGTGCTTGGAAAAAAAGGGAAGCTCCTTTAGTAACTTATATTTCTGAAGGCAGAGAGGCTGGAACAGTTTCAACTCAATACTTTTTTATTTTTGTAACAAGGTTCAGGGTTTGGGTTTTCTGGCAGCTGAGCTCAGTTATATCTCAAAAGCTGAAAGATCTTCTGAGAAGGGGAAAAAGGAGTCCCACAAACTCTATTTAGCACATTTACATCACACTTTAGGAAGGTTTCACACATCCACACAGTACATTTCTGGCATAATTTACTGTCTCCTAGCAGGTGTTAGGCTTGTTTGAATAGGGATAGACAGTGGGACTTCTGGTAACTTACGTGTTATGAGAGGAAGAAATCCAGTAGTGGGACAAAGGATTATTCATATCCTGCACATCTATTGAATCATATTTCTCATCCCAAATACTGTTTTCTTTTGCAAAAAGGTAAGCAAGGAACTACAATACAAAGAGAGAGAATTTAAATGTTTATACAAGACTGAAAGAAGGCCAGCAATGTAGCAAGAGAGGCCTACAGGACCTGCCATCCAATGAAAATATTGTGAAAGAGAAGAAGTCCATGAGAAACACTAAAAAGTACCATTATCTCACCTCATCAACAAAGAGGAAAGGTTCAGCAGTTTCTCTCATAGTGTCATCAATAAACTTTGTCATTCGTTCTCTGACTTTACTGAGATCTTGTGCCCAAGATTCCTTCAGATAATAAAAATACAGTAAAAAAAAAAACTTTAGAAGTGATGTCATTCAATATAAAAATCAAACAAGGAACAGAGAGACCTACAGAAGTGATTTACTTCTTTCTCATCTGCCTCATACAATATATTTTATTGTAATCACATATCTTAAGGGTTTCCCTTATGATGTCAAAGGGGGGAAGAATAAGATCTCCATGTAAGTACATTTATGGACTGGAGGTCCAGAAGATATACACTACTTAAGTACATATATGCACTGACACAGAAAAAAGCTGGCCTCCTTGGACATTGCTTCACTATAATCTCTCTCATTTCTAAGTGCAATCTGAATGTCCTTTGAGCACAGTGCAATTGAGAGAAAAAGAAAGTAGCAAGCTTATACAGGAAGTGCAAGTCTCGCTTTTCAACCATATTTGCAAACCTGGAGCTCAGCAGCGCCGAGCGAATCTCACACAATTTTTTCCCATGGAGTCTGTGCTAAGTAACATCATAAAAAACCATGAAGACAGTTCCAGTCCCTGCCTCCATCCTTATCTGCTTGCTGGCACGGGACATATAACTGGCTGTATTCAACAGAAAATTACCTTTGAGTGGAATGCAGGCAGGCAGCTTTGTGAGAGCTGCTAAAATGGGGCCATGGCCAAGGCATTACCACGGTGCACCTCTGCTGACAGCTGTAACCAGGCCAGGCAACCATCTCTGACACACACCCAGCATTTATTTCTAACCTTGTCTGTTTATCTACATGACTAAGTGGAGGCCTGTTAAAACCTTATTTACTTTGTCCTCCTTCTTGTCCTCTGGTGCACCTTCAGAGGCTTTACATAGATGAAAAATAATAGTTCTTGTGAGCTTCAATGGCAACAAATGAGAAATCTTTCCAAGGCCCAGTATTACAGTGAAATCAATCATATTCTAGGACACATCACATTTCTTTTTAATGAGCCCAGAATTCTGTGAGACAATCTCAAGGAAAATGAACTCAGTATTTCTGCAACCTTCCCACCTGCTGCTCGTGTAGCAGGAATCTCTGAAAGTCGTGGAGGTGAACTGCTGAAGCATCTGGACGGTCAGTGTTTCTTTAAAAAAAGAAAGAGAAAGTGAGGTTAAAGAAATAAGAGAGCAAGTGTGTTCAGATATTACAGCAGAAGATGATACGGATTTGTGTCTTGGATTTACAGTATGAATGTGCTGCCACCACCAAGAAACTTCATATAACTTCAATGGAATTGAGAGTAGGCTTGTAGCATTGTAGTATCCAGTTACTGCATTTTGAGCCTCCAGGACTTCTGAATGTATCTTAACAGTAATTCACTGGGAAAAGTAAAAATCTGTGCTCATTGCCGTGTAGCAAATGAGCAGCATTCACTTGACAGGGGTGTTGGTAAGTTCAGCTGAGGCAAATGGGGACATTGTTCTTTTAAAATATCACAGAGCCACACTTCCACAAATAACTCCTTCTGTGGAATGTTTAGATGATCCACTGTGATAGAGCAAAACCTGAAAAAGGAGGCATCAAGCTGCACCAAGGAAAAGTGGTATGACTGATTTCCCTTTTGTAGGCCACAAATGCAGCAGCACGTGGTACCAATGGTACCAATAAGGTAATTATAACCTACCCACCCTTGATAAATCTGTGCTTTTAAGCAGTCTCACAAAGTTCAATTCATATGACATAACCCAGGGTAAAAAAAACCCCTTGGTACACTCAGAGCAAACTTAAGTTACTTTCTTAATCTGTTAGTGTAATATTCAAACCCAGGATAAACTGTTGTAGTCCACAGTCAAAGGGTTAGCAATGCCTGTGACCTATTTTTGATGCTGTACACATCTTACTTAAATGTTCAAGTCCACCAAGAGAAAGGTGCAGAAGCTGTTACTATCAGCATTCTGCTCAAGTCTAGGCAAAGCCTGTGCACCACACCACTGTCCAGACTGAAGTTAAAATTTCTGCATCAAATGGTCCTTCCATAGTTCTGTTCAGCTCTTTATAAAATCAAAGGATAGGCAACTTCACTTGTTCAAGTCCATGCCATTTTTGTAGTCAGAAACTAAAAATCATTCATCAAATTATGTTCAAGACTTACTTCCAACGTAAGTTCACCTTTCTGAATGCAAAAATGTGTATAATTTCTTTTCACTTACTAAAGCATCACAACAACAACAACAACAACAAAACAGTGATGTAATTAAAAAGCAATCCTGCAGCATTACAATCATATGGAAATGTGGAAAAATAATACAAATGAAGAGTCTCACCCAAGAATGAACACAGAGGAATCCTTTTTGAATTCATCAAGAATCTTAAAACAAACAAACAAAAAAACAAAACAAACAAAAAATGAGGAAAATAAAAATAATAAAAGAATATGCAACTTTCTATCTAAGTCCATCTAATTATGTCCATTGGTTTGGGAAGGGGAAATAAATGCCTGTCTGCTCCACAGAAGTTGCATACAAGTTGGCAAGACACATTTTTAATTGAATGCATGAGAAAAAACACACAAAGTCTTGGGGAGCTTTTATTGTTTGATATCCCAGAAAAACTGGAATTAAGTGTCATCCATCACATTTATTCATGTGAATATAAACCCTAAATTGCTTCCAGCTTGGCACAGCATCGTTACAGATTGCAGGAAACTTATCTACTGATCCAAAGCACTTGTTAAGCAAACTGAGAAGTTTCTTTGAAATGATTCACAAGGGGCAATAATGAGAGCTTAAGGAAGTCAGAGAGTCTCCTTGCTGTGTATTTTAGTCTTCAGCTTTCTGCTTAAGCTAATTAACAAGACTTTCATGACCAAAACCAAAACCCTGTCAGTAAATTTAGGTTCTTTATCACTTCATCATGATTTCAACATCACTTTTAAACAGCACAAGCTCTACTGCCAAAAAACCAGCACTAACTTCAACTATCAAAGCTTCCATTTCAGTATAGGCAAGTTGAATTGACAAGAAGCACGTAGTCAAAGACATTCATGCAAGTAATTTCAAATTATGTGCTTTCACACAGTTTAAAAGGGTTCCTATCTTTCAGAGTCACTAAATGTATGCAGTTTACACCAGCTTCAAGAATCTATACAGTGAATACATGGAAACAGCAGTTAGGCAGGTGCCCACTTAAATTAGCTAAAATGTAACTCCACTGCATTTATTCCTGATGTGTGTCCTGTAACGGACTCACCACTGGTAATCTGGAATATGGAATTGCCTCTATCAATAAAAAGATCAGCCAAGCTTCATGAAAAGGCATTGTACATCCTGAACAAACTCACAAGAAAACTTCTTCCTAAAACCCCCATTCCATCTGTGCACATTTCTACTACCAACACATAAGAAGCAACATGAATCACTTATTCACCTTCCTATGCCAATTGTTGATGGTGACTGCTATCTACACATCTAGTACAGTAATACACCCTTCTTCTGGTACGAGAATGAGGGAAAAAGAAAACCAGTAACAAAGAGAAACAAAAAGATAATCAGCTCTCACCCTTTATTCCAATCAAGCAGTTGAACATTATGAAGGTTATTTATGAAACAGCTTACCGATTTCTGTTGTTCAAACATGACTTTCTTGTAGAACAAATGAAATTGTTCAAAAGTAAGCTCTTCCTTTTGAGCACCTATTTCCTACAATGGAAAGCAGCATACAGTGAATTTAGAATTTCCTGAGCTGCACTTGCACAGTGAACAAGTTACTCTTAGTCCAGTTGCCACCCTCTCACACATCCTGGTCTACTCCAACTTCATTTGTTTTAAACACTTTGGATTTTTTAATTTATTTATTTATTTAATAATACAAACAAGTAAATAGATGTTGCTTTATGACATAGTGTTCCTAGAACCCATCTTTGGCCTTACATTTTGCACTCTGACTCCATTCCCATTACTGAGAGATAAATAGTGCCTCATTTACTCATGGTTGAGAGCACTGAGAGCATTGAGAGCATGGTTGAGAGCATTTACTCATTGGGAGAAGGAGAAGCACAGATGTCTGCTTTAAGGGTGGAGAGTTAAAAGCAGGAAGAGGTGGGGATATTTAAAGTTCCTGTAGGAAAGGAAACAACCTTTAGAGTTTGAGCAAAGAGGTTATTATTGATCATATTGCAAAAAAAGGTCTTTATCTTACATATGAATTTTATCTTAAAGATAAAATAATTTCCTATGCACTTGCACTGTACTGAAGCTCAAAATCCAATGTTTGCTCTAGTTAACCATACAATGAAAAGAAGGAACATTTATGTCATATTTTCTTAGAGCCTTAGCTACAGGCAAAGCCAAGCTGAGAAATTAACCAACATAATTTATTTAACTGTACATGGTAAGAATCAAAAATACAGACAGTGTCCTAAAAAGAAATGTCAACATCTATCAGATAATTCCAAATAGATTTAAGTAATCAGGTAATTACCGCAAATTTATCCTTTAAGAACTTCATGCTGCTCACTTTGAAGTTCACTTGGGGGAGGACAGTTTTCAGCTCTCTAAGACTGATACTGGGGGGAAAAAAAGAAGAATTAAAAAAAAGATAGTAAAACCACTATAGTTCTGTTGTATCTCATTGTATCAGCTACTCATATATTTTCTGTCAACACAAAAATGTGACTATTGAAACATTTTGGGTTGGGCTCATCTCACATACCTGTAAAGTTCTATAAACATAACACCTACATGGAAACAAGGTAGACACAGAGAAACAGGCACTTCAATTCATGTGAACATCCATATCAGGATGAAAAGAATCATGTTAAAGAGACACCTATTTCTCTCCATCAACAATTAATCAGATCTAGATGATCAGCTCAAATGTAGATGTTTTTACATGGTCAAATGCAGCCTTTCCTCCACTGTTCTAGTCTCACTGCAACTGGATTATAGACACAGAAAACATCACACAAAGGATATACCAAACAGAGTAGAAACAGAAAATAAAAAGCTTCAGTTTTCTGTATATTTTCTATACTAGTATAACCCTTTTCTACAGCTGTTATTCACTTAGATGGTAACGCTGATTTGCAGAGAAGGCTCTTCCCTTCTGCAACATCTGAACATGACCTCATATTCCCTTCCCAACCAAGTCTTCCCAGAAAGAATTGCCTTCCAGTTTCATATACACAGGCCTCTGATCCTTTTTACAGAGCTTTAGAATGTTCAGTGATATACCAGCAGCAGTTAAAACCCCAAGTTTTCTAGATGACAGCAAGACAGCAGGTCAAGAGAACACAGGCACAAGATCTGTGGGTCCTACTGCCCACAAAACATTAATGCACTACCAAGAGTACCCAATAAAACAAGACTGAGGTACCCTGCCTTGACCTACAGTGCAATTCATAATCCATTAACTCCCTGCAAACACAGAGTCAGAGCAGAGTCGCTTGAAAAGCAACAAAAACAATTAGCACTTAGATGAAAGTAACACTTCTATTCTACACTGTCCATACAAGCAGCAACCCCATGAGATCCTCTCATCTCCATTGTGTAGTGAGGGAAAGAGGCAAAGCAATAAGGAACTTGGTCAAAGTCCATGCTGAAGCCAGATTAGAACTCAGGAAATTCCTGGCTTTCCGCCTTGTCGCCAGACCTCTGGAAAAAAACACCATTAGGAGCAAGAATGAGCACTCCATTTGTACCTTAAACACCAAGCCATTTCCTCTGGCCAGACAAGTGCAAGTGAAAACAAAGAGCTGGGACTTCATTACCACTGGAAACAACTCCACCTGTGAAACAGGACTTGCCTGGAAGCCTAACCTTTACAATTAACCTCCCTAGAAACTGCAGCTCTAAACACAATGGAACTCAGTCCAAACTCCTTTCCTGAATTTTAATAAAAGCATGAATCATCTAGGGAGAGAACAAAAAACTGCCCTCTCCACAGAGCAAGTCCCCTTGATCCCAACCAAGCTGCCTTGTAGTGATGAAACCACCCTAAAGCAACAAATGAAACCTCTTCAGCAGACACCTACTGTCAGCCACAGCTGCTCTATCCTAACATGGTCCCCAACAACACATTCCCATTGCAGGGTAGTTTTCAAAGTACATCAGGAGGAACAAGTGGATATCCAGTAAAGGATGGTACATGGCTCTGAAATGGTTCTCAGCTCAGCCTGCCCTGTGCCACAGGCTGTGTGCACAGGGGTGTGATTTCCTGCAATACCTCAGCCTCATTCACACAATGACACACCACACTGCAGTTTGCTTGTAGGAAAAGGTGTAAATGAGAGGAAAAGCACGTACTTTTCTACACTGAATTACACTTTAGAATAAAATGCATGTTCCAGACAAAGAGAAAAATCATGGTAAAGTAATAACACACAGGGAAGGAAGGATTAACATTTTTCTCAGTATCACATGACTTCTGACAACTTTGAGGAGAGGTTTGCAGCTGAATTGATTTAAAAAAAAAAAAAAAAAGAAGTCTCCTTTGCTGTGCAAAAGCTACAAAGCCACATCAACATGGATCTGAAGTTAGCCACTGAAACTAAAACACATGAAGCTACACAGCACACTGGGAGCTATAACCCACAAGGCTTCTTTCACATGAGAAGCACCAGGTCAGAGGTGATTCTTCTGCTTTGGTCTGTTCAAATATGTGGCAGAGACAAGCCCAGATTGCCAGGCCAGCTGCTGGTTTGGTCTGTCTGTGTTAGAGCCTGGTCACTGCAATGCAAACATGGTCAGCAATGAAGGAAGACCTGGTGGCACAAGAAAGCTCACAGCAGGTTATACAGTCCAAGCATCTGGGCTCCAACTTGGTCATGAAGGGGCAAAGACCTCTATAAAGCAGGCAACCCAACTACCTGCACTCTGAGCTCAATCTCTGCAGTAAGACTGGAAGATGACAGCTACTTTTCCTCATTCTGCCAGAGTAATTCTAGGCTAAAAGCTAATCTACTTATTTTTCATCATTTTTTCTTCATGTACAAGAACATGAGTGAGTGCTACAAACACATTTGTTTTTAGCAAATGGCAAAATTCAAGTTGTTAGATCAAGAGCAAATATCATTTTCAGGGGCCTCATATTTCACATCTTGGACAGAGAATTATTTATTTATTTTTATTCCAGGTTAGAATCTGCAACAGAATTTCACTAAAAACAACTGAACAAAGACAGAGCTTCTTACCTATTTCTTCTACTTTGATCCACAGAATAGATCTGCTTTCTCAGCCAGCTTGTGGAAAAGAGGGGAAAAATGGGGAAAAAAAAAAGAGGTTAATTTAAGAATTATAAAGAAAATACAGCCAATGAAATATCAAAATCCATAGACAAAACTCAACAGAAATACCTATCTTTAGATACATCTAAGGATTCAGTTTTATAAGTGCATTTGTAAACATGTACTTTTTTTGCTGCTTAATACTGCATTTTCAAGTCAATAAAACAACAAAAGTCATATAAACAACACAGGAAGGGGAAGGGTGGGCAGGACTGAAAAGAATGAGCAACCAGAAGCTGTGAAAACATAAGTGGATAAAGCAAGCCAAAACTTCAGCTAATCTAAACTGGAATAACTCCATAAAGTCAATGATTTATGCCAGTTGAGGCTGCTGGCTCAAAGATCTGTTAGATGCATAAGTGCATACCAGTTTTAGGTGCACAGTAAAATACTGTTAGCAGCATTAACAGTAAATATATATTCACACACACACAATTTTGATCCAAAGGATGAATGCACTGCTAAGGTGATCCTCAGACTCAACAGGAATTACTCATTTGACATCAATGTCAAGGCCACAATTTGGTCAGGGAGCAAGAGAGGGCAGAGCATACCCTGACAACAGGTAACAGAAGTGACCATAAACAACAATGACAACGCCAGCAGTGACCAAAAGTAATCAGGTATGGAGACAACACTGAAAGCTTGTCACCAGAACTGGCAGTCTGAGAATGAGCAGTTTCATGTCCAACATCCTCAGAAGATTAAGGGCACAGGTTCACCATCATATGGCTGCTAAAGAAATAATTCTTAAAAATGTTCATTTTCAGCCTGAGCCTCCAAGTCAGCTGATCACATTGCCACACAACACAATGGGGCCAGTAGAAAGTAAAAACTGCAAAAATGTACCTCGGAATTACTAGGACACAGGACACATGGACAACTACTGGAACAAGCCTACTGTGGCTGCATAAGACATTTGAATTTCCCACGTACACCAGGTGTTCTTGTGATCTCATGAAGAGATTTTGGGTTGGATACAAAGAACAAGGTAAACTGCAACCTTGCATTAGTGGATGAAGTAGAGCGAGATTCCAGAGCGTGTATGTAGCAAAACAGACAATTTCCATATGAGCTTTCAGTATCATACACTAATGGAGAGTAGCTGTTCTTAGGGTAACGGCCAAGCACCACTTAAACATTTCTTTCAGAGTTTCCCCTTTCAATTCCAGAGCAGTATCCAGCCTCCCAAAGTGAAAGTATGTCCACATACCTCTCTGTGATGGCAGGTGTGGGAGCACTCATGACCTCTTGATACAAGATATTCAAGCCACACAACCATTTATCAGTATCATCCTTAGAGTCAGCTGAAAAAAAGTAACACACTGTGAGAAACATCAAAACAAAATCGTTACAAAACCAAGACATAACTTGTGATGTTTAGATAAACCCTAGTATACAAAGCTGCAGACTAACCTTTCTGTTTGATAAATCTCATTGCATAGCTTAATGTTTCCAATAATAAAACTAATAAGAAACAGCATAAACTTGGGAGTAAGGAAGTTCTGACAAAAGATACCTCCTTTTGGAAGTCTGCTTATCAGAGCAGGAAAGTTTCAATATCTCAGCAGAAGCACTATGAAACTATTGCTGAGCTCCTGTAGTAACACAATCAAAATTAATTTTCTTATCTTCTGTCTCCAAAGGGGCAAAATCCCAGGACCTAGATCAGAGCAACTTGAAGTGCACAGGAAAAAGAACTCAGTGCTATAGCATAAAGCTGCTTATATTTCAAGCAACTTACAACAAAATTGCAATATACTGGCTTTCAATGGACATAACCACCTCCTGTCTGTCCTAACCAGGCCTCTAAACACAGATTATTCCAGAATAAATTCAGGCAAGAGGAAAAGAATAGGAACAATGTACAAAACCGGTGTAGCTTATATAGAACATATTTTAATACGAGTTAAAAAAAAGGTCTAAAATTCCTTACACAGCTTAATACTAGAAGACAAGCCCTGAAAATTAGTATATCACTGTCTTGTTTGGTTTAAATTTAGTTCACCTTTCCATTTCCCACACCACAAGAGTCCTCCACATCGTTTATTGTGATTGCATTTGGTGATTCTTCAACCCAACAGAAGCAAGATGATGAACTGCCTGCTGGGCACAGCCTTCCCTAGAAAATACTGGCTAAGCTGAAACCAATTTTCTGAGCCTTGGATGAGATGTGAACATCACAGCCCTCAACTGGGCAAAGCCCATCTGATTTAGCATCCAGGCTCTGAAATTTCAAGAAGGCTTTCTTCAATTAAACCAGTTCTGAATATTTATTTTCGCACAGGAGCTGTAATCCGCGCAAATTCTTTTAATGGCCTTCAAAGCAAACCAGTTTCTCAAAAGATGAAGATTACATTTTATTTAAGCATACTTTCAAACAATGCTTTATGCCCCAAGGATGAAGCTAGAGCCCAGCCTCAGCTCCCCATGGAAATGTTTTTCAATTAGTTACAATTTCAGAAAGAACACCCACTACCACTGCCAAAGCAATTCTTCTCCCAAGACAATTCCGCCCTTTATGACAGCTACCATTCCCTTTAAGCAACAGTTATTTTATATTGTTTTAAGAAACCACGACAAAGGACTTTAACAAGGAAAAGGATTTCCCCCTTAATTGAAAGTTATGTCATGCTGTTCTGCAGTTCAGCCTTACAGCAACATATCTCATGGTACCAAGTGTTTTCCAAGTCTTGGCAGAGCCCTATTTTGGGAAGTGCCATGGAGGAGGGACTGGAGGGGCTGTTAGAGGAAATCAGTCTTAAGTACCTGGCACAGCTGCACATAAGCACAGCCACTTACTCAAAATTTTCACAGACTTCAGTCAACAATGGTAAAACTTATTTAAAGTTAAAAGCCTCTAACAATGGATTAGTCACAAGCAATCTTTCATTTCGAGAGCGTCAGACTGCAAAAAACTTGTCTTCTAGTACTGCAATCTATAAGCAATTCATTCCATTAAAAAAAAAAAGAAAGAGCTGGCAGCATTAAAGCACTTACAAAGCGCTCCCCTTTCCTCACATCATGATTTTGCAAATGAATTTAATGATTTAAATGAGTAAGCGTGTTCTTGCTCAGGACAGAGAGAGCTACTACTCCAAATAAATTGCCTATATGATTCTAAACCAAGGATCCATTACAAACTTTTTAGAAGAGAAATCTCTTGGCAAACTCTGCTAGTTAGAAGCTGTATTCAGCCTGCACTGTAAGAATTTATATCCCTTTTCATTTCAAATTCTTTGGGTTTTGTGACCCTGGATAATCTCACCTGAAATAAGAAATGCCCCAACCCTTTCCGCAGATACAGGATACAATGTCCCTCTGTTTCACAAAGATCTCTTCCTTTTCAATTTATCATCTTAGAAATTTATTTATGGTGCCCAAGCAGTTCTTTAGAAAATGTTAGTATTATCAGGTGACATGCACACACATAACCTAAACTAGAACTCCATTTTCTCAGATTAATCTCCAGTTGCCCATAGGTGATAGGAAAGTTTCTATGACACAGCTGTGGTCTAACCCTTTATGGCTATTTTTTCCAGAATCATTTTGGCAGACTTAAAATGCCAGGACAATATTCTGGCTGACAAGCTGACTTTGAAGAGGACAATGTTATCTCTGCTCTTCAGTGTAGAAAACCTTACTGGAGATATTTAACCAGCAAAAGTCTACCTTGCTAGAAATGATTGAGCAAATCAGAAATAACACTTGCACAATGCACTATTTGAAAGTGAAACATTAAAATGCAGCAGTTCACAGACAAGGAGGGCCAAGTAAAAGATCTATCTCCAGATTTTAAGCATCTGATGCACTCCTGAACTCCTGAAGTTAAAACCACAGTATTCTTTGCATTACTGTTCCATCAACATGTTTGATTTGTTCAGTGGTAGCTTTAAAGAAGAAACAAAGAAAAGTACCTGCTAAACTTAAGGTGTTGAGGACAAACTGGGTGCCATAAAATATAGTAAAGCAGTGTTCTTCTCTGTGCCTTGCTCTGCAACGTTCAAAGTCCTTTGAATTCTTCCCTGGGCGAATTTCTTTTATTTCCATCAGATCCACTGAAAGGAAACAACAATCAGTCAGTACAACTGCAGAGCCTGAAACAGTAAGATTAATAACTCAAAGCATGCCCACACATATAAAATAGCTATATGTATAAACTTACAGGTTTGTATTGCACAAGAAATGCAAATTGCACCAGCTTGCAATCCAAGAATCCAAAAGTAAATATATTACTGACTAATAGACAATGCTAGGGAAGGATTAGAAGAAGAAGAAAAATAACTTGGCGTATTTTTATTATTTCACTATCACTGTCCATGGACAATGTGCACACACATATGGTCCTTTGGGTTACAGAAGATATGATTTCACAAACAGCATTAACTCTAAGAGAGATTTCCAATTGCCATGACAACTGTTCAAAGAAGAAGATACAGCTTCTACCTTACCCACCTAAAAGTTACAAATCATACCATAAGCAGCTAATCTTGTCACCTAGTGCAGTCACTGGCACTTGTAAGAAAAACATTTAAAGTAGGAATATAAACAGAAAATTGAGCTTAATAATTAAAAAGTTTGTGAGTTTTCTCATGGCCAATTCCAAAGATGTCTCTCTCTGTTATTTAACATAAACTGCTGTATCACTTTCAGCTTGCTGCTCTCTAGAGAACACAGGTACACATCGGAGCACAGCAGAACAGGAACACTGCACAGGCACACACTTTCCCAAGTCAGCTCCCTTTTTGTCAAACCTTTGTTACAAGGCCTGCACAACAGGAGCAAGACAGCACTGAAATAGAAATATGTGCACTCTCAAGATAAGATACTTATTAGAAAACTGAGGAAGTGGTTTTGTTCTGCCTGTGGACCAGACAAATAAACAGCTCTTCCCACTTGTGGACAGTCTTGTCTTACGAGCTACAGGATGAAGCGCGAAGAAAAACATTTCATGGCTGCTCTTGAAATGTGTTTATCAGACTTAGCAAGATCCAAGGAAAACAGCTGAGGGTTTCTGTCCATGCAATTAAGAATACCACAGCATAAAAACCCTGTTTTAAATGAGCACCTCATCAGTAACAGAAGACAGTTAATAACACAATGAAACAGCAACTGCTGCCAACAGAGGGTGAGCTGAACAATGGGTAAAGCTTCAGTTTGTTGTAATGCTGCATTTCTATGATGCCAACATGGGAAGGAGAGACAAGCAAGGAAGTTCATCAACAAAATCCTGATAATGAAACATTAACTCATCTTGGAAGCAAAGTATCCCAGGCCAAACTTTCTACCATACTCCTTTCTCTCAGTCATTAAACAACTTCTTTTGGGAAAACGAGACCTCAAAGGTTAACATGAACTAATCAGAGGACACAAACATCTTTCTTAAACTCTTTTCTCCAAGCATCTTTAGCCTCGAGGTAGAGTTTTCAATGTCTCAACCTTCATGTCTCAGCCACCCTCTCAAACCACATAAACATCTCCTAAGATCTGCATATTGGCCAAGGGCCTTAAATTTAGAGGCAAACTTCTAAGATAAATTCATGCTGCAGCTATAAATGACCACGAACCAAAAGCTCCTAACGATGACTGATCCTCTTACCATCCAGAGGCTCTCTTAGACCCCTAGTGAGGTATCCAAATTACCATCCTAAATGCCACCATCCGAAAAAGTTGATCTTAGCCCACCAACTCACCTTAATATCAGCAGAGAACACACTTTTAACTTCAAAGTGACTCCTTTCAGACTCCTATAAACCCCCACACATGAACACCACAACACGAAGCCCCCCTTGAAGTACAAACTACGAGCAGCGATAAAGCAGATTTCACAACCTGCACTGCTGTTGTCATTTCCAGGGGCTGTTACCTCACACTGACCTCTGAAATAATACAAAACTTACTCAATGCCTCCCCTCAGTTACACACACTCACTACAGTTCTCCTTGCCTTAAGGCCTTTCAACCCTGCCATGCCATTCTCCTGCATGAACGTGTGTGTATATACATTGAGGCACAAGGATTTTTGTGTGCACAGGCACATTATTGCTTCTCCAACTGGTCTCTGAAAAAGAGATCACTATGACCTAGTGGCTAAACATTCAGAAGACTAGAGGAATGGTTCAGCAAGAGAACAAAACACGGGGAAGAGGAGGAGAGAGAAATATTTACATAAAACCCACTCAAATTCAAAATTTTACATTCCTCTACTTTTCTGGCAACATATTAAATATATCCTATCGAAGTCTGGCAAGATAGCACTACATTTGCTTAAATAATAAATGAAGCAAAGATATAATATATATTACACTTGCAGAAAATGAATAGAAACTACCTGTATAACCTTAATTACATTTTATAGTGCCATTTAGCATGTATTATTCTATCTCATTGAAAGAAAAGCCAAGGCAGAAAATCGGAGAGAGAAAAGAGAAACATGCACATCAAGCATAAATTTTGGTCTCACACTGAGCTCCATGGTCTTCCCAGGTAGTCTGGAGTTACCTGGCCCCTTCCACATGATGCCCATGAACTCCAGTGGCTGATCCCAACTGAACCGAGAAAGGAACGGGCCAGGAAAAGCTACAACATGTTTCAGACTCAGATTAGTAAATCAACTGTACCAACTTAGCTGTTACACACTTACTGTGAACTTTTTATAGCACAATCTGTCACTGAACAAGTAAAATGTAACTTCATGCCTGTGCCAGAACTACAAGCACAGCACTTCAGACACTCTTATTTTGTGCTGCCTTCAAGCACTGAGCCTTCCTCCTCCTCCTCCTCAATGCCACGTGCAAATTGCAGACATACCCTGGCCTGGCTTCACAGACACATATTCCTGGGACCTGATACACCCAAAAAAAGCATAGACCTGAACATATGCAGCTTGCAGTGTCAGATCAAATCCGATACATTTGCAGGTGCAATTTCCACAAAAAAGTGAAAGAAGATGAATGCATTTCCCAAGGAAACCCAAACCAGAGTATGCCCTGTAGAGAAGTTGACTCGCATCCAGCCAGACATGGACACTCCCAACACATTCAGTCCCCAGCCAAATAGTTTGAAGAAGTCTAGTGCCACTCTAAACCCCACAACACTAATTTACATTTCATCCATTCCTTCATGTGGTTATTTCCCCAGGTTGAAAGGATCTCCTTGGCAGCCTCATCAGTCACTGATTTATTCTGACAACTCCCTCAAGCAGCTCTTTAACAAGACTGGACTCCAAGGCACCTTCAATTACCATCCTGTCTCAGGCTCTGATCTGGATGTCCAGTATTCCTGGCAGTTCAGAGCCTGAAGCTTCTGAACTTCAGCTCCTGCTGCTGTGTGTTGTTTGGCAAATCAGTTAATTCAATGGATCATTACCCTACTACATAGCTGCTTTCCAAAGACTGCACAGATTAATTGCTCAATGCCTTCCAGGGTACCTGCTGGAGCTCTTTTACTGCCATGAATTTCACAATAAACTTTTGATCTTCCACATCTCCACTGATCTCCACTCCAATAACCTGGCAGCAGTGATCACGTTTAGTCACACTCTCGGAGGTAGAAATTCCTGTTACATTTCCTTCAGTCACACTTAGAGGTAGAGGGTAAAACAGAACTTGGATTTCACTACAGCAGGTGCTGTGCAAGCTGAGCAGAAGACAAGACATAAGGTAAGCACAGGTAGAAAACTATGTGAAGAGGAGAACTGAAAAGAACATTATGCTATTGTACACAACACTGTGCTCATCCCAGATGGAGAGAACAAACCAGCACTGCTGTATTTAAAAGGAGAAGTTCTGCCTCTGTCTGCCGTGTGGTCACCCACTACCCACCTCTGGTTGGGAGAACAATCATTCAGCACCCAGATTAGGGAACAGCCCCTGCTGAAAACCAGTCAGTGCCAACAGCAGAGCACCTTCTGTGAGCTGCAAGTGCCCATGTAAATTCACTGCAGGAAGGCAAATTTGCACAGATCACCTTTGGCTGAGTCCGGTAATTTTAGGCTGGAAAGACAGGCAGACTTTATAAACGAGTAAGTCAAAAAACCTTAGAGACTGTCAACCTAGCAAGGTATCCTTGATAGCAAAGTCTTGATTAACAGTGTAAGAAGTTCACCCAAGTCTGCCATTATGGACTACAGAGTCCTCTAAGATAACACTCCTGATTCAAAGCCTAAATTCTCCAGGAGTCCTTCAGTGTCTGTGGCCACAAATGATGCTTGGATCAGAGCTCAGTAATGCACTTAATGAAGGAGAAGAAAAAGCCTACAGAAAGATTCAGAGGAGGCTTATGGACTCAGAAATCATTCTGTGAGCATTATTTCAGTAAGTCTCAAAAGGCTAAAGGGAAATTACTGGCAATGTTTCAGAGAAGAAAATAAGGGACTGTGATCACCCAGGTGCTGTGCACTGAGACATGGGATGGGCATTCTCTCTATGAATATATTTGCATTTTCATGTGTATGTATGCATAGCAACATTCCACACTGAAGAACCAGATTTCAGAATACTTTTCTTTTTCCCAACAATTTGCATTACAAAATATTCCAAAGAAGATTTCATTTTAGAAACTGCCCTCTTCAACACAGGCTATGTGCAAATGAGCATCCAGTGAATGAAAAACGCCTTTAGTATCCTTTGGCAAATGTACTTCACGGTGGTTAGTGAGGACAATGGCTCTGCTCTCACTTCTGCAGAATTTAAAATATTAACTACACAAGGTGTGTTTTAACAGCCTCCTTTATTCAGAGCAGCAATGGAACACGAATCTTGTGTGATTCTAGAGGAACAAGGTGAGGCTTCTCTCAGAACAAAGTCACAAGAAAGCAGAAAGCAGCACGGCAGTATAGATGTGGTAGGGAAAGTAATTCAGCTCATACAAAGATGTTTACTGAGACATTCAGTGGCTCAAGAAGTCATTACAGATAAGCCACAAAATGATCTGAAAACACAGTCACAAGGATGAAACAGTGTGGTGCACCTTGAGAAAGCACCCGTGAGTACCTTTCCAAGGGTCCTCTGGGGATTTAGCTTTAGAGAAGTGCACCTTTTAAACCCCCAGGGTTTTATGTAATTAGGTCACACAGAGCTGTCACATACAGCAACAACAAATTACCATTACATTTATAACTTCTCATTGGATTGCTCAGCAGAGCAACATGTTACAGTCCTTCCCAGTTTGAACTCTGAATTCAAGAGGCCGTACATCTCAAACGGTTACTGGTTTCATATTGAAAATTAGAAGGCACCTCCACAAATGACATAAGAATAAGGTACAATTTACATATATGCCCATAAAAGTTTACATTCTGCTCTATGCAACAAAACCAAACCAAACCATTGCTGTGTCAACCTGACTTTGGGGAAAGCGTACTGGAGTACCTCCATCTCACACTCACTTTGACCAGCCACTGCAGGGGTATCAGGCCTGTGAAGTTCATTCCATCCCCGTTTTGCTGGTTGGCCATGACAGGAAGTCTGGTTGTTGTAAGTGAGCATTAGACATTGCAGAACTGAGCTGCTAAAGGGAACAAATTATTTGAAAAAGAGCTACAAGCTACACACACTCATTTTTTCATTTGACCGCAGAAACCAAGTTCTAAATATTCATCTGAAGACTTACAATGATTCCCTGGGTAACAACTGAAACACAGCAATTTCAAAACAGGGGGAAAAAGGTGAATTTTAATGTTCCTTTGTGAAGATAGTCTACAAAGAGCAAGAAGTGGATTCACTTTTCCAGTGACATACTGTTCTTTAAAAGTACTCAAAAGACAGAAAGCAAATGACAGAATAGAGACTTGGGTTTTTCAATTTATTACGCTAAGTCTGAAACAGTAAGGAAATTCAGACAGAAATTCTGGAAGCAGTAAGGAAAAATAAAAGTCACTACTAGAAAGCAGCAAGATCAAGTCTAACATTCAAGCCAAATGAAGCTCTCATTTCACACTCCTCGGCAGAATATGTAGATACTCATCACTTCTCCCAGAGAGGTACTGACCTGTAAATGTTTATACCATCTTCTCCAATGGGAAAAAATTCAGTTTTCCACCACAGAGGAAATTTACATTGGCATTAACAATTCAACTGATTAAAGGATTAGCTGCTTAATGTATGGGGGGAAAAAATCTATGTTTGAGACCGTAAGCCAAAAGTCTCTTAGGCGTTAGTTTTTTAAAGTTTCCCAATGCATCTGACAGCCAAAAGGATGCATGGAACCAAAACTTGCTCTCCTTGGCAGGTCATTTTAGCAAAGATTTTAAAAGCAAAATTATCAAATTTTAATTTCATGGAAAAGATGCTGCAGGATAAAACACAAAATACAACAACAAAGATTAAAAAAAACCCAACTCTTGTTAGGAAGAACAGCACTGCCTGTGGCAACATACATAAGACTGCCATTACAGTAATTACAGATCCCTGCATTTCACCTCACCCTGTCAGTTGAATGTGACCTGATCTGGTCTTGTTATTTACATGATTATACTATAGATGCACTGTTTCTATAATGAGCTTTGATCATTAAATATCCAGGTGCAACATTTGGCAGAAACCAGTGATTTCTGGTTGGCAATGTAACACATCCTGAAAACAGGGGGCAATCTTGCAGATCGAGAAAAAAAAATGAGCAACTCCCACAGGTACTAATTCTACTTATAATGTGAATTTACTGAGTTAGTTCTTTGCTTCCATTCATTCTCTTTTTTAACATACCTGTGAAACACGAAAATTCAACTTGGTTTTATGAGAGTTTTTTAAATATCATGCTCTAGAGGACAAATTCTGTACAATCTCCACTTCTTAGCAGGAAGAAAATCTCAAGTGAACTTAACAACCTATCTCTTCCCTTTTCTCTTTCAACCTTACCTGTAACCTGAAAACTTGGTCTACATATAGAAAAAGCAGTTTAACAGTTCATGTATTATATAACTTTTACTAAACATGGCCCTCTGATGTTTTAAACTTACTTCTTGTTTTGTGCTTGCACAACTAAATCATCACTAGATATTTTTATTCTTGAGTCTTTTGCAATAAATAAAGAACATAAAAAAATAGGTGATCTTTCTTTTCTAAATATTAAGGGAATAAAATATGATTGATTATATCATTTTACAAAAGCAGGTCTCCTCTTTGTGTGGCAAAAAAAAAAAAAAAAGAAATTCCTAGGTCATCAAAACAAGAGAAATCATCTTATGTCCTCAAACAGAATCTTCCTTGAAATGAGCATGCTTGTATTGCAGAGAATCACACACTTGCACATTCATGGAAGGCACCACAGATTTCTCTGAGTATAAACTCTCCTGGCTGTGAATCATCCCTTCACTCACAGATTCATGGAAGAATATGCAGAAACTCACATATTTTCCAGTGACTAATCAAATTCTACTTACCACTAACTTTCCCTTAATAATTGTCCTTAAAGCACTTTGCATCTGATAAAGAAGGAAATATCCATTACAGATCAGCTTCCTGGAGATTTACACCTTGCCACCTATTTGCTTAAATACCATAACCTCTTATGCCCTACTTTATTCACGTGCATATAAATGCATATACCACGACACAAGGAAATTTGGGAGCCCTTATTTGGTACTACCGGAATGTCCTCTTGGTCACCAAGCCCCAGGTGCCAGTCACACAGACTCTTAGCAGAGTCCTGGCCAGCTCTTCTCACCCTTGGCCACCTTTTCCTTCCCCTTTGCCTTTCACTGCTGTCCAGCAGCTCCCTCCACTGCCATCCCCGCTATGACAGAACATACAAAACAATAGGAAAAAAATTTAAGAAACAACAAACAAACCCCACACAGCTCCTCAAGGGAAAGACATCTGTCATCAGAAGTTAAACCAATCTTTTGGCACTCATGACTTAGGGAACCTGGGATCAACAGTCCTGAGATTCCACAAGCAATCTCATAGTAAACCTTAGGGTATCTTTAACAGTTTAAGATAAGGATAATGCAGGACACAAAGAAATGCCAATAAGTAAAAGGCAGAAGAAAATGCTCCGACATTTTGTAGCCAGCACCTACCAGGATTTCCCTCAGTGACCTTAAGAGCTACAAGGGCATCTAAAATGTCTCCATGCAGAGAACAACAGCGAGATGACTAAAAGAAGCCCAAGCATGGGCGAGCACAGGCACATCTAGCTCAGAGCTGCTTCCTTCAGCTATTTGCATAGCTCTCTGCAGGCCTCCCTAAGGAAGCACATGGTGCTGGCATTCATTTTAATACACTACTGAGACCCTGCATTTCAAACACCCACGATGAAAACATTTTTCTAAGGTGCATTGCTCCCTCCTGTCCATTCAAGTTTCATGATGGGTTGTGTTGGAACCAAACAATGTAGGAAAGGCACAGATGAGGTGCTCTGGAGTCTCAGCAGGTGACTACAAGAGCAGAGGCACTAAAAACTTTGCTGGCCTCCACTACACCCAAAAAATACTGCAAGAGAGGTAGCTCCCCTCTTTCTGTTGCTAATCTTTTCCCTCTCATCACTTGATACACTCATAAAATGGAAAACATGGGCAAATTTTATTTAACTTTCCTTGAAAGGTGCTCATTTACCAGTCTCTCCTAACTTTGTTGGCTAACAAGAAAGGAAGACACCTCTCAGTCACTTAAACTTTCTCTGGGTCTACAAAGCATTACATTTTACAACAGCAGAGTCACAGTAAATCAAAAAAAATGCAGATTGTACAACAGGATCAGAGTTGTCTTACAAACAGCAACTACTACCTTCAGCAAGTCTCACTAACTTGGACAAGCTCAACAGCCACCTTGAGCTCAGGAAAACTGAAATGCCATCCAAGAACTCACTTGACTTGGTATTTCCCAAAAAAGGTCCTAAATAATGATTTCTATTCTGAAGCAGCAAATTGCCTGAGAAAATAGAAATATTAGTTCAGTTTCCTTGTATTTGAAGGTGGTTTTTTTCTTTTTGCAGTGAGAAGGGGTAAAGAATTACTCACTTGAATTTATAAGACATAATGACCAAAAACAGTTGTCACTCAGTAACTTAATGCAGAGAACACAAGAACCATCATATTCAAAGATGAAAACTTTAAGAACAAGGCTCAGGATAAAAGCATGTTAATCATATTTAAGCAGTGTTAGATACCTAAATAATAAGCCGCAGAAAATTCTTCATCTCCTTTGCAACAATTCAGAATATTCTCAGCAAATTACCAAACTCTTTTCAGCCAGAAGCTTCATTATGTTACCACAGGCTCATTAAATTAATATTTGACAAGTACATCCATTCACTATTAACTCCAAGTTCAGGTACACTTTGCAAATACTCACAGACACCTTCAATCTTGTCAGCTGTCTTGCTCCATGCAACCTGCCTGGTTTCCATTATGACTTGAATAGTCCTTCTTTCTGGGCTACTCTTTTTAAGACTGAATATTGTCATAACAGTTCCCAGCTCCAAAGTCCTTTTGATCTGGCTTTTCTCGTACTCCGGCAGCACTCCATAGTTTATACTCTTTCTGGGCATTTTTTCTTTTTAATCAAACTTTTATGGTTTTCAGTGTCCTGAAAAGAAAAAAAAATTGAGAAAATTCAATATTTAAAACAACATTTTCATTTCTTTAAAAATAACATTTGTGTAAGTTAGATACCCAATGGAGACTCTTGCCCATGCAAATGCAAGGCCAATATTTACAGCATCCTTGCTGTTCTCTCCAGAAAGGAAGTACAAACCCTCACTGCTAACACAGACTTACATCTCTAAAGTCTCCACATTAGGACAGGAAAAAAGCAGAAAAACAAAAACAACAACAAAAAACCCCTAACCAAATCAAACAAACAAACAAAGAAAAGGAAAGAAAGAAAACCTGCAGGAAATACCGAATTTAAGAATAAGTATTACAGACAAAGGAACAAAAAACAAAACACAGTGAACACAAACTACTGAAAAGAAAAAAACCAGAACCTGGATCATAACAAATAAAGCCTAAATATAACTAAAGAGCACATCAGAAACATGAAAAAAAAAAAAGTGTTCAAACTCGAGCAGAACTATGCTAAGAACCTCTCTTAAAGGAGCAACATTTGATTTCTCTGTAACATTTTCTGCCACATTTCCTAGACCTTCTCCTAACCCAAAAAATAATGTAAATACAATTATGCTGCACAAATTCCTATGGCAGTTTATTTCACTTACCAAACCTCCAACTTTTTTGACAGTATGACTGGTGGCCAAGGAAGGATTACTTTCTGGGATGGTTATAAAAGTAACTCCTGATTAGACAAGCAAAAACAGTACCTAGTGCAAGCATGAATAGAATCCTTTTTCATAGTACCTAGCAGGGTTTCTGTGTATCACTTACAAATTATAGATGCACATCAAATATAAAATGTAAGCATCACACAGCACATATTCTGTCCAAATGCACTTTTACCCCCTCAAAGCACTAAGCAGCAAGAATGCACCTCTGAAGCCTCCAAGTAGCAATATTGGGTTTTCCCCAGAAATTGGCAAGTGTCACTGGTAGGTCCAAAGGGATACTTCCTTAAACAAAGTTCCAACCCTGACTATATTTACCTTGATTTGATGACTTCAGGAGTCTCTGAAGACATCAAAAAATGTGCACTTTGATCCTACTTTGATTCTACCAAACTCCTTCCAAGCATCAGATCTGTTTTATTTGTTCTATACAGTGAGATACCTTTGTTCACAGACTCTCTAATTGACAAAAGAAACACTTAACAGAAATCACCATTCCTTTAGGAATTTCCTGATTGGTTTAGGGCATTTGCAGAATTATGTTCCATAAAAATCTCATTAGTTCTATGTAGGGTGGAATTTAAAACTTCTCATTCTTGAAACTGATACTACTCCAAGAAATACCTGGAAATCCATCTTGTCCTACGTACTGACAACCTAGATATTAACATAAGAAAAGGAGATATATGCAACAGATTTGAATCATACTCTTTCTACTTTTCCAGGATTACCTTTTTTATATTCCCAATGCTTTCTTCCAATAACCAAAACGCTGCCCCCAGGTGAACTGCAGCAGGTTTGCTCTTCTTGCATCAGTTTGCTGCCCGAAGAGACCTCTAAAATCTGAGAAGCCTCACAGGTTCTGCTGTCAGTGTAACTGTCTTCTTGATATTACATCAGGAAGAGCGAGGATGATTGAAGCCCAGCAATCCAATGACAAGATAGCACAAGAAATAATTATATCAGCTGGCATGAACTCTTGCACTATATTAGATTTTAAACCTGTATGAGAGCTATATGAGAATTTAAACCAGGTAACTGTCCTTTTGGGAGCTGTAGTGAGGGGAAAACATGAGTAAATACCAACACTGAAACAAATGTTGGCTACATCTGAAAAGTCTCAGTTTATGCACTTCTAAAACTTCATGGCTGTGTTTCTCCTACACAGTCTTCTTTTTCTTACCCACGTGATATTTGTGTGCACACACTTGGGACACCAAACAGCCAAAAGACAGATGTGTTCACAGCAGATCTTGCAAATATTACCAAGCTTCTGTGCTCTGGTCTCCCTCACGTCATTGCCTCAAACAGCTAATTACAAGCCTGATTACTCCTCGGTGAGATTATTTACAAACAGGGTGCTCTGGAACCTGCTCTTTCATCCATGAATATCATTTGCACACAAGTTGCAGGGGCTGCTGCCACACAGTTCCCAGCCATCCTCCTTAAGCTCATCCTTGAGCAGGGCAGGTTTAAAGAGCTCTGTGCACATGCAGCCACCAGGCACAGCATCTCCTGCGGTTCTCTCCCCCTCTCCTCAGTCCGCTCCTCTCCCTCACAGGCAGTTTCAGTTTCCGCGTTGATGGCTAATTCGACCATGGCACTTCTCGCTTCCCTTTCGTAACTTCTTCCAGCCCTCCTCCCCCTCACCCCGTGCACTGTCTCCTGACCTGCCCCTCGCTACGAGCGCCCTTTTCTGCTCCCTCTCATTAAAGCCACTAATCTGCCTTTCAACATCGCGTCACCAGCTGCTTTCAGTGCAACCTGACTTCGAAGTTGTCTGGGCGATCTTTCCAATCCCTTTTTAAATTCGACCACTTAAAAAAAAAAAATTTTTTTTTTTTTTTTGTAAACTAAGAGAGAAGCCACAACAGTCCCTTTATAGCTGCAGGGCGGCCTCTTCTGCACTGCCCCTCGTGAATCTGAAGTGCTCCACAGCAGGAATCATCTCACACCACGTTTTGCAAAACATTATACACATTATGTGGGGTTTTATACCAACAACGTTGTTATGATAATAAAAAAATGGAGTATTCTTTCCTTATAATACTGAAAATATATATATACTCCAATGCTACAACTCAGAGGGAGTGAACAATTTAAGTACCGTAAGCAACAGCAGATTTTTATGGTTTAGCCATAATGTAACTGATCCTTTCAGACTCCCTGGCACTAATCAGAGAATCATCTGAATTATCACAGGTTTGCACCTAACAAGACAGCCGTAGTCATCTTGTCTTGCTGCAATGACTGGTATTAACAAGAAATGAAAGGAGGGGAAAACAAAAAATTAAAGTAAAATCTTTCTACAGTGTCTGTTTTTCTGACAAATAAAAGAAAACCCATCTTCTCACTTTGGTCTTTTCAATAAGAATTGTAATAAACCAAATATGCTGCGATTTGGAACAAGGTTTAACCATTTTAGTAACACTTCGCTGCAATACCAAATATCTGAACTTTTAAATTAGCACAGTTTTTTAGGAGACTGTAGAGAAATATACATCAGCTCTGCCTTTTACACTACAAGGTGTCGCTGTGAAAGGAAACATGACTTAGAACAATAAGAAAAGGAGTTTCTAAGTACAGCTATTTAATAAAAGGCAATGCAGCAGGTTTTCTGAGAGATAAGTCCTTCAGTACAAAGGAACTGCCTTTCCAAAGTGGCTTCTTAAACAGTTTCCGCTGAATAGAATATACTGGACTTCCCCTTTTAAAGTAGCTCTTTCTTCCAAAACCAGAGAGAACAGTGGTTTTAGTTTAACTTGAATCCTAAGTCATAGGCCAAGTTTTTAACTTACTGTGAAATAATAGTGTAGCTGAGGATACCCACTTTGTCAGAAAAGATGGAAGGAATACTGCAATATTTGACCAACCTAAGTGATCACTTCTAGACTGTTCTGGTTACCTGCTCCAGTTTAAGAATAACATCACAGAGAGCTGCCTAAGAGTAAAGGAACTAACATAAGCCCTTGGCTTTAGACCTAACCTTTAAAACATGTCTTACCAACAGGTGCCCCTCACCTCCCTACACCCATGACTGCACAACTATTTGAATTAACAATATTTCTACCCATTCATGCAGCAGAATTTCATAATGACCCTCATCACCTGGATGCCTCTAGCCCAGCAGAGTGTGAATTACAAGATGCTGTGTGCAACAGAAGCTTTACTGCTCTTCTACTGCAAAGTTACTGAAGCCTAAAGTAGAAAGGTCCAGCACCACTTACAGGATTCAACAAGTGAGTTAATAATCACAGAAGCATGCCATAAGCTCTAGACACAGACACCAATCCATGACTCTTTCCCTTTGACTGTAGGAACTACAGGAGTTAAATTCTGAAGGTGTCCTGTACCATATGCAGAACTGGGACCACTTGTTATTGTTTATGTAAGAGCTGTTTTGACACTTTTTAGTTGAAAAGCCTGACTGATTTGGACTGAAGAGTCTAAAAGACTCACTGCAAGTAACCAAGTGAACATGGACATGAAAAAAACAAACTACTTAATCTATCCAAAAACCTGTATATTTAGTTTTACTTCATTACAGTACTTCAGACTTTCAGAAATAAACCCTTCTTATCTGAAGATCAGTCTACAGCTCCTAACTTTCTTTGCAATAACAGACAGCGAGGAATAACTGTAGTAAAGGCAAACTATAATTGTACAAGCTAGCAAAGAACATCTCAGATAAGCACTAATGAATCCATACTCTGTTGTAATTTCGCCAGTATGACAAAGCAGGTGCTTTCCAGGCACACAAGGTCATACAAAGTTTGACCACAGGTCAATTCCTAAGTTTCCCCATGTGCTCTGGGTACTGCAAAACTGTTGTTGCATCCAAGCTCTGCCTTTGGATGCGTTTAGGACACCTCCTAACCCGAGCAGGCAACACTACCAGTATGGATATCCACCAGCAACACCAGTGCAGCCCCACAGCACTGATAATTAATAATAATCAGTGTGCTGCTCTTGCGATGCAGCTGCCGCCCTGGGAGTCCTGCGGTCTGGCGATGAGCAGGGGAGGGGAACCGCAGCAAGACGGTGCCCACCTGCCCCGGCCCGGCTGGGCCCTCGCCCCGGCAGGGCTGTGCATGGCTGGGCTGCTGTCAGGGACACGCCACACTGAAGGTTTCCTTCCTTCTTCTTCCCCAGGCTGGGCTGCGGCGGAGAGCGGCCACACGCGAGGCGCCAGGCAGTGTCCTCTCCGAGCCCCTCGGGGAGCGCCCGCACTGCCCCGTCCCCTCCAGCCCAGGCACCCTCCGCCCCGCGGGACGACCCTCCCTGTCCCTTCTCCCCGCGGCACGTCCCTCCCTCGCCCCTCGCGGGCTGCCCGTCGCTCTCCCCGAGCCCGCACTCGCCCGCAGCCCCCGCCTCCCCCCGCCAGACCCTCCCTCACGCCCGGGCTCGCCGCCCCGCCCCAGCCCCGCGGCACCTGCAGCCGTCGGGGCCGCGGCCGCCGCTCAGCGCGGCGGGGAGAGCCCCTCCTGCGGCATCCCCCGGGGCCGCGCTCACCTGCGCGGCGGCGGCGGCAGCTCCGTGCGGCGGCGGGGCCGTGCCTGCGGCTGCCGCTGCCGGTGCCGCCGCTGGTCCCGCTGGTCCCGCGGCGCCTCTCGGGGCTCCACTTCTGCTTCTGCCGTCACCGGGAAGGGGCGGCGCCTCCTGACCCCGCGGCCACCCACAGGCGCGGGGCGGCCGAGGGCGCGGGGTCCGTCAGCGCGCCGGGGACCGGCCCTGCCCTCCCGTACCTTCTCCTGCCCTCCCGTACCTTCTCCTGCCCTCCCGTGCCCTCCCTGAGCGGCGAAGCCGGACTGGGACTCCTCGCCCCGTTCCTCCACCTCCCCCGCCCCCGGGGCTGGTGTCGGGGCGAGCCCTTTGCAGCCACTGCCCCTCAGCCGCCCCCTGATGCACAGGCTCTGGGTTAGACGCAGACACCGCTACCTGACGCTTTCCCTTTGACTGTAGGAACTGCAGGAGATAAACCTAGAAGGTGTCCTGTACCATATGCAGAACTGGGACCACTTGCTAAGCCTGCCCCTCCTGCCAGGTCGGGCTGTCCGGCTCTTAGAGTTGATGTTCTGAGCAGGAGGATTGAGCAGTACCTGGAGCTTAGGAAAAGGCTCTCAAACTTCACTGTCTTGCAGTTATGTTAACAAGTTAAAACTGACTCTCAAGGTCATCCACTGCAGTTGTATCACAGCCACCTCAGCTTACGAGCGGCAACGCTAAAAGTATTTCCCAGGTTGGGATTCAGAAGAGTAGTGATAGGACAGGCCACGCTGCCTGGAGGTCAAACCCTGGTACAGTCATTAAACTTGAGGTATCACTCTTGCCCTAGACCAATTTGGTAAAGCTGGGGTAAATTCCTACATCCACAGGCGGGATAACAAGGTCATCACAGGGAACAAGTCATGCCAGTTCAGAAGACACCAAAACAAATGCCTAGAAACCAAAGCTAGGGATGGTACAGCATTTGCAAGGAACAAGTTTCCCCGTGCAGGGGAAGCTCTTGGCTTTCTGCAAGGACCACTCCATGTTACAGCAGCCGTTCCCATATTCCAAATGCTAGTTCCCAAAAGCTGAAGTTAAATCTCATGGAGATAGCTCTTCATCTCCCCTCCTTCCACCACCGGTGGCTGGCACAAGGGAGTGAAAAGAACGTGTCTTTCAACAAGCTAACTCACTTTACTGAGAGGAAAAAAAAGTTTTCCATAATTTCAGTCAGCATTGAAAGTGGTTGAATAATAGCCAAAGTGTGTTTTTTACTAATTCTTTCACCCTACACATGCAGAAACTAGTGGAACAAAATGATACCTGGAATGAGGCAGCAACAGGTTCTTCACCAAGCACCACCAGCTTTACTGCCTAGCTACCTGTGAAGAGAAACGTCAATTGTGTCCAGCTGTATCGTAGGAGCAGTTTCAGAAACTCTTCCCAAAAACAAACTAACAAGTCAAAAGCACCAAAGGGATTCGAATAAGTATGACTTATCAAGACAGAAGTGAAGAAGGTATTCAGAATACGCTACCACAAAAAGGAAAAACTCTGAAAACCCAATACCTGCAAAAGGTGTGGATCATTTTAAATGCAAAACAAGAAGATGATCATTACAATCTCATCACTGTTCACAATTTCATGCCATCTTGCTAAAGACTCTTCACATTTTTCTAGATGCCAAACCTGGGAAAAGTTTCTCTCTTCATAACATGTGACTCAGTTACAAGTTCACAGTACAACATCTTACAGGAGCCATGATGGTAAAAGGATGAGAATAGCAGAATAAGTCTCAATCACATCACGGTTTCTCTCCTATACTTCATTTTTTGCTCTTCGTCTTTAAAGCCTTCAGTGTTTTATGATGAAGCTGCTTTTGAAATTATATGAACAGAGGCAGAATGCACGTGCCAAGAGGCCAACTTCCACAGCTGCAAAAGCTAATAGCCAAACATCTGTACACAGCACATACCACAGGGAGCTGAAGGGTGCAGGTGATCCTGGGTGTTATACAAGCAGGAGGTAACAGTAGTCTCTTATTCCGAGCTGTCAGATTCAGAAGTCACTTGGGTCCATTGATAATGAATCCAAGTTCCAGCAAACACCAGCCTCAGAAGCCCCTCCTGGTTCTGCTTCACTTGGCCAGGTACCAACAGCCTCCTCAGCAGTCATATGGCACAGCTTTGGCACAGGAACCACCCTTGAACAACCTGCAAGCCACACAGGCACGGAGTTGAACATCTGTATCATGCTCAGAGCTTTGCTGCCGAATTAAACACTGCTGCAAAGAATATGGGACTTGGGTCCACTAAAATCTACCAATTCCCAACATTCCTTGCACAACCTTGGACTTACCTGATAAAACTCTGTTAAAGCTGAAGAGTCATTAAACGGTCAGAGAAAGTACATATGTGGGAGAAAATCATAGCTGCAGTGGGGATCATAACACTGAATCCTGTAACAAATTCCCAGCCATATAGATGGAGTAAGGAATCCTCAAAACCAAATCAATAAAATAGTAACTCTTGGAAACACCAGCTGTTACTGAGCACATCCACTACACCAGATATAAGAGTACTCAGGCAGCCTCACAGTCACAAGAGAAGATCTGAGTTATTATCAGAATCAGCAACTCTGCCATCCAACTTTCAAACCTCAAAACTCCAGGCAGACAACAGAATTTCCTGTAAGGACAGTGGACCTCATAGTCACAGATAATTATCAGGTGACATCTTCAGTTCTCTTTTTGTAGCAAAAAATCCTGTATATGTATGCTGAGAAGAGATGTGGGGAAATTAGTTCTCCATCTGAGTTGAAGAATCTGGCCCCAGCAAAGCCTGTGTGTTTAAAGACGACAAGGTTAGCTACTAGAATAAAATCTTTCTTCCTTTTTTCTTTTTTTCTCTCCTTTTTTTCAGTTTGACTTTCTTTGTGTAATTTTAAAAGGCTTCTTGAATTGTTAAAAAATATAATCACAATTCATATTATAAGATCTGAAAGCGAGTTTTTCAGCTGGAAGTACATTTTTATGTTTGGGTCATAAGGCAGTTTATAGTGTTGACACTGACACTTTCTTAATCACAGCACCGGAAAGTTCAGCCCTGTCTTGTATGTGGTAATGAAGTGTTGATTGCTTCCCCTGAAGAATAAAGCAAGGCACAAAAGAGAATCACAGGACTGGCTAGGCTGTCAGTGGTTAAAATAAATAATGGTCACAAAACTCCTCACAGGACCCACCAAGAAAATACAGCTTTTGTGGAGAAGCTAAAAGTTGCATAGCTTTATCCCCTCAATTGTAAGAAATGTTAAAGAGTCATTAGGCAGGAGGAACAAGTATTTTAGAGACAACTGCTACATTCTGGAGGGAGGGGGCAAGGACGTCCCTCCCAGTGGCTGTTGTCACTGGCAGAGCAGTCCTGCACCACCCCAGCTCCTCGTGGCATTGCTTCCGCTACTCTGGGAAGCCTTGATCAGGTTTTAGTGATCACCTTTAATGCCTCAAAGGGCCTCTCTGATGTGAAGCTGATCTTTGAGAACATTGTCCAGATCAAATAATGAACTTCACATAGGACTCACCCTCAAACACTGTCATACTGTGTGACAGGTCCAACACTCCCAGCATATCTTCTCAGCATAACAGAGTTCAGGCTTCTTGAAAAGCGTGTTTCTTTTAGAAAGTGTTATGATGTATACTTGGCTCCATTCTTATCAGAGTTTCATTTTAATCTTGGTAAATTATTGTCACTTAATCATAATATTTAAAAGTAAATATCAACTTAAAGTAAACTATTCAAGTCACCAGCGGAAAAGCTGACATGAAGGAAGGGAGGTTGTACTCGTAAGTTGCTGGCCTGTTGCCTGCTGAAATGTTTGTGAAGCCTCAAATGTTCAGCTTCTCCCAGTCCAGTCACCCACTCCCTTGCTATTTGCAAGCACTGACTTCAAAAAAAATTCCAAGGAGTTCCTGCCCGCTGGCCTCATACACAAAATATAGTGCTATCCCTTACAACTTCTGTAACAATTTGCATCTGTAGATGTCACAACAATTTTTAAAAAAGAATGGAAATCATTATTTCCCATTTTCAAGGCGTCAGCCCCAGAGAATGAGGTTTGCCAAAAAACTTCCAGCAGTTACATGTCTTGGGCAGAACAGGGCTTCCATATTTTATACTTAATATCCTGACTTTGGAATGGCATTTTCTCATGACAAAGCTCAGTATGCTAGAAAAAAACTTTTCATTTGTCAGAATTATTTTTTCAGAAGTTTCAGTTGAGCAAAAACTCTGCTGTGTGCTTTGGGATGATCAATAAAAACCTTTCTAAACAGACATGCAAAAACATTTGAACAAAGTTGTCAAAACGTGCTTTTTATACACACACTATCTAGCTATTTACTCAGTGTCTTGAGCCAGTTTTGGCTACATACAACACCAGTGTATTTAGAGGGTCTGCAATCACACCTTCAGATGAAATGTTAAATACTACAGCCACTACATGCACAGTGATAAAATGCCAGCAGCTCATTACCAGTACTATCAACAGTGAGTTGATACCAGTGTTACTAAGGCCTCAGCAGAACAGGAAAACTGCAGGAGGCTCTGCAGGGAACCTGGAAAATTTTCCTTCTGTGCTTTTTAAGCCAAGTACATGAAAATCTGTCATAAAAAAATTATGTGATTTTGAGTGGGAAAGACTGGGAAAAAGCAGCATTTGGCAACAGTTTCGAAGGAAGTGAGTTGCAATTCAGCAAGAACCAGTCTGGCTCTTCCCCCTGGGTAACTTTCAACCTTTCATTTCTTTCCCGCTGCAGAGCAGCGCCACAGGCGAGTTTGGGAGAGAAAAGGCTCTGTTACCATCTGCTTTAGCCTCCCGCTCTCACTCATTATCCCTGTAAGCTCGGAGAGGCTTAGGAAGGGTAACTGAAATCAGGCTGGGCACAGCGATGAGCAAGGCTGAATGGAGCATTTAGCCACTGCTCTGAGCTCCTCATGGGGAGCCACAGTGGGGTCTCACAGTGTGCTGCACTCACAGGAGGAACACACACCAAGTGCTCTCTCACTGCTTATTTTCCATTTTCCTCCCATTCTGCTGAAGTCTTCCTAACACTAATTTTGCTTCTGCTGGTGGAAGCTCTTCTGGGACCATAAAACAGCGTCTTTCTCTACTTTCTACATGGCTGATTGCAGGGATTTATTATTGTCTAAGGCCTTCCCTCAGGGCACACAGGAAGGGAGGAGAAGTTCCTTGCATCTGTGCTCACTCATGCAAAAATCAGCTTTAATGTGATACATGCTACATCACAAAAGTTTTGAAAAGCCCTCTAGCTAATTAAAGCACTAGAATTCTCTGGGGATGGAGAGAGCATGCTGGTCCTAATGCAGATAAACATGTAATCATGAAAAAAACACGTCAAAATCTCACTGAAATCAAAATAGGATTGAAAAATTAATGATGTTCTTGAGTGATGATTTCTGAATAGGGGTAGAATGAGAGATGCTCTTCAGGAATACGCCTTGCAGATGCCTGTGCCTTGGAAAAGCATCCATCTGGTGTATCTCCAGGATCAGCATATTTGTATAGAATGCAAATCTTTATTGCAACTGCTGTTATCTTTATGCACTGTAGTCATAACTGAGTGAGTCACATTAAAGGTCAAAACCTTCTGTTCTACTTTTTATAATAAGCATCTTTTTAACATACAGTGTTAGAGATCCTGTGCATCAACAGATCAAGGTTGAAGTTGGTATTGGGTGATCTACGACAGACCCTGGCACAGGGACCCAATCTTAGTAACATATTTGTTAGCAATTTAAAAGAGGGAATAAATGAAGGGGGAGGAAATTGGGATAATGTATGTGCTAATTACTAAAATCCTGACTAAATTAGATATTTGAGATAGGCTGCTTAAGTTTTCTAGTCTCTCAAACCGCCTTCCAGCTGGCAGAACAAATCTGTGTTAGAGTCTGGAGGGACTGTGCTCTGGGGCAGGTGGGTGGAGAAAACATGACACTGCTGAGTACCATGGGGAGCAATTTTAACTTTGCAGCTTCAGAAGGGCCTCTGTTGGCAAAGGATCATTTTTCAGAAATTCAGGCAGGTACCAACAACCACATATGGCTGCTGATCTCAAACTCATGTGTATTTATATATATAGGTAGAGTCCTATTATTTCACTTATCATATTAAAAGACATATATGAGAAGCCTTTCATATCTCCAAAACAGGTTATATTTGTGCCACAAAATTCAGAAACTTCACAATACGTTTGTAAGTACCAGCGGCCAACACCTCTCAGTCAGTAATATTTGACTGAAAATCGGATCTTAGACACTCCATGAGATGTTTTAAAAGTAAACACAAAATTTGAACTTTACCAAGAGAGAAGAAAACAACAAAAACCAATCAAACTTATTTCAATGGAAAATTTCTAACATTTAACAGGAGACAATGTCTGGAATAAAGAACCTAACAAAGTGAATTTGCAAATGCTTACTTGACCTGATCTCCGAATTGGAATGAAATAAAAATAGCTTGATTAGCTTCAGATGAGCTCCCGAGACTTGTGTGTGTTTGTAATGATTTTAAAAACTAAACACACACAAAAATGTTTCCTATTTTTTTCTTAGACTTTAAAATGCCATCTCCTCTTTCAAAGTAAATGCTTTTTAAATTTCCTTTATGGTTAGGAAATTCCTTTTATCCTAGAGCTAGGCTACAGAATATTTCACAAAGACAAAGGCTGGAGCACAGAAGGCTCTGCCAGATAATTTAAACCCAACTGTCTTGTCTGCAGAACCTTTCTGCCACACATCAGGAATTATTTAACCCCATTTTTGCAAAGGATAGCTGCCCTGCTGAGTCTCAAAGGCAGCAATACAGAGCTTACCTTTAATCCTGTGCAGAAAAATGAATGATATACTGCTGAGATGAGCAGTGTCAAACGGAGGTTTCTTCCTCTTTGTGCTCTGATTCCACCTGGGTGAAAGCTCACTGTTAAGACCCCTTAAGCATACAAAATCTCTAAGCAAGTTTTCAACACCCTGGGCCTTTTAGTTAATTTAAAATTTAAAAGAAAAAAAGCTGTCACCTTTGATGACACTCTCTTCTTCGCAAGGACAGATTTTGTTATGGCTGTTGCTAGCAGGAGGGGGGGAAAAAAAGGAAGTCCTAAGAAAGAAAGTGGAACACTAATTCTGAAATATGTCACTTCCAACCAGCAGGACTCTCCTCTCCTCATGGGCTCAGCTCTTTTCACACTGTCTCACGTGCATCTAATGCCCCACCTGAGATCAACCAACAATTGTAACAGCTTCTGGTTTTCTTAGGCAAATTTTGAATTCATTGCCTTTTGGTTTCTAAGCCTTTGGGCTTTGCCCTCTCCTCCTGTTTTAAGTTTTCTCTGTAAGCAAAGGGTTGTTTAAAATTTATTTTCTTTTAACAAACACTAGGAGTCTCAGGGACTCTGCTGATTTCAACAGCTGGGCTTTAAGGAAAACATCTAATACCTTTAATCCTTAGGAAGAAAAAAAAAATCAAAACCATGAGAACCTAAAGCACTCACGTCTGTTTTGAGATATGCATGTGTAATATATATACACACAGGCAGCCTGTGTTCAGCCACGTGCTGTCAGAACAAAAATGGCTTAAGCATGGAATCAAGGATTTAAAGGTTAGACCAGAAGACAACTCCTGGTTCGATAACCTGGCAGGAAATAGATTAAAAGAAGATTCGCTTTGTCAACAACTGATAATTGGCATCAATTTTATTTTTTTATTTTAAAAATAGTGAAGCTGAATAATACCAGTTTTTCTATTGATTTATATGCAACTAATAAGAATTTATGACTAGATCTACGGATAAGTTATTTAGAAATAAATATAATTTTAACAGATTAAAATGAAATCCAAATATTTATATCAAAACAGGGTTTCAATAGGGCAAAACAGAGCTAATTTGTTGAGGCATTTTATGAAAACAAGACAAAATGTAACGCTATTTGACCCAAAAGAAAACATACAAAACTAAAACTAAAATAAACAAATACGTAAATAAAAATTTAAAAAAAATAAATAAATTAAAAAAAAAATAATGCCTCCTACTACGGTGGACACCAGTGAGGTGCTTTGATGTCAGGGAGAAGACCAGTCAACAGAATCAGAAAAGACCAGGGCAGGAGAAGCCAAAGTCTCCAACCCCCCTCACCACACATGCTCTGCTCTGCCTTTAGCTACCTCCTCGTGCAGAGCAGCTTGCTGCCCCCAGAAGATGAGAGATAAGGTCAATGGGAAAGCACGATATTGCCAGACTGTGGCTAATTTTTTTTTTTACATTTTTGTTCAAAGAGAGGAAATATGTGTGCAGAGCAGCAGTGGTTCATACCGGGTCAGTCAGGAAGTGTGGGGCTGGGTATTTAAAAGACAGGTATTTTTGTTTTGTGGTTCTCTCAGAGAACAAAAGCATACAAGAAACCTTTTTTTTTAGTTAAAAAATGCAAAGTTCAAGTTCACCTACAGTTAGCTGAGGTATCGACATTGTATTTCACTCTGAAGAATGGCACTTTGAGTAGAATTCTTTGCATTTGTGGCTGCAATTATTATAGAAATGCTAAACAGCTAAAACCAGTGCTCCTTTGGATTGTAGCACAGATAATAGCAGAAGACAGGACAGGAAGACAATGAGAGATTATTAACTCTATTCCCTCAGGTGAAGAGCTGAGGCATAATTGGTTTCAAGCTGAAGTTTCACATACATTTTCATCAAGCACTTACAATGATAAAAGGCTGTCCCTGCTTCTGCTGTCCTCATCTGCCTCTTGCTGTCTCTGCCTTGGCTTGAACCACAAAGACAAGAAAGAAATCTGAAAATACAAGTCCAAAACTGACATTGTGAATAGGGCAAGTAATGAAAAAGATAGAATTAGCTGGAGGTAGAGCTCTTTAACTTACAAAACAGTTTTTAATTTGGCCTTTCATTGTTGTTACTTATTAGCAGTAAACTATCTGATAATCTTTGCTGCTGCAAATGGTCATGAAAAATTAATGCAACAGAACCACTCAGAAGTTCACAAGAGTAAGCCTTGCACAGCATAGTTGGCTGAAATACCTGGAATTCAATCTGCATGTTACACAGTTAGGTCTATCTTCTGATGAGGAAGCTGAAAAAAGAGACTCTGTAATTAAGCAAAGCACTGGGTGTTTTGAAATTTGCTAAGGAAAAATCCACCCAGCCAGCAAACGACTGATTCCTGTGAGGACAAAGAGAAAAGGCAAAAATCTATTGTGTCAAAACATCTATGAACACCTTAAAAGACATTAAGAGTTAACACAGTTGATATGAAAAAATAAATAAATAAAATAGAGTAAGAAATGTGTCAATGATACACTAAAAAGAAAAGCATTTTGCAAACAGGAAAATAACCACCAAGCTTTTTTAAAACATCCATGATGATTAAAAAAAATCCTCACAAATGATTTCTGTTGAAATATTCAAGCAGAGAAGTTGAGATCCAGGATGCCTTGGAAATGCTATTTCTTGCTGATACATGTTTTACAGATATTTTTTAGACCTTCAGACATCATGGCTTTATTTATGTGTGTACTGAGAGCAAATCTGCTGCCTTCCCAGGCCTGTTAAAAAATGGTGTTTAATCATGCTATCAAAAATCAGGCTCTGCAGAAAAATTTGGATCAGCTGAAGAGAAAGCAACCTGCAGTTGCTCCCCTGTGTGTGTGGAGCCCCTGCACCACATTAGTTCAACTCTACCTCCTTTTCATTTTTACTGTTCCAAGGAAAGATAGATGAATGTTTGAGGGATAGGCTGGTTCTACCAGCATAATGAAGATGTTTTTAAATTAGTCTTCCCTCGAAGTGGAGAAGACCAGCAGTCTCTCTGGATATGCTCTATTAAGAAAAAACAAGATAAAAATGACCATACTTCTTGTACTGAAGTGCTGGGTTACCGCAGAGCAGAGGAAAGCCCAGGCAGGGTAACAATCCCAGCTGATTTTACAGGAAATGTTTTTTAAAGAAATGACAGACACATTTTTACCACCTGAGGTGCAATGACTTGTTCAAAAACCACCCTAAAATCCCAAACGCAGGCACTACTTATTTCTGTAGGGTTTCTTACAGGCCCTTGAGAGCGAAGAGCAGAATGACAAACCAAAGGAGATCACTGAGGCCGTGCTGTGGTTTTGTAGCACCAGGTCACACTTCAAACCCCCTGACCTGAGCTGCCGTTGTGTGACCACTGTCAGGCCGTTTACCCTCACACGAGAGCGGCGGCGGCTCATTTGCTTGTTCATATCTCTGCGGGCGGAAGCCAGAGCTGGGCTAAACAAAACTCTTGCAAAGTGTCCAGGAGAAACCAGTGCACTCGATGGAAAGCAGTTGGCTGCGCATTTTCTTTCCTTACTTGTCCTCAAATTATTTGGATGGCAAATCTGGATGGCAAATATGATGGAGGTTGATACAGCGAAGAGGACGGGGAGAACTTTCTTCACAAAGCGCTGCGCAGACATCCTGGGAGAGCAGCGTCACTGCGGAGGACTGTGAGCCTTTTTCGAGGCACTCAGAACATCTCACTGCAACGTGAGCTTCCCAGTCCCCTCACCAGAGTCCCTGCAAGGGGGCAGGTGGTCTGCACAGCACGGGATTTGCATGTCAGGACAAGCTTCCTCCTGGGATGGCAGCCACAGCTGCGCTCTTCTGTCCCCAGCTCCACAACTGCTCCCTGGGGACTCTGGGCAAACCCTCTGTGCCTCAGTTTCCCCAGCTGTAAAATGGAGAGGTGGATACTTCACTTTGCTGAGATCTTCTTGCTTCAGGAGTGCAGGAGGCAGTATTTGTGATACAGCATTTATCAGTGAGATAACACCACTACTGCAGCAGTATCGTTACAACCAGCACTGTTATTATTTTACCACAGATGGAATCTGTGCTATCAAAAATTACGTTGCTGTATTTAAAAACTAAATCTGTTTGAGTGTAGCACTGAAAAAAACTATTTGTAATTCTGAGGCCAATATACCAACTAATTTATACTTCTCTTTTTTCAGCCACCATATGATACAATCATGTTATCAAAAAAAGAAATGTATTTAAAAGCATCAGTTGTTTATGGCAACTTTAACATCTTCTATACTGATTTCCTGAAGGCAAAGGATTGTGTAATAAAGAGAAAGTCAATGTTACAGCACTGAGGTTTAGAATTAGTGTGATAAATTGAATTTTACAACAATATTGGCCCTATCCTGTACTTACAGATAATAAAACATAACAGAGCTGGTGATTTATAGGTTCTGCCATTGAGAATATAACACAGGAGGAGACTGGCAAAGTAATATTCCTATTCATATATGTCACATTACATTTATATGTCTCTCCTGCTGCATTTCCTCAAGCTGGAAGGTTGTGCGGTGTGGACTGTGAGCCTCAGACATCAAACTTGCTCCAGCTCCAGTTCCATTCCTCCTGTCTAGAGCCCTCAGCAACCCTTCCAGGAGCTCCTGGCTGCCCTGGTGTCAAGCCAGTGACCCAGAAACACCAGTGAGCAGCTTTGCATGATTCAGATTCCTAAAATTCTCCTCTCCCAGGAGGTTAAAATACCACCCACGATATTTGTCAGCATTCTGACACTTGCTTTGCTACACATACCAGGATCTGTGTGCTTTCTTCTAGTGCCATCTATGCCATCATCCCTTTTAATGATAAACCAGTCATGGTTCAGTGAGTCCAAACGTACCAGTCCAAACGTTTCCATCACCAAGATCTGTTACTTGTGCAGTGTGTTCCTACAGGACATGAGGGAGGCTCATCAGTCCACAGGGAGAGAGGAGAGATATGCCTGCCTTCCATATCCCTGGGGGCTGCAGGGCAGAGATGAAGGAGCAACACAAGATTCACTGGCAAATGATACTTATTTCCAAAAGCTGGAGTGTAACAGCTTATCATGGAGGGGTGTATGAGCAGAACACTGGACACAGGTAGGATCCCCATCCTGAGAATAACCTCTCCTCAGCCTCTCAGCTGTGTCTAATCATCTCAGTTTGTGGCACTGCTGCTTCTTCTGTGATACCACAATGCCACTCACTGCCTACATCCAGTATTAGCAGACTTTCTGCTCAGGATTTATTTAGTAGAAATGTTGCTACCTCAGCAGAACTGTACGAGTTTCTGGCTTGGCTTTAAGTGCCTCTTCACGCTGCACCTTTTTGACTTTCAAAGGGGACACATGAAAAAATCTATCTGCATCAGCAAAGTCACCTCACCACCCCAACAGCCACCAGCACAAGATCTACTCTAGCCCTCTGACAGCTATGAAACCTTACAACAACCAGAGAAGATGCTCCCTTTCTGTCTGTGCCACAACACTTCTATCCCACCATCACCAGTTACCTTTTCTTCCCAAGGCTGCTGCATTTGAATGGGCACATGGTAAACCAGATCAAGGAACTAATCCAGAGTAACTCCAGACATGTTTTGTTTGCCTGGTACCAAGGAAAGAAGACTGCCTTTTTTCCTCCTTGCACTGGATACAATTATGCCATTCCAGTAGTTTTGATGCTTCAAAATTTTGGCTTTCCCAGTTTCCCAGGGATTTTTCTCAGGTTTTATCATTTAACTCATCCACACAAGCTGCTTAGTGCCTAGTGATCTCTTTTTAGGTAGTTTACAACAAAGATGGATTAAAGATCAGTTTAGCTATTAGCTCAGCTGTTCTAGTCTGCCAGCTTGACTTTCTCCCAGAGATAGGCCAGTTTAGCAGCTTATCTTCTCAAATCTGCTCTTGCACATGTGACCTCTATTTGCATATGGCACATATCCCACGGGACAGCAGGTTCAGTCCTTTGCACACTGTATGTTACTATCCATTGTACATCGAGTTTTCTTCAGGTTTAATAATTGCTACAAGAGCACACACACAGGTGTGCATCATACTGCAAATATTACCTTGGGATTTAACCACAGGGAGAGGAGAACAGTAACAACAGCCTTGCTTAAAATTAAGCTTAAATAAAACAAAAGCAAAACTCCACAAATTTATAACTAGAAATGGAGCTGGGATACTGTCTGACTGCACTCAGAGCATCAAAGTTTCTCATAGTTGAGAAACAGGCTCAATTCAGACTTTCTTGATAGTTACCTCTATAATTTGATAATTTTATCAAATGCAATGTTTACTAGTAACAGCAGTAAGAAGACCCTAATGCAAAAGAAATTTTTATTGTTACCATCAGATTGGAACAGCCTTCTTTAATATCTATTCAAGGCAGGGCTCGAGGCTGTGTTTGGTCTTCAGGATGAGTAATATTTTCCTAGGTAATGATTTGCTCTTGGGAGGTCTAGCTGATTAGCTTCCTGATAACCTTGAACAGAGAGCATTAGTGAAGAGCAAAATGACATTATAAAGGGGGAAAAAAAGCCACTTACCAAAGAGCAGGCAAGGACTCCCTGCCTGCACACGTGCAGATCGATGGGTTGGTTTGTTAGGTCTGTATTTCAAGATCTATTTTAGAGAAGCTCCAATTTATTACTGAACATGGCTTTGAATGTGCCCAAGTGCTGCGATGATCAATGTTTCAGCATTATTACTGCAGAAAGGGTCACGACCATCAGCACTTGCCAAACTGCCTGGAGCCCGCAGTGGTGGTCACTATGGCAGATGTCCTGTTCAAACCCTGCCTTTGGATTTGCCCAAAACGGGCTCATTTTCTTTCCTAGACGTGCCATGCGAGGGCAGCAGAGATTGAGGAACGCGGAGCTGGTGTGCGGGCTCTGAGGGGACAGTGGCACTGCTCGGGAGGGGTGCCCGGAGCTGTCCCCAGCCACCCGGCTCCTGCCTCGGCAGCCTTCGGGCTGCTGGGGACCAGCCACAGGAACTCCTGCAATCGGTGCTGGACATCCCACGGGATATGGAGCCTGCGAGGAATCGGACGATAAACAAGTCTCAATTACTGAGTCCATAACACTTTAAACTTCTGCCACGCAGTCCCCATCCCTGGAGGCATTTAAAAGGAGTGTAGACACTTGGGGGTGTGATTTAGTGTTGGGCTTGGCAGTGCTGGGTTAATGGCTGGACTTGATGATCTTAGAAGGCTTTTTCAACCTAAATGATCCTGTGATACTCACCACTAATGCAGGGGGGGAAAGGACACAGAGCAGCCAAAGCCTGTGTGCGACTTTCATGCCTTGAGCAGTAAAAACTCAACACTGAGATTTCGGCTGTACCTGAGCCTGATTTCCAGAGTCTCGGTTAAGTCTGTTTGATTTGGTGACACTCAGCGATTATTTTACAAAGAAGGAAACGTTGTCATTTCTCACCCTCCGAGGCCAAACCACAGCTCTGACTCTTTCCTTGCACATTTGTGCAGTTGCCATGAGGTGGAGCCGTGCACCAAATCCCAACCGGGAATCAACGGCGACCAAGGACTTTTAGCTCTTTTTTTTCCACTTTAGCCAGATTGATCTCAAGCCTCCATCCAAAGTCAGGTGATGTTTGCAGGCACCGATAAATCAAGCGGAAAGCGCTGATGGAAATGCTGCTCGTTACTGATCGGGTGCTGCAGGTGATGTTAGCCATTCCCACCATTCCCAGGTAACAGGGTTGCCTTGGGATGCAGTCAGCAAACGAGAACAGAGCTGGTTAGATCATGCTTTGGGGTTCTGTTTCCATGTCTGTGCTGTGCTGTCCTGATTACTCTTGCACTTGATTCTGAGGCTTAAAGCGGGCTGAGCAGTTTGAGGAGAGGCTTGGCATGGAGAGGCAGCTACAGGTGCTTTTCTGTAAGCTGCCTCTCAACCCTATAATCTTCTTTTCCCTTATAAACTGAAATCTTCAGCTTTTCCTCAAAGTGTACATTCTGTTTCCTTTTGCCTCTTTGCCCAGGGTCGTGGTGTTTCCTGGCTGCCAGGGTGGATGCATTGCTTCTACTCAGAAGATGAGCCAAGCCTGTTCACAGAAACCGGAGGGACAAAGCATCTGAACATAAATCCCATACATCTGTTGGCAGTGCAGGCAAGGATGGATGGATGGATGGATAGATGGATGGATGGATGAATGTGTGAAAATGCTCCAAGCCCAGCACTGTGATTTGGTTTCATTTTGACCACTCTCCCTTGAAATAGCTATTCTATTCCTGGTAAAATTTTCATGAAGGAAAATCTGAAAATCTGTGAGATTTCAATTTTGCAGGAACACTATTTCCCACTTAAAAACAAACATCTTGGAAAAATTCCCAAGAAGATCTGAATAATACGTCTGCAACGCTGACAGGCGCAGCCCCTGTGACCATGTGTCTTTCAATGCCTGGGGTCTATTTAAGTTATGAATCCCATCTGTTATGCACAAGCATGGCTACTGAACATCCCAATAAGAGAGTTGGGATTTGTCTGGAAATACATCCTACAATAATATTTTCCGTTATTTGGTGTAATAAAGGGAATATTGTCATTGGTTACCTCACTGATACATAACTTTCTGTTGGCAAATCTTTCACAGTAAGGTTATAATAACATCACTCTTTGGCATCTCTGCCAGATTCTCAACTCTTTATTTTCTGTTCTGTCATATAAGCTGAGTAATTTATATGCCTGTTCAATACAAAAGGTGGTTATTATATGTTTCAAGAAAGAGATTTGACAATACCTGCCTTGTAAGAAATACCAACTGAGTCGTAGAGAGGAAAGGCAAAGGAAAATGCTGTAAATCAAGAGGTGACAAGGCAGTTTTCAGATGGAAGATTAGAACATTGTTCAGGGTTCCACAAACAAATATGTTGAATTATAGACAGAAAGCCACTCTCTAGCATTTGTCCCCTGTTGCTGCAGTCCTTTTAAGGACACAAATCCCACTGAAGTCAAATCATGTCTATAAAGTAAATTCCAAAATTAATCCATAAGTAGATTCTGACATGGAAATGCTTATTATTAGTTTGATTTGTACAAGATGTATAGATATGATTTCAAATAAAAGCAACATTATGGAAAAAATTACGTCAATTGCAGTTTTGTCTGAATAAGGACTGCACAGTATGAATGTGTCCCAAAATAACACATCTGCAGTGATCTAAGTGAAGCTTAGCTAACATTCCCTGCACTGTATTTTTACACAGGTGATTCTGTGTGACTGCCTAACCCCAGCTCTAAAATTATGCTGATCCCCAAGCTCTGTCAAATGGGTAGAGAGAGGCCCCTTGCTCTATCCAGGGAGAAAGAGCAGTGATGGACACTGGCCTGATGCCAGCACTGCCCTCCAACCCATACAAAGATGCAAGTAGGTGTGTTTTAGCTGAGGGACTAAGAACCCTTTGCTGTTTGCAATTGCTCCAAAACATGCCACCACGGGCCTGCCTCCTGTTATATGGGCCAACAACGTGAAGAGCTTAAATACAGCAAGAGCGGGAGGGGAGAGAAAACCCATCTGGGTGTGGACTGTGTGGCAACACAGCAAAGGGGCTGTGGAAAAGCTCCTGCCTGGGTCTGCAATCTGCCTTAATCCCCCTGAGCAAGGCGAAGGAGAGCACCTGAGCACCGTGGGAAAGAGCAGTTCGTCATGGAAAAACATCCAGCGCTGTCAATCCGGTGCTGAACTCCTCTTAAGAGGCTGATAGGACAAGCCCACCCTGCTTCTGACAGTCTGTACTGTCCTGCTTTCCAGGGCAGTGCTGCTTCACCAGCAACCACCCCCATGGTGGACTATCCTGCTGTCCCTGGGCTCTGGACACCACCGTGCAGCCCAGGGGCCCTCAGCAGCCCCTCAGCAGGGCTTATCCTGCTCCTGGGCAGTGCCTGGCTTTTGGATATTGCAGAGAGACCAAGGCATGGGAGGAGGAATTCATCCTGCATTCACCTTGCCCTTGAGCAGAGATGTCATTTCCCAGCCTGAGACTGGAAATCCAGACCACAATTCAGAGAGCAAGGCAAGCCTATCATTACTCTGAATTAAAACAGAAAGATCATTGCCACTGAAGAGAGAAGGGCACATTCCTTGTCTCAGAGCAGTCCACCTGGGAAAAGGGAAAAGCATCCTCACACTACACTGGGGAGAAGAATGCACGTCACTGCTCTTTTGAAGTGGCAGCTTGGGTAGGAGCCTGGTGGCAACAGATGTGATCCTTCCTCTAGAGGAGCTGCTGAACTGTGTCGTGCAGAAGTGGATTTCCAAACCGAGCAATACCTGCTGTCTTGAGTGACCTACTTTTTCTGCACGCTATGAGAACAGGGTTAGGCAACAGCTAATCCGGTGCTGAAAACTAAAACTGTTGGGCAGCAACAATTATCACGTCTGGTGAAACCCATGGCAAACCTCACTGCCCCCGACAAGGGTTCCTGGGCAACACCCCGTTTCAGCCCAAAGCTTTGGGTGCATGTCTAGCAGGAACACGGCCCTTTGCTAAATTGAGCATAATCATTCAAATTCATTTATCAGATCTAACAGGAGCTTTTCTTACTACCATGCGTGGTAATTTACTAAATGTAGTGTTTTTAATGGGATCTCTCAAATCAGAAAAAAATTAAAAGCATTTTTGTGTTGAGCATCCAAGCAGTCCTGTGCATTGGGATGAGCAAGGCTGGCAGCAGGAGGAACACACCAGAAAATCCAGCTTTCCCAATGGCCTTGCCACATATCACAAATAATACCAGCTATAAAATCCCACCCTACATCATCATCACTCTTCGCCCGGCCCTGTGCTAGGAGGGCTCTCACAACCCTTCCCTGCCATTATTTCATCTCATGTGGGTCAGCAAATGCTCAGTTATATCTGTACTGATTTATACACATCCCTAGTTGAGTTTTCACTGGGATTGAAATTGTTCATTACCCATACAGGGAGGAGAAATAAGTTAACAAGTGAGTCACTCATTTGGATTTTACATTAGGTTCTAATGCCTGTGCTAAATGACTAACAACTGTTTCCAAAGTTGGGATTCAATAGGATATTTCTTGATACTTTGACTGTATACAGATCTTTATTTCTGAACAAAATCTGATTTCTTGATAAATTGGCCAATTAAATTAAACAGCTCTCCTCAAAATGACCCCCAGTTACCAGCAAGAAATTTAACCCTGGTGGTTGCAGCTCCAAAGCCCAGTGTGTTTTATCTCCCTTTCTTTCCCTGAATGAGATCCTGGCACCCTAATTCACAGCCACCAGAGCTGATCTCCACAGAGAGCCGCAATCAAGTCAAGTCTTTCTTTGCAGCACAAAGGAAATCACATTTCTTTGAAACGCCGAGGAAATCTGAATGTGTGTTCCTGTTTAGCATGATTAAGGTGTCACATAGCACTCCCACGCACCCCGACACAGAGAACTTCTTGCCGGCTGCTGATGTCAAAGCAAATCAGCTGAAAACACGAAGGGGTTCTGAGAAACACAACTAGGACGCGCCAGGCAGGCTGCCAGCGACCTACCCAGTGTGGTATGGACCAGGTAACCTCAAGGACTAACCCCACACAGGGGATGGGGACAACACAGTAGTGTCCCCTGCCCCCCAGCTGGTTTCTGATACAGGCATGGGGCACATATTTTTTGTCACGCACAAATTTCTGAGTGTGAGCTGCTTGTTGCTGGTTATAAAACCCTGATAATAACAGTGAATGTATCCATAGCAATTGGGAACATCTCCAAGGGGTGCACTGCTTTGCTTTTGGATTTTCCCAAAACCTTTTTTGTGTGTGCTCCATCTTGGTCCCAGTCACCTGGGACATCTCTCCCTGTTCTGTCTCTCATTGCCCTGATGCTTCCAGCTGCCATCCTCTTGCTTTTCTTCAGCTCTTTGTTCTGTATATTTTTGCTTGTGTCCTGTGGTTTGTCCACTATTAACATTAATAATTTAGGAAATTGTCTGCTTCTGCTGAAATCAATTCCTGTGCTACTGCTGCTAAGTGCTGGGCCTGGGCCCAAGAGCTGCTATGACAGGGCCCAAACAAAGCAAACGAAATGAGAACAGAGGAAAACAGGCGCCTTATCCTTCAGCACCCTGTGAATTTAGGTGGGGATGCTCAAAGCCTAAGAAACACAAGCACCAAATTCCAGCTGAATTCCCTTCTTTTTCAAAGTTTTCCCAATTGCAGTCCTGGTTACAGCTACAGTCCCTGTTACAGTCCTAGTGCTGGAAGAATTCAGCCTCAGAGCAGGAGCCCCACAAGGTCTGTGTTACCCCCAAGGCAAAGCTGCTCAGATGCAGTCAAAGGGGACTGACTCAGTAGAAAATATATCACTCTGTGCCTCTGCAGGTCTTTACTTAATGAAAACTATAGAGAACCGAAGTGCTTGTGCAAAGCTATTGATGCAAGTGGCTCTTTCTAAGCCCCATCAAACCTCCATCACTCTGCCAGGGACCATTTCCCAGAGCTACACCAACCTCACACAGAAGATGCCGTCCTGATGGTGATTCATTTCCTTGCAAGTGGCAGAGGAAGAAAAGCACCTTGTGTCTCAGGGCTTAAGCCATGGGGACCAAGTTCTTCTTATTTCCTTCTCTGGTGTACACAGCTACGCCGTGGAGGGCTCACATGGGGAAACTGTCAACAGCAGAGGGCACAGGCTCTGTCTTGGAGAGACATTTTACGTTCTTAATCCCTGGACTTTAATAGCTCTGTGAGGGAGACAGATAAATAACAAGACAATAAAGACAGTGATTTAGGGACCAGGTATGCAGACAGTTTGACTAAGGCTGAGAGGATAAATTCATCTGGTATAACATCACTGAAGCTCAACAATCCTCTGTGCTGTTGAGCCATACAGCTGGGCTTCTCTGTCCTTCCTTGAGCAGCATTTTAGCGAAAGCACTTTTTTATTGGGTTTTTTAAGTGGCTGGATTAAGACACCACCCCCAGATACATGTGGGCTGCAGCTGTCCCCTGAGGGCAGGAGAGGTTGGCTGGCCAGAGGAGGACTTGTGCCAGGGCTGGAGCTCAGCTCCCACTGGGAGCTGCCAGCACCCAGCAGCTGGACCCAGCCCCAGCACACTGTGTAGCCTGGCTGCCCTGCACCCCAGGGCTGGGAGCAATCCCGGGAGCACAGGGAGGATGCCAGAGCACAAATCCCAGCTTGCACACCCAGGGAGCAGCCGTGCCAGGGAGGGTGTGGGCATCCAACGCCTCCACTTGCCTCCTCTTCAAGGGCTTGGCTGACATCCCCCTGAGCCACGAACCTGGATGCTGGGGACCCAGCACTCCACTCACCAACCCCTCAGCTGGATCCAAGTCATGTCCTTATTCCAGTGTTTGCTGACCACTTGCAGCACCTGATGGGCAGAGAATGTGAGGACACACTTCCAAATGCAGGGACACACTCCCCTTACCCACCTGAGTCTGAAGTGCTTGGAGGCTGGGCAGGAATGTGGTGCCAGCCGTGATGGGATACAGCCAGAAGCCAGCGCTGCTACCGCAGTCACATAATTGAATAACGAGAACAGATTAGGCAATCTCTGTGCTTCATGTTGACAAGGCTGAAGGAAAGAACAGAACATGTAATCAAATGAGGGGGGTTTTCTTTATTTATTTATTTATTTTGAAAGAAAGACAGTATTACAGCACTGTAAGAGGTGGCATAGCATGCACTAATTATGCTGCTGGGGTTATTTCTCTCTTGCAGGTTTGAGGATAAGACTGAGACTTTTATTAAAGCCTCAGGGAGAAAAGAACTGGAGGAGCTGGCTTTCACTGGGAATTAAACCCCCAGTTCACTTAATGCTTATTCAATAGCTTCTGCCCCTCCATTTGGCTAACCTGCCCAAGAACACATTCACCTCTTCACATCAGCAACCTGCAATCAGAAAAATCACCTGTAATCCAGCTGCCTCCAGGCACAGATCAAGAGCTACATGGTCTTAATGACAGATCAGGTTAAATAAAAAGCACAAATCCACAATCTGCTATCAGGAGGTGTCTAAGGCTTCCTTCTTTTGATAATTTCTGCCAAGATATTCATGCTGAGTCACTGGGTTTGCAGTGCCATGTGCTGGCAGGAGCTGCCAGAGCTGACCCGGGACAGGGGCTGCCGCTGCCTGCAGAGGCTGAATGAGAGCTGAAAGGAGCACCTGGGCACTTTCCATGGGCTTTCTTGGCTAACCTGCAAGCCAGGATTGAAGCGAAATTGTACTGAAAAAATCATCTGACTGGTACATGAGGCTTTTCATCTGGATTTCTTTGCTGGTTTAACAGGCAACTAGACATCTAGTTATCCAGCTACCCATTTCCCCTACCTGAGGATGTAATTTGGTGACTCACCACCATCCAGGTACCAGTAATGGAGTTTTTCCCCAAACAACTGATTTCAGATACATAATTCATTTAGATCCCTTTTAAAAAATCTGGTCCTGACTTTTGTCTCTATGGTGCAAAACGCATCAAGTAACACCTTCTGCAGCAGTGACCTGGCTTACCCTGCGTGTGGGAATCATCCAGATGAGCGAGGCTCTTTGCTTTTTTGAATCACCCTTCTGAAGTGATCTGTGGAGAAACAATCTGCCTGAGAAGTGACAACCCCAGACTGCTAATAAATGACCCCAGGCTTTAGGAAATCTGCCAAAAAAACTCATTGGAGTCAGCCCAGCATCTTCAGTTTAGTAAAGACCTCCTGCAACATGCAAGAGGGGAGATACCCCAGGCTGTAACGGGACTTGTGTGCAAAGAGACATTTTGCCCTATTTAGGAAGTGGCTGGCTAAGTTATAGGTGACACCATTCCCTGGCAGCGTCATTTGCCCTGACACCTTTTCAGTGGGAAGGCAACTTGTCACGGCCGAGATGTGTGTGGAGTTGCCTTATTTACTCTCCTGGGGTGGCGTGAATCAGAGTTGAAAAGTGCAGTATGTTGAAGTCAACCCATATTCCCATGATGTGCGAGTGTGAGTCACTCGGCAGGGAGATTCTGCCAGGGTCCCTCCTGGACGACCCGGCTGTGTTAAACACACCGGAAAATCCACGGATAAAAACATCCCCAGTGACGCACGGGAGCCGAGTAGGCTCCGTGCCTTTTTGGGGAAGCTTCTGAAACGCCGACGTTTCCTCTTGATCAATAATCTGGTTGGCAGAGCAGGGCTTTGAAGCAATCCAGAAAGCACAGCCTTCTGCTCACACGGCCGCTGCTGTTTCTCTCCCGGGAAGATGACGCGCGGGGTAACCCCAGGCACAGGCAGGGGAAGGATTTCTCTTCCATGTCTATTTAAATCTCCTGGAAGAGCTGCTGCTTACAGAACGTATAATGCATGATGTGAAAGGGCTTTCTGTTCACAGGCAAAGAAAAATTTAAAAAAAGAACGAGCCCCATCCCAAGGTCTCACAGCTGACGGTTTTCCCCGTCATCTCCTTTCTCTCTTCTGTCCTCAATAAATAACACTTGTGGGGTTATCACAGGCTGCTTTCTGCAGCAGGTCTGCTGGAACAGTCTGACAGAGGTTTCTTGGCCTTAAACCCCACCACTCCTCTGATCCTCCACTTACCAGAGCTGATCCTCCACTCCCTGCAGCCACCACAGCGAGGGCACCGCTGTCCTCAGCAATGATTTCCAAGCAGTTGTCCTGACTTGGAATACAAGGAAAAGCCACTGACAAGAATATTTCCAGATAAACATCTCATTAATTTCAACCACAGGCAGCCATGAGTCATTTCCCTTTGACTGGAATCCTCTCTTGTGACCAGAGATCTGGTACTGTGTAAAATTCATAATTATTTTGAAAGGATATCAACAAATTGATAATTAGTCTCAAAAAATTCAGGCCTAAAAAAAATCCTTCATTTTCTCCAGAGTTTACTGTTAATCACCTTTGCTCCTGTTACAGCTGTGACATAAAACTGAGTAATTTTACTGCAAAACTGTTGGAGTTCTTTTAAAGCCTCTTTTAGCACTCAAGCAGCAGGTTGGGCTTTCCTTGAACCATAGTTCTGCCTCTGGGGAAATTGTGCCTTTTCCCCCCAAAATAGAAGTGGCATGAGGTGATTCACACCCCTGGGCACCTGCTCTACAACTGCTGAGGCACCCTGGGTGGGGGTTACCAGGCTGGCTCCCACGTGCCGTGTGGGATTTGGCAGCTCTGTGCCACTGTCGAGCTTTTCCCTTTCCTTTCCAGGAACTGGCTCAACTCAGCCACACTCTGGGCGCGACTCGGAGCCTGATTAATCGCAGCCCCCGACGCCTGAATGCCAGCAGTGTCTCTCATGCCAGCAGACATTTTTCTTTTAGACAGATTAGTTCTTCGCCTCCTTTTTTTTTTTTTTTTTTTTTTTTGTTCTGAAATAACAACAGCTTGACCAAGACCAAATCCCCAGCTTCCAAAATCAAAGCTAAAACCGTACCTTGGAGTGCAAACAGCCAACCAGACAGTCCCTGCTGGGGTCACACAGGGCTGGCCATGGCCACACGTGAAGTGATGTAGTAGCATCGTTTGCCACGATCAGTCACTGGAGCCTTTAAGCCTGCACTCAATATCCAGTTAAAAACACAAATCCAAACAAAAGTCCCCAGACTACTTATTAATCACTGAGGTCTGCCTTAAAATGAGCTAAAAAAAGAACCTTTCCCATCAACTTTCGTGGGATTTGGATTGTGTTTTTTCACTGGAGATGAATTCATGACAGAACAGGCCCCTCAGCCAGCAGCCACTTAATGACCTGCCACCATGCTGGAGAGGCTTTTGGGGTCTTTCTAGGCTGCCAAAGCTGCTGTGGTAGCACTGGTCAGGATGCTCACACTTGGCCAGTGATGGCATGGCTTCAGCTGAGCACAGCACTGAAACTGGGACTTTATTCAGACCCAAACCTCACATCAAATATTTTTCCTCATGTCATTCAATGTTTGTTAGCCCATGGGTTTACCCTGGTGACTCATTAGTCACTGCTCTTGTCTGAATTCAGTGCATTACAAGAGAATAACCAAACTTCAGGAGAAGCTTCTTATTGGTACTAATGAAGAGGAGGGAAGACATGGTTGTGGGGGAGGATAAACATGGTTGTCATCTCATGAATTTCCCTACTTCTCCTTGCAGGTTAGTCCCCCATGCTATGGGTACTCACAGGTTTTTAACCTGAATCACAGGGAAATGACCCAGCCCTGGCCCATACTGTTGTGGTACGGCCTCCCAGCAAAGGAGTGGCTGCAGATAGGTTTGCTTCATGCTGCATTTCAAGGCATGGAAGAATGGGAAACGTCCCACCCACCTGCTCCTCCATGGGTCACCCCTCCAGCCACTTGCTGCCCTTGGGGCCACACCACAACATATCCTGGGACAGGAATGGGCCCCACGCCAGGCGGGGCTCCCTGTGGCCCCTGAGCAGGGCATCAGTCCAAACCAGGCCCCCAAAACCAAAGTACCTTCACTCATGAGCTGGAGTAGGCCAACAGCTCTGGCCTCCATAAAGATGTTGGAGTGATGGATGGACAGGAGGTGACTCGTGGTGCAGCAATGGGCGGTTGCAGAGCTGCCACATCCCCACGTCACTGCTGATGGCAGTTCCCCCTCATCGCTCCTGGGACACGCTGGAGCTGTTGGGACAGCAGTGGGGATGAAAACTGGACAATTTCACCAACTAACTTCCATGAGGAACAGTGAGTAGGGTGCAGGTCAGAGCCCCTCAGTGGCACGGCAGGGGAAAGAGGAGGAGGAGGAGGAAGGCCCCAGGACCGCAGTGGCTGTGTGCCGGCGCTCAGGCAGGTTTCCTTGGCAGCCGCAAGCTCAGGGCACTCACCATACCTAAGTGAAGATTTTGTTGCCATGGAAACATTGATGTCATCGGCTCTGCAGCAGCTTCAACCTCAACTGCAACTTTTTTTCTCTTCTTCCTCCCACCCTGGTTTGGGGTTTTTGTTTATTTATTTGTACGTTTCTCACAGGAGGTGACCCCGTCACAGCATCCAGGGATGTCCAGCAGCCCAAATCCCTCCTCACATCATCTGGGGGTATTGGGGAGCCCATCACTGGTAGCTGTGGGATGGGGCTGTATTTTAGAAACACCCACCAGGGCTGTGTTCTGCCCTGCACACACTGACCCATTTTCCTCGTCCTCATAAATTGACAGTATTTCCAAGGAAGATAGTTTGGAAGCTCCCAAAATGTGAAGGAGGTGACCTGGGTAGAGGCTTCCCCCCCAAGGAGATGCCTCACACTGGGGGACCTGCTGTGCATGGCACCTACAGCTCTCACTGTGCAGGAACACCACGAGCTCACTGCCACTTGCATTATGCAGAGTCACCACCACTCACTCTCCTGTCAGGAGGAGCCAGACAGACCAACTAAAGAGGAAATTCCATGTCTCCATGAGGGACTTAATGCCTGGGTGAGCACCTGATGGCTGCTGGTGGAGTTTTGCCCTCGGTGCTCAGTGAGGTTCCCCCATGCACCAGGACAGAGTCCCCCCAGCAATAAACCAAAAATCCCTTTGAAAACAATACCCAGCACATTCCCTGAAGAAAAGAATCATGAAGGAGTGGGACCTGGAATCTTCACCAGGCTTGAGAATGGAGACTCAGCCCTTTGCTGGCCCCAGCTCCAGGGATGGATACGATCCCATTAGACAAATCCTTGATTCCCCTAGAGCCTCCTTTAACTTATCAGGGCAACTGCCATTAATAGTGGACTGTTGCACAAGTCTGGGTCAGACTGTTCCAGCCAAAAATACATGTTACTGAGTTCACTGCAATGTTAAAACAAGCCTTTCACCTCAGTGACAGGGCAGGAGCAGCGCTAGGGCAGAGCTCCGCTGTCCTGGCTGCCCCTCTCACACAGTCCTGTGTCACAGGGAGGTTTGTTTGAGCTGTAGCTGAGATTTTTATAAAGGCCTAATTTATTTTTTTGTTGTTACACTGGACAAACCCTGCTTCTACACTAGGTCATTGTGCAGAGCCAGATCTGCTCCTTTCCTTACCAGGAGAGGGATCTTGATGGGCCCCATCCTTCTGGATCCAGGCACGCAGGCACAGGGATGCTCCCCCAGCACCACCACTGCTCACCCCATCCATCAGGGCTGGAGAGGAAATCATGTGGGAGGCAGCTGGTAAAACAGAATCAGAGAGCAACATAAAATCCCAGTTAATAGACAGGTTTACAATACTTTTTCTCTTTTATAAACAACAATCAACCACAACCTGTGTGTTTCTAACATTATGGTCTAAACTGAAATTCAAAGTGTTCCCGATAAATGTGCTTTTGCAACCTTCAAGGATCACACTCTGCCTCTCTGCAGCAGTAAATAACCAAACCTAGCCCCAAGATCTCAAAGCACCTGGCAAATGAGTCACTAACATTAGTTATCCTTAATGTCATCATAATTGGTAAAACATGGAAAGAAAAGCATCCCTAAGCCAAAGTTTCTGTATTTCAATGTAACGAGGTACACTGCATACCAAAGACAGCAGCAACACTTTCATTACGGTGAGACAGTCAGTGGGTCTCTGATCCCATATTCAAAGCAAACTTCTCTTTTTAAAAGAACTTCATGTAATTTAATACAAAGACACTGATTTCATAGCAAAGGCTTATGTAAAAATGGGAGATTCTGGGTGGGAGAGACTGCTAAGATTTAAAAGTATCTCAGTTAGCTACGGTGAACAAATCAGCTTCAAATGTATCCTGCACTAGAATTAAAGGATTAATGTTTGATATCCTATCCCAGCTGGAAGAAAAATTAACAAGAAACTGGTTACTATATCAACTGCCAGATCTGAGAAGCAAACTGGTGTTGAGACCAGTGTGAGGTGTTGAGACCAATTTAATGGTCTCAACACAAACTATATTCTGTTACACAGAGTTGTGTTTGAATCTTTGTAGATGGAGGTAGAAAAAAGACACATATTTACATCAGCAGTGCTGTATCAACAAGGTTCATCCATGACCAGCAGATCTCCGTGAGGTTTGGGTATGTATATTTTTAAAATCTGATAGAGCCTATTTGAACATTACAAATGTATTACAGTACTTGTTCTAGCTGGTTGGTGAAAAGCATGAAAGTGAATCACCTAAAAAAAAAATAATAAAAAAAAAGCAGGTATCAGGCTAGCAGGAAAAACACCTGCATGTTTGATATTACTGGCAAAAAGGATATTCCAAGATCTGTTACTAATAAAAATGGCTTATCTCAAATATTTATTTAAACTGTTCCCCAGTCAATAGAAAAGAAAATGGAAAAAAACCTGTATTGTAACATCCACTTAAAACAAGTATTTTGAGATGAGTACTCTATTTAGTTGGAAAAAATCATTAAAAATTCAAGACACAGCAATATAACTGAGTGATGTGTTCTAACAGGCACAGCTGGTTGTTGTTACAGGGGCTGGGAGAGGTCAGCACTGCCCTTAGCCTGAGAATGATGGCAGCACTACTGCCTACTGCTTGTAGATGTGTACAAAGTTTCAAGGAGCTCCTTCTCCCGATTAAAAATCCTTGTACATATGAGAGAGGAGGGTACTGCAGCTCCCAGCCATCGGGGGAGTGGAAATCCCAAAGATGGGAACAGGCCCAGCTGGTGCTGTTTTCCAGAAGGCAGCAGTCCTGGGTGGAGCTGGCATTTCCCTGCTTTGCTCTTAGCTCATTGCTATTTTATTCCCTTACTGCATTTAGGGATTTCTAGTCCAGTCCGCTCTGTTTCCAAGAGGACTTTACCTGAATAGAGGCTTGATGTTCTCTGGGAAGGATAAGGACTGAAGACTGTCAGAGACACTTCCTGTGCTCAGTGCCAAGGCTCAGAGATGGAGCCTCTCCCTGCCCTGGGGACCAGGGTGGGTCACAGCCCCGGGACAAGGCCTGGCCACTCCTGGGACACACAGCCAGCCCTGAGGGGATCGGGACACCCACGGACCTCAGGAGGGCTCTGAGCAACCTGCAGATCTGCCCTGAGGACAGTCCAGATGCTCCACACCCACCCCTGAGACACCATCTGCCACATCTCCCCATAGGGTCCCTCAGTGCTGGGAAAAGAGCCTCAGGTCCTCATGGATGGGACTTGTGGATAACTCGGCCTCCACCTGGTGTGAAAGGATCATATGAACAAGACATACCAAGCTCTTACCTGGTAAAAACACTTCAGGCCAGCAGCTGTTTCAGCACTCCCCTACAAGCAAATCCATCTGAATTGTCAGGATTTCAGGCACATACTTTACTCTTTGAGCGACAAACAAGCCATACCCACAGAGCTGGGAAACTGGAGGCAACTGGTACTTTGTGAGATTCATCTCTGTGTTTGGTCTTCTGAAACTCAAAACGTAGCTGTGAGCAGTGAAAGCAGCAGTAGGAAGGTAAGACAACTGCAGGGTTTTAATGAGGCCATGAGAAAATTGCTCCTGAAACTCGGCAGTGCTGCGCCTTTGTGCTTTTTGGACTTGCATCAGAGCTACTGCACTAGTTTGGGTTGAAAGCCGAAAGCTGTAGGTTGGACAAGCCCCTGGCATTCAGAGTCCCTGGGAAGATGGGCAGGAATAACCTCCCAAATGGAACCAGGCAGCTTTTCAGTGGCTCCATTATCGGCGAGCAGCAGCTGGGCACAGGCAGAAAGGCATCATTATCCAGGGGAAACCACCAGAGCCCTCTACAAGGCCCAGTGCTCTCAAAAAAAAAGCTCAGGAAAACCTTTCCAAGTGCAAGCTGAGATACAGCAACTCCATTATAGCATGTCTAATCCCCACCTTTTGTAACCGACGGGAGAATCCTCGGTCCGACGCAATCCTGAAGGATTCTAACGATACTGCTCTGTAACTGCCACAGGCTGGGGACCAAAGGCAGCTGCTCCAGCACAGCGAGGACTCCTGTGCCAGGTGAGACAGACCCCGAGTACCACTTTACTGAACAACACATTGATCATCTTCAGGCTTGCTCAGATTTTGTTCAGCCAGCTGCCATCGCAGGGGGGAGATTATGCTGGTTTGGGAGCAGGGAAGAAGCACAAAGGAGGAATTTCTTGGAGGCCGTTGCAGAAGGCAGGACCTGGGCAGGTCCTGGGCACATCCATCTCCTGCTCAAGTCACCCATGTGGCATCTTGGCGAATCAGTGCACTGTGGACGTTCAGGCTTCTCCCACTGCCGATGATCCAGCTGAGGTTGCAGATCCCAACTGCTGTCGCCGGTTCCCTCAAAGGCAGGAGCTCAGGGATGGAGTCATTGCCCACAGCAGGACGAGCAGCTGTGTCCAACACGTGCCTTCATCTGACCATAGCCCAAAACTCTCCTTCCTTGGGCAATTTCTCAGTCCCTCATGCAACATCACAGGAATATTTCTGGCTATTCAGGGTCCAGAAAGGCTTTGTGAAGTCCTTGCTATTAGCCAGGGCAGGACAGCCCACAGGCAGCAGTGACTGATCAAGGGGAAAAGACCCAAAAAGCCTGACAGCCTCAGCTACAGCTCTCTGGTTTCACTGAAGAAAAAAAATAAAGGTACAGCTTATTGCCTTATCAAGAGCCATCCAGCGAGCACTTCTTAGCTTGGCTGGAAGCACAGTAAAAACCCTCGTGTTTCTCCGTGTCCTTAAGTCTCATTTGTAGAATATAACAGAAATATAGATAAAAATGAGAGTATAGGAATACAAGTGATGAAGGCAGCTCTCAGAACATCTGTGGGAATTGGTTTCAAGTGGGGCCCACTTGTCTGAAGGTTAAAGAAGTTCAGTAACCATCTAGACAGCAAAGGCAGAGTCGTGAAGCTCCAGCTGAATCTCCTGCTGGCATCACACACCAGGGATCTTCATCAGGGACAGCAGAACACAAATACAGCACATCCCTCCCCTTGGATGCTGCCCTGAGATGCACCTTAATACAAAGGAACCCCTCTGGAGTCTGGAAATGCCCCAGTGTTTCCAGCACTGCCTACATCAGGCAAGCAGTGCAAGAAACCCCCCCACCAATGCAACTCCTTCCATGGCCAGTGCAAGGACTCCTTAAGCTTTTGAAGGACTGGGGACAGTGCAGAGATCAACAGCCTTGGGGAGGGATGCAAGAATCGGACACACAGAGACTCAGCTGTCCTCCTCCTCCTCATCCCTTCTAGGTGATAGTACCTCAAAACCTGGTGACTGGTGGAAAACAGCCCCGCTCTGCAAAGGGCTCTGGTGTCTGCACCTCCCACAGCATCCCCACGTCACCATCCGGCCAGAGCCTCCTTCAAAGAAAACACAAAGCACGCAGCTAAAAGATATTCACTTACAGTTTATTTTTGCCTGAAATTATTTCACATCTCTTTGTACACAGCTACAGAACAGTAGTAGTAAACCATTGGTAAAAGCAACAGTGCTAAGGAAAATGTTGGCATATTTTTTTCTTCTTTTTTTTTTTTTTCCTTCTTTCTTCCCAAACTGCATCCTCGTACAGTTTGGGATTTGAAGGGGGGAAAAAAACCTGACACACTACATGAGTTAAGACTCAATTTCTGTTTCAATTTTAAAAAAAAAAAAAAAAAAAGGAAAAAAGAGAAAAACAACATTATTTGGGATGGGGTAGTCTACGTAGCAACAAACTTAAAAAAAAAAAAAAAACCAACAACAAAAAAACCTGAACAAAAGCTTGGCTTCCATTGAATAAGATTAAATATATATATATATTTATATATAAAAAATTACATTGGCTGTATGTGAAACCTCGAGGTGCTGAAGAATAAAATAAAGGTGTTAAACAGAGGAAAAACTTCTTTTTGTTTTGTTTTTGTTTTTGTTTTTTTTTTTTAAATAAGCAGCTCTGTACAATGAAGGCTCATTATGAAAAAAAAAAAGTCAACAGCATAGTTATAAAAGAAACCACAATTTTTAAAAAATCATCTTCTAAGCAACTGTGGAATTTGAAAAATGTAGCAGTCACATTTACAGACAGGTCAGGGCTATCGGATCAGCAACACCGCGATTTCCTCAGAGTCCCCAGAGGAACATGCAGAACAATGCGTGCACAGAACAGGTGAGGGAGGGAGGGGAGGGGAAAAAAAAAAAAAAAAAAAAAAAAAAAAAAACAAAACCAGAAAAAGCTGATGCACGAAGTGGAGGGAGAACTTTTTTTTTCTCTTTTTGAAATATCGGACGTAAACAGAAAACAACGGAGGCAACTTGTAAAATCTACAGTTTTGCGAACACCCCATTGGCAAAATGAACGACGGCTTGTCCCCGTCTCCCGCGTTTAAACCTGACGTGGTTTAAAAGACTAAAGAAAGTTTTCAGACTTCGGAAGGAAATGTGACTTTTATTAATCCCTGTATCCCCTCCCCCAACGACCAACCCCCCCCTTTGATATTTTCCTTCCTATTTGATAACGTTTGAGGCATTTTGAAATCAAAAAGACAACGCGATGAATGTTGACAGAGAGGGAGTATAATACAGTCTGCATTACTAAAAGGCAATTCTTCAAGGAGGACGTTTCCTTAAAAAAAATAATAACAACAAGACAGCAAACTAGTTTATACAGTACTAAACGCAAAAAAAGGGTAAAAGAATTAACAATTCATAAATAAAAGACAGGTCCCAGACCTGTTATTTGTGAACCATTTTCTTAAATAGGTGCATTATGTAAATCTTATGTACAACAAAATTACTTTGCATAACAACTGCAAGGACACGGGGGGAAGTGAAAATCATATTGGTTTTGGTTTTCTTCTCTTGAGATTTTTGTAAGTTTGATTTTCTGGAGCAAAACTGGTGAAAGAGGAGTTCTGGCTGGCTGGGTCCCAGCCAAGGAAACCCAGGTAAATAATGACAAATGAATATATTTTTTTTTTCTCCACACGGCATAAAACACAAAGGCAAATAAAATCCACAAAGGTGTTTTTTTTTTCCTCTTTATAATCCTCTTGCTGCTACAAAGTCCTTTTTTTGTTTGTTTGTTTGCTTCCTTTTCAATTTAAATTACGTTGATTCTGAAATCACAAAGCTGAAAGAATCCAGCGGGGTCCAGGCTTGCCCCGTCCCCCCGACACACACAACGCCACTCCGCTACCCCACAACCACAACTCCTGCCACCAAGTCCCCGGACTCACTGCTCTACAGGTATTAGCCAAAAGTTATTTTCCGGTTTGTGTTTGTTTTTTTTTTTTCTCTGTTTGTTTTAAAAATCTTTTCCTTCTCACGAGAAGCAAAAGAGAAGAGTCGGAGGCAGGGAGAGTTCACCACGCTTCGGTGTAGCGGACGTCCACCTCTTTCAGGTTGGGTAGTTTAGCCTGTGTGGGAAGGGAGGAAAAGGTCAGGATTAATGACACGTGTTCAGGAATCGGGTAAAAAGTCCCTGTGAAATCTGTACCGGCAATCGGGTCCAGATCAGACCCTGATCATCATTTTTTATACAAATGCTTAGGAAAATGTGTTTGTCAAACTCCCGCCGAGAAGGCAGTGGACTCAAATCGAGCGCACAGCCACATGTTCCTCCCTCAGCCTCCACACTAAGGCACTGCTTGATTTCTCCCTTCATGTACTAAAAAAAGTTGGAGAGTTTAGCATCTTTTTAGTGTCTTTGCGGTCTCCCTTCCGTAACTTCCGTGTCGTTCCTGAATTACCCCGCGCGAGGCAGACGGGGATCGGCTGTTTGTGCTGTTCCTACTTGTCGATCCCGTTTCCGTGCTCTCTGACCATAATTGCATGGCTAATTCTCTCAAAACAAATAAACACGTTTAATTAGGCTAGGGCATAATTGAGGACTTGGAAGTTTCTAGGAGTCATTATTACCTCACTCCTTGATTTATGTGCACGCATATTTTGATAAGAGCTAGTCATAATCCTACAGACACTGCCAGCAAATAATTTTTCAGTTAGGCAATAATGACTTCAGTAGTGGGTGTTTATTTATTGTCTGGTTCAGCCTGCCTGGTACATATGTGGGTGTCTGTGTGTGTGTGCAAGTGTGTTTAGTGGGGTGGGGGATGGAGCCGAGAGGAAATGTCATCACTGGCTTGTGCCCCAAATGCTCTCGCAGACCAAGCAGAGAAGAAGGAAAGATTTGTATCAAAAATACATTCTTTGAAGTCTGAGCTGTTCTCAAAAGACCTACAACCATGTGCCCCAGGGAGAGAAACTATTACCCTCTCTTGAACAGAGCACTAAAAAATGGCCACCAAGATAAATCTCAGTGGAAGAGGTGAAAGGGGAAAAAGTGACGCCTGCGTGTTTTCTCAGCTTTTTGAATTCTCTGCAGCCATCGGGACCCTGCTCACAGCCAGTTTTGCTGTTTGCCCTGGCAAGTCACTTTCTTGTGTTGCTGCTAAGGACTGTTAATGCAATACCAGAGCAGAGGGAACTGGTTAGGAAAATATGAGTTTCAGTAAGAACTTAGTGGCAAAGGGGCTCAAAAGCAGGGTGGGACTGAGAGAGCCTTTCAATAGATGTGATTTCAGAGCCCTGGGCCAAAATCAGCATTGACCTTGATTGTCTGTAAATGCCTGGGGCCTGATACAAGCTCCATTGTGTGAACCCATCTGCAAGCCAGCTGTTGATTCCAAGGACGACTTCTTTGCATATACAATTGTGACACCAGTTTTGAAAACTTGATCTTGAAAAATCCATGCTAGCAGGATTGCAACTGAGTCCCTGGGGGAGCCAGAACCAAAGAGAGAAGTTTGCAGTGGATTTTGAAAGCAGAGCAGTTTCAGGGCTTGCCTCAAGTTAGAAACTCAACCCAAGATTGTGACCTTTTGAGCAAACCTGCCCCAATCCAAGGTTTCAACATAGAAGACAACCTAATGCCAAGTTTCATCTTGAGTGTTTGGGTTTCTAAGGTAAGATTTTGGGAGATGCAACTCACATAACACCAGAGTGAAGGCAAAGTCCACACGAAGTCATGAAAGCTGACATATCTCAGGAAGGTTTTGTCTGAAACCACCTGGGGCCGTTCCCCTCCCACACCTACATTCTAGTTCTTTACACCATTTTGACAAAACGTGAATTCACAGCAACACCAGACATCTTATATGTCACATTTGGGAACTGGGCATTTGTGCAGGCATTTCTGCTTAAAGCCCATTCCAGTCCTGGAGACGTCAAGATAAACCTGCACCCTACTCAACGATTTTAATTCTCCCTTTGCATTCCAATACAAAGCTCTGTAACACTTCAGCCATGTTGCTTCTGGTCCTGTTAACATTACAGGACATGGTGTGCACTAGATTTTACCTGTTTCTGTATCCTTCATCAGAAACATCGATATGCTCCTATTTATGAAACTTTTACTGACAAAACCTTTACTGTTGAGAGCATTGGCAAAAAGATTCAGTTTCTGATTCTATCTCATACTTCTCCATTCAGTATACTAAATGTTTCCTGTGTCCATCAAAGCTAGCAACCTCCCAATGCTGTTTTCAGTCATTTTCTCCCCAAAATAATCCACTTCACCCTCTTTGGATAACTTTCCACCCACTCCATGGGGCCAGTTCTCTCTGCACTAGGTATCACCACCATCATGCACATGCTAAATCTACTTCTCATCTTTAGTGGATGCAATTCACAAGTACCTTGAGATCTTCATAGGTATCTGCTGAAAGTTTGGTGCTGTTCATATTTAAACTACACAGGCTCTTCATGGCTAAAAGAAAAAACAGACAGTTATTTATGATCATTCTGCATTTTCTTAAAATAATCAACTTACAGTAGGCCAAAGCATAAACAAGATGTATGTGAGCACTCTCAGGAAAATGCTGAATAGTGTAAAATATAGAAGTACAAATGGATAAACAGCTGTTTGGGCCCTCATCCAGGAAAAAGTCCCTATTTAGGACAGGCCATTAAGCGTATGCTTAAGTCCACTGACTTCAAAGGAGTTCAGTCAACTTCTCATAATCACTTTCCTGCACATTATTCTGAACAGTGCCCATTCTCAGTGCTCTGCGTGGTGCTCACAGGGGCCATGCTGATCTAGCAGTGCTCCCTCTCCTCCCCTCATACTCATTTTAGGCTCCAGTTCTTAGCAGAATAGTTTCCTAAGATGAGCCAAAACTACCGGCCTGTCTGGCACGTCTGCATAGGATCAAGCCTATGAAAGTAGCCCTGCAAACCCAACAGCAAGGTTTATAATACACTGCTGGATGAAGGAGAGGGTTTCATTCTGGCACATCGAGCAGGTTTCAGCGCTCAGGGAATCGTGAATGCCTCCCTCTGCCTTGCTGTGTTTAACCTAAGATTAGGGAGAGTTTCACCTCCCCAGAAAAGAAGGAACAAAAAATGCCAGAAAGTGCACAGCTGCTAAACTGACTGATAAGCTGCCACATGGCTTTGCAATCTTCCCCTCCTGCACCACAAGGTCAGGTCCCACCCAGAGGGGATGCCCATGGGAGGGTGCAGGAAGAAAGCTGGGAGGTCCCAGAGCAACAGGTCACCATGTGAGAGGGAGGCAGGTGACATCAGTAAAGGCAGAGGCAAGAGCCAGAGTATGGTCCAGGCTAACAAAGCCCACACGAGGCCATCAAGTGCCATCAGGTCACCATCCCCCTTCCCCTGCCCACACCTGAACGGCCACGTGTGTGGGCAGGAGGGAGGGAAGTTTAAACCCAACCACAACCAAGGCCTGTCCTAAAATCCCTACGGAAGCATCGCTGTGGCAGCCAAAAGTTCAGCCTTCTGTGTGAACCTGCATGAATCCCTCAGAACCCACACGACCTTCCCACACAGCCCGCTGTGGTCACTCACAGCTCAGCGCCAGCAGCCCCGCGTCCGTCACCGGCGTCTCGCACAGGTTGAGCACCTGCAGCATCGTGAGGTGCTCGGACAGGAGCCGCAGCCCCGCGTCTCCAAACTGTGGGGCACAAGCAGAGTTGTGTTTCAAACAATGCACCGACACCTTGTGCAGGGCCCTCAGTGCAAACAGGGCACGTGGAAACAGCGTTTGCAGACGAGCCCTCAAAGCTGCGCTCTGCTCGTTCACCACAATCGCAAATGACAGGAGGGAAAGCAAATAGTTTTATCCCTGTTTTGCAGGCGGGGAACAGAGAAATTAAGTGACTTGTGCACACTTAACCACAGCCCATCACTTAATTAGAATGGTGCCTTTGAAGCCCGGACTTTGTAGGAGTGGGCTCCCACCCAGGCTATACACGATGGTTGCGGCAGCCTCAGCCAGTTCCCAACCACATCACACAGAAAAAGCACAATGCAAGTGGTATTAATTAGCTATTTTGGTCTCCAGAACAATGTACTATTGATTGGTAATTGTTCTATTGACCCACTTGGTTTCTGCTGTTTCTAAATTCTAAGATTAATGGAAACCAGGATATCGCAAAATAAAATGGAATCTAAACCCTTTTTTTTTCTTTTTTAATAACCCCACACACACACATAAAATCTTTGTCCAGTGAAATCAAACTCATTTTGAGCAAGAAGCATCAAAATTTTCAAATTCAAAAGTTATATTGTTAAGACAAATCTGAAGGAGATTAAAAAAAAGAGTCAAAAAAAGCAAGGAATCAGTTTCTAGTTTGTACTCCCCATACAAAAAAAAAAGGAAATTTCTGGGATAGAAAGTATTTAGGAACACGAAACAAAATATTTACGTGACATTTGGGTTAAAAAAATGCTGCTTTTTGTAGTTGCACTGAGAATAATCATATTTTCAGGGAACAAATAGTTGCTAACAGAAAATGGGGAAAACCTATTCAGTGCAGAACCTCAGAGACCAAAAGCAGGGGCAAAACATAGAAGAAAAATTTAATTTTAAAACTTCTTTCGATTAACAGCTGAATAATTTATTCAGTTAAATTGGTCTCTTTTTGCTTACAAAATAACATTTTCCTTCTACTTATTCATTAGTTGAGTTTCTTTTTGTTGCTGTCAGGTTGATCAGCATTCAAAGCAATTCACTGCCTAAACTGCACAAGACTCTGTGCTTTCCTTGACCAGATGAGATGCACAGCATCATGTTTTTGTCCTAAATGCATGAAAACATAAGCACTTCTCAGATGAACAGCACAGGTACAGTACACAGCAGCAACAATGCCCAACTGGACCATTCAACTCAAGATAGCAGCAACCCTTTTATAATTAAAAATAAAATAAAATATAAAAATTAAATTAGGAAAAAAAAAAAAGGCAAAATCAGCCGCCCAGATAGGCTAGGCCACAGGAAGGCCTCATAAAAATAGCATGAGGACAAAGTCATCTAAGCAAACCTCTTCACACACTCTTCCTGTGCTGACGTAATGTGAAATTTCAGAATTAGTCAGCGCTGGTTCCTGCTCTGAGTCTCAGACTGCAAAGCACTTACCTGAGTCGACCACAGGTTCAGCTGCTTGAGCGAAGGCAGTTTAATGAGGTGCTCAGCACAAGCACTCGTCACGTTGGTGAAGGCCAGGCTGAGGTTTTCCAGATTCCCAAAAGATCCCGAGCTTAGCAAGCGGGCCAGGTCTGCATCCTGAAAGGAGGCAACGGATTGATAATCAGGATCACGGACTCCCCAGCCCGTAACCGTCCGTGTCACCGATACTGGTAACCAGCAGGAGTTGCACAATTACTCCACTTGTTTACAGTAACAGAGAACCACACAGAGAAGTTTCTGTTTGTTTGGCAAGCAGCTGGGCTCTTGTGGCAGCGTTGCTTCACACACCCTGGGAAAAATTTGTCCAAACATTAGGACGAAAATGTTCTTTGCGTGTGTATCCTTATGAGACACGAAGGCTTCAGTGCCGGGACAAATGCTGAAGTTGGGTCTTTAAACTTCATGAAGATTCAACCACAAGGTCCAGATCCCAACTGCGTTCAGGACCGTTACCTGGCCTCAGTGAAGTTAGTCTGGGTTTTCACCAGGCTTAACTGCAACACTGCTGGGTCTCTTTTGACACTTCCACGTCTGAGATCCAGAACTGCTGCCTTTTTAACGCAAAATTCTGTCCCCAAATCTACCGTTCCAAATCTGCACAGCAGTATAAACCTGACAGTCTGATGCTTGTGCTGGGGTTGGAAACTGCTGCACAGGCCCAAGAGGAGAAATGTGCCCTTACTTGTGTAAACTCCAGTTGTGTTGACAGAGCAAGCGGAATGGCTCCCCACTCAACTGCCCCAAACCACTGTGCCACATGGCAAACATAAATCAAGTGTTTAAATATGGAAAGACAAAGCTTGTTTTTCTATTGACATGATTAACTTACCGTGGACTTGGATGGCAGTGTTAACCTTGTGGGGCCACCTTTTCTTTGCTGTAAAAGAGAAGATATTTTGGTCAAACAAGTTGCCATTCTACATTTCAGACCCACGGAAGCACAGCAAGCTCTTCACTAGAACAAACCCTGCTCTGATTTCAAAGCTTCCTGCCACCTCATCCCTGTTTTTTCTGCACTGACAGATTTTTTTCTGAGTGTGCCTGTTGCTACCCAGGGGACACTCACTAACCACAGCTAAGTGGGTCTTCTCATGCCATTTGCCTGCTCCAGCCTGCCAGTATTTAGCTACTTTCACTTTAAAGGAAACAGCTTTAAAATGCTGGACTAGGAGAGCAAAGGGGTTGAGACTGTGCAGCTGATGAAATCGTTTGCTTGACTTCAAAAAAAGCATCTACTTTTCAGGCTGGGAGCAGAGGTTAAAGACAAATATAAATGTGAAAGAAGGAAGAGGAAGGTTGTGCAGGGCTGTTTGCATAGGTAAAAAAGTGCTAATGAGAGCAGATCTGGTTTCAATCTGTAGATCCTGTCTTTAAAACCAGGAAAAAAACTTTTTCTATAGGCTCTAGCTCTGAGAACTAAAGACCATCTTAGTGAACTGCTGCGAATGTCAGAGCATTCAGAAATGCTGGCCAGCACTAGAAATATTTGCTACTCATATGTCAAAAGGTGGCAGAATTTGACAAGCTGACTTGTAAGATCTTGAGACAGCAGGGTTTCACCTTTATTCTTTCACACGGATCCTAAGCAGGTTATTGAATATCATTCATAAACATAGTATGGGATTAGTCACATCACTAAATACCACACAGTATACATATTCACAGTAAAATCCTCCTAGCACTGCTCCCATCCTGTTGTTAACTGGGAATTTCACACCCTGCTTGTCTTTCTTTTGAAGCTCCATTTCTGGAGGGCGCAGACCCCACCGTGCTATGGCAATACCGTGTGCAGGGGACATACCAGCTCCTTCAGCTCCCTCTGCCTCTCACACAGCTGTTCATACATTCTCTTTCCCACGTCTGTGCTTTCCAGGGTGGAGATGATCTGGAGCTGGGTGTCGTTGTTATCAATGATGTTGTATTCCAGCATCAAACACAAAATCTAGCAAAGCAGAGCAGAAGAAGAGTGGCCACTGCAGGGCTTACATTCCATATCTTTCAAATGTCCTAATTACACTGGGCATGGCAGTTTAAATTCCTGGCTAAGTTTTCAGAGCATGCATTATGTAGGTTAGATTAGAGGATTGTAGCAACATTTACTGACCTTCCAAGACAAGAAACCAATTTTTTGTTCATAAAGAATGAAGTGTAATCTCTAAAAGTCAGCCTGCCTATCCTGTCTTCCATTAGTGCTCATTCCTTCTGACTGAGAGGTGCAATTACTTTGCCTCAGACCTGGAAGATGGCTCCATGCCACAGCTCTCTTCAGAACAGGTACAATCGATCCAGTATTTCCCAGGTACACTGGACAGGCTGTGGATTGGCAGAGCTGGGACATTACACTCCAGCAGCAGAGCCAAGCAGCTCCTTAAGTGCCGGATTTTCTGTCCCTAAGTGCTGAGGTTTCTGTGCAAGCAGAACACGTGTGAGGTGTATCCAGTCCATGAGGCAGGATGGGAAAAGCCTGAGAGGCTCTGAGAGAGGATGATGGTGGAAGCTCACTGCTGGGGCCAGGACACCCTCCAGCTCACTGGGAACACACCTGACTCACCCCTGGGAAAGGGGCTGCCAGGAACAAGTCAGACCTCAGAGGCTGATTCCAGACTTAGGACACAAGCTGCCCCTCCATGCTGCCTTTCCTTTTCAGCTATGTATCATGCCATTGCAATTAAAATGCAAATCTCTTATTCCCTCCACAATTTCAATTATTTTTAATGAAAAAAAATGCAGCAATATTATATTCAAATGCATGCAGCATTCTCCTTAATTTACTGGATTGAATTAGCATGGACAGATCTAAGTCAATGAAAATTTGTAACGCCTTCCACCTATTTATCCACCCTCTACTTCCACTTAAAATATGATATTTATCAAGAAACCTCTCTTAAGAAACCCCCAAAAATACATATAAACTATTAGTGCAATAATAATGACCAATCATAAGCACAAAAATGCATATTGATGTAAGCAAATAAGGTTTTGTAAATGTACTTCCTGTGCACTGCTCATTTTGCAGGTGGCAAGACAAGCATCAAGCATTTTGTCATGGAAAAGCCTCGTGGTTGTGAATTCTGATCCCTCACCCCAGCCAATACCATCATGGTCATTTATTTCCCATCTTAACCTCTCCAGCTGCATTACAGAAAACAATTTCTTTCTCCAAAAATTCTTGCAACAAAACTTCATGTAATTCACATTCATATCTGCAGAACAACAATATTCTGTTCCACTTAATTGTGAGAAACACAACTGCAAAATGCTGGTGGTTTGACACAGCACAAACCCCAACTCTGCTGGGAAAGGCAGCGTGAGGCCAAATCTGAACACTGCTCATAAACCTGTATGACCACAAATGTTTAGGGCTTACCTCTACCATTGTCTGGTTACCCCTCAAAGCCAGTAGCATGCAAGGTCCTAATTTATTTTCAGCCAGTGAAAGCAGGAACTTCTTTGTTTTATAGCAGGATCCCATTAAAATATGAACCTATTTGAGAAAGAGAGGTAAAATTAGGGGTGCTAGCTCAAAAAACACATATACCTCTGAAGGGACATTGTTATGCAGTCAAAAAACATTAAGTATTTGCAACAAACCAAAAGGAACAGAGGCCCTCATTACAGTTAATGGTTGCAGACTCTCAACAGCCTTATTGCTGAACGGAAGTGGCTTTCTGAGGAAGGTGATGCCTAGTGAGATCTGAGGGAGTGGGAAGTTTTTCTCCACAAGGGAGCTCAGCTGACAGCCCACAGGCCTGATATAGGCTTCCCAGGAAACACCAGAGCAGCTGTGCAATTGCCCCCATTCCCAGTAACATGATGAACCAGCCCCAGGGGAACCACCGGAGATTTTGCTTTCGCATCTGTTTGCGGTTTGGTTTCCCTGGAAATGCCAGCTGGTGAGCAAGGGGTTTGTGTCTGGGTAAAAGGCAGTGGTGCTGGCAATCTGCTGGCCTTGGTTAAGGGGTGGTGACGGACAAAATCACCTGTGCAGGATGACTGGGAAAGGAAGGACTGCTTTAAGAAAATCCAGCAGTCCTGAGCCCGAAGTCAGAGGTGACTTCATGTGCTTTCGTGTGCTTGAGTCATTATCTTGTTGTCTCTTTTGCTCAGTTTTCCCCAAAAGGAAAGCAATGCCAAGAACACCCCGAGTAAGACTCCTTCGAGTCCACTAGTTAACAAAGGTGTCCTGCAGACTCTCTCTGAGCTCCAGAAAGTATCATGTGACATCACACAGTAACACCTCTGGCAGAAATGCAAAGCCACTTGTACAAATCAAATCAAAGTCTCCTCTCACAAAAGAGGTTTGGCCATATTACTCCCCATTTAAAAGCCCTAGAAATTAGATGAAAAGAATTTTGGGTTCCTAGCTGAGTCTTATTTCATAGCCCAGATGGCTGATTCCCCATTTGCTGGAGAGCACTGTGCCAGAATTCGTATTTTCCAATGGCTTGGGGAGGAAGAGCTCCACTATGCAGACTCAGCATCAGCAACACTCTACAATGACCCTATAAATTCGTCCTGTGGTCCCCCTGGTTCATGGCATTGCCTGGGCTATGTTCAATACTGCTGAAAGTGTCACAACCATGCCATGTTGAGGTCAATTCTATGTGAATCATGAACACAATTGTGCTCCCTCATGGCTTCATTACCAGCAAGGTCTTCAGAGATACAGAAAATCTTTTTTTCTTAAGCATCCATCAGCTCAGGTGGCCTTTACAAACATTAATCTTTAAGTCAAAATGGATTTAATTTCATGCAGTTTTCGTTAAGCTTTTTTAGAGGTTTTTTTGATCAACAGAAAAATACTGACACTCACACTAATGTAACATTGGGTGCATCTCAGAACAGGATGTTTTTCAAACTTATGGTTAGTCGTTAGCAGCTCTTTAAGTATTTATCAACATCCTTGCAAAGGGCACAGTGTACTGCATATTAATGTGTGTTAGCATTGTGCTTTCTCATGCACACCATCTCCTGATGCTCATAAATTTCTTGAACCGAACCAGCTCTCAGGAGAAATTATACAGTTCTGAAGAAATTTTCTTTTCAGAAGATAAAAGACATATAAACAGTGAAGAGGGATGAAGCCTTTTGTGAACAGTCTTTGTTCATTATCTGTTTCAAAGGTATCTGATCCATCTGAATTTAAGAGTACAGACAGACATGCATGTTCTTTATGTCCCAAAATGTTCAGCATGTGGGAGATGTACAGAAGTGTAGCTCTCCCTGAAAGTCACTTCACTGTGTACCCAACAGCCAACTGCACCAAATGTTTTTCCCCTTACCAGGGAAAGGCAGTAATATCATTTCCATCTTACTTGCTATATGGAGAATTAATACAGAGCGAGACCTACGTGACCTGACCCAGGTTGCACAGGAAGACAGTGCTTAAATCACATCACTGATTAAAACCTGTTATTTTCTGTCTAGTCCTTCTCAGAGTCACAAAAGAAATAACTGCTGGAAATGGAATACTGGTTTCTAATTACACCTCCCCACACCAATGTAATTGAGCAGAGTCACTGATACATCTTTTTTCCATCTGTCTGTCTATCTATCTATCTATCTTTTTGGTTAAGTCTATGTTACTGCTTTTAAATTCCAGGGTAGTCTATATATGAAAACTATAGATTTGCATGTACAGAACAGCCTGTCTCCCCTGTCTCCCAGTATTCCATGTTCTCTGAGGGAGTTTTTTATACAGACACACAAACACACATATTTATCAATACGAAAATACATACATATGCACAGGCACGGTTTGTGCATTACACTATCAGTGAGAAAACATGCCAAGGGCCAAAAGGAGAATAATAACGTGCTAAACAAACTGTGACTGCAAGGGAGGTCAATGGATGTGGTGATAGAAAGATCCAGATTTCCTGGTGAATGCTCATGGTTTACAGAACCATGATTTTGATAATTTTTTTTTTTTTTTTTACAAAGACAAATAAATCTTGTTACTGCCAAGTAGGCATTAACTACTTACTGAAAGGAGGTTTCTAAACTCACATTATTGCAGACACGTACCATACTGGCAAACAGCTCTCCATCATCATCACAGGCCACCCCTCCAGGGCTGTAGAGCTGGAACCAGCCATCTTTGCCAGCCCGCACACTCAGCAAACAGGAGTGGACCTGCCAAAAAGTGAAGACATTGGGAAGGTTAAAATTCCTGCCAATAATCACCAGTGTCTCCCACACTGGGCTGAAAGAGGTAACTGCAAGACCAGGGACTGCTGGAAATTTTGTGGTTAATATCCCAACCTACAGAGCTGCAGGCCTGTCTCCACTCACAGAACCCATTTTTTCAGTATAAACAAGGAGGGAAGCTGTATCATCACTAAATGCTTGGCCTTTTTCATTCCCTTTACACAAATCAAACACAAACCGGCTTTAATTTAGAACAGCTCCTTCCACTTGGGAAAAAAACCACCACCAAAAAAAAAACCCAACCAAAAAACCCCCACAAATTTCTGAGCTTCTGCCATTTCCCCACGTCCTCCCAGCATGTGTGTCTACACATCTGATGTGAGCTGCATACCAAATGCAGGAGCTGATGGTTTGCTCATTCCAATCATTAAAAATTCTTATTACTCCTGCTCTAATAAAATTTGACCAGAGTCAGGGTGAAGGAGGTCCACAGGGAAAACTCAACAGGGATACGTAACACAGAAGTTGCACTGAAGAACTGGCACCAGTGAGCAACCATTAGTCTAAATTTGTCTCACTGTAAAGATTACTATATTTAGTCCCACAGTTTAATAGAAGAGTCATAATTAAGCTTTTCTTTTTCCTTTTTTTTTCCTATTCTTGAAGACACAGATGTTCCATTTCAATTTTTGAGGTCTGTGTTGGGGGAGGTAAAGTCTATGCTCTTTCCTTTAGGGATGCAACACGAGTGACAGATGAAATTCTGGTGCCATTCTAGGACAAGAAGGTTTTATTTGACAAGGGGTAAAATCATGAAAACCAGGAGTTCTGGGCAATGATGATGATACAGCCTCACCCACAGTTTGAGGGAGCTTTGTTTCCTTTATGTCAAAAGCAAGGATTATTGTGGATGAGAGGTTCCCTCTGACTCAGCCAAAGCTGATGATGTTGAACAAGCTACGAGTGCAGCTCTGAAGCAGCAGCCACCAGGACACACTCACCCCAGTAACACACCTCCCACCCCCTTTCTCCTGCCAATTCACGAGAATTAGGGTCATTTCACACAGTGTGGCTGAAACACAGCTAAATGGAACCTGCCATTTTGTAGGCTGTATGGATCCAGGGATTCTGCTTCACTTTTTTTGTACAAAAGATGAAAAGCTCTGAGAGATTCCAGAGAGTGGGAAAATCTTTCTGGCTACAGGACACTGCAGAACAAGGACATCAACTGATGCCAGACAGGAGGTGACAACACATGCTTACACATAAGGCCAGAAACCCTTAACAGTGGATGTCCTCAGTGGTCATTACTCCTTAAGAGACTTAAGCAGAGCAAAACCACACCATGTTTTGAAACAAACTACTTAAGCAGAGATCTGAACAAGTACACTTGCAATCCCTCCAATTAATACTCTGTGTAAACTGCCAACAAACTCACTTCTTGCCTCGGGTCTTCTGCAAATCTCTGAATCACATATTTCAGCTCTCTGAAAAAAAAGAGTAAGAAGGACAAGAATAAGCAGTGGCTGGTTGCAGCATTCACACAAGTGTCATATTTCTCTTGATTTACACTTTAAACATTATATATTCATGCACTTTAGAGAGAAACAAGTTGAACTCCTTCCGCAGGAAGGAAATATGACGTCTAAAAAGTGATTACCAAGGACAGTGTCTATTCACAATAGGCCAGAAAAGGTTTCAGAGATGTGCACTGACAAACTCATTTGTAAATTCTATCAGCACCCAGTGGCTTTAGTCCTTAAACTCCTGCTAGCACAGTAAATTACAAAGAAAGCTTCTTATTGCTAACTGAACATGCTTACAGCCCCTCACACATAAAAAACATTAGAGACACAATACTGAATAATGCATCACTGCTATTATTAACCAGTACAAGTATTTTAAGTAATTTGCCCCCTTCAGTACAACAAACGAGCCCCACGGACTTACTTTGTGAATTTCTCATGTGCAAGAGCCCTGAAATTTAAAACAGAAAACAGAAGAGTATGAGGATCTGGGAGAAGGGAGGGAAAAAAAGCCCAAAAAACCAAACAACCACTTTTCAGCTCTTTCCAGATAATAAAAGGATTTGCTAAGCAACTGCAGCATACAAGACAAAAAAAAAAATCTTTTAAAAAAATCAGATAAAGCCTCTTTCATCAACCTAGGGGGGGGAAAATTACTTGGAACAAATCTTCTAGCTTTTCCTGAGTCTGTCTTAGACAAGGCTCTGAGTAACGTCAATGGGAGCTTTGGGTCAGAAGAAAGGGAGCAAAAGACTTACAATATAGCTATATAATTACAAACAGAGTTTTGGCTACCTCCAAGAGCCAGGTGAATTCTTTAATTGCAATGCAATTAGGGTATGGTCACAGCTAATTAACATCAGTAAAGCAATTAATGGTGATTTTGTGCAGTGCCTTGCATCATGGTATGGTTTACATCTCCCCCAGGACTCACGTGGGACTTAGGTAATGCTGTCTCTGTTGCCTATCTCCAGGCTCTCACTGTAGCCCAGGTAACCTGGCGTGGAGGATTAGACCTCTCTGATTCAAGACACCAGGTCGTTAGGGGATGTGATAAGCCAGCAAATTGTACAATTACGGGTTGTAATTTCTGTCCGTGGAGGTCTGCATTTCATGAACACTACTGCTCATTAATAGGTTTCCGAGGGAGCCTGGCTGATCCGTAGGGTAACTTCTTCATTTAACGCAAAATACAAATGATATGAGTCTCTGTGACGCCAGTAAAGCATCCTCCTCCACTAAATCTCTCACTTTGCTCTCCTCCTCACCAGCTTTCCTTCCTTTCCTGTCTGCCTGTCTCTAGTTAACCATATTTCTATTTCTTAGAGAAATGGGGAAGGAAGTTGAAGACGGGGAGGTCTTCACGTCCCTCTGCATCAGCCAAAATCAGCTCTAGTTTCTAAATCAATACTAGAGGCACAAAGCTCCTATCACCATCAGTTTTTACTTGATGTTCCATTTCACCATAAAACAACAGTAAAAAGAATAATCCGGTAAATATTAAGCCAGTGCAAACTCACTCTTTGGGAAATGGGATAGGTTGAAGCAAGCTGGCCAAGGCTGGTCTCCAGTCATCATAGTCTGACCTGAAAAATGAACGTTTTATTAATAGGTTACCAGGTTTTAAATATGGTTTGACAACAGTTAGTTCAAGGAGTTAAAAGCTTTTTACTGCAGGCACTAACAACCTTTCTGTTTTACTGAAACACTCTAAAGATCTACAGTGACATTTCCCTTTCCATTTGCAGCACATTCTCCACTGAGGCACAATAAATCTGGTATTTACAGTGACCTCCAGAGAGGCCTTCTTTATGTCAACTTAAAGACATTTGCTGTTTATGAAACCTGTTGACATTTAATCACTAAGTAATACTTTCATCTAAGTTGGTACAGCAATTACCAGGCCATTGCTATTTACAGCTCTGCTCTGCATGTAATTGGAATTTTTATTTGCTATAAGACATAAACCCATTTGTAAAAACAAAGATACCCCTCAATCCATTTCTGACCTTGGCAGAAAGGAATGGGTCAATTCAAACAGTACAAAGTCTTTGGCTTAAGAGGTGAGAGACTAGAGAAGGAAGCACTGTCAGAATTATTGAGTGGAAGAGGACAAATGAGGACAACCACAGCAGAGAGCTCAGCCCAGTGCACCCAGTAAGTACCTCCTCTCTGCTGTGTCAGCACCACATCAGCTCTCAGCTGATGCACCTGGTTTTCATCTCTGCTCTCAACACACAGAACAGTCCTACAAGGAGCCATCCATAAGGGGATGCTCATGTGAACCAGGATATAAAGTATATTTTGCTTTACAGCATGCACCGGTCAAGGCAAACTAATCTGGCAGCACATCATCCCAACCTGTTGCCAAATTCCAGCTGCTTGACCACACCTGGGGAAGGCTCCTCATGTAGGAACAGCACTTGCACACTGCCACCCCTACCCTTCCAATGATCCCAAACATCTAGTGGCTAATTAACACTGATGAACTGCTGAACCAAGGCACTCCACAAAGGGCACAATCACTGTATGACAGATGAAGTGAAAGACATAGAAAGTAAGAGAATTTGGCAAGTCAGCACCAAAACAGGGCACAGAATCCACAGTCAAGGCCCAGCTCTTGGCACTGCCAGCCAGGCCACCCTCACTCCCATCAGCAGCCACGAGTACACACAGAAGTAAATCTCATATGGGGTAGAACACCTTGAGATGTTTGTAGAGGCAATGTTCAAGAGCCTACCACCTCCTCTTACTGCTGCTACCTTTCAGATTTCAGTGTTAAAAAACAGATTATTGGCTGCAGCTTACTGGAAACTTGGCACAAAAATATGGTGTGTCTTTAGGAAGGAACGAAGTGTAATGTTCTCAAATGGACAGTATCTACTGATAGCATTAGAGACAGACAACATATGCACAGGAACCATTCCAAAAGAATGCAATTTTGCAAAGAGAAAGTTCTAGCCCAGAGAAATTGAAGATGGATGCATTTCCAAAAGTCTCATCCATCTTTTGAACCACATAACCCAGAAATTTCCATAAACTAGTAACACACGCGATAGGGACAGTCCACAAAGACGTGTTCATGGACACAAAGAAAATGTACATGCATGAGTAGGGGATTCTTAAGAAGCAACGTGCAAAAAATTTTTACTTGAAGGGAGGATCATGATGTAAAAATCAACCAAGGAAGCAGTTACCACTTGCTCAAGAGCAGTATGAGTTCAGGTTACAAAAATGTATAGTATCTCACGCAAGTAACCAACCCACTGTGATCTGAAAGTAGTGCAACATATTAAAAAACAGAAGAAAACCTCATGCCCATGCCAGTTGCACTAGAAGCCAATGAGCCTAATTTTCTCCTCCATCAAAAATTCTGTTCTTGGGTATAAATTAGGAGCAACTCTGGGACAAGGGTTAAACAAATCTAAAGTCAGTGTGAGTCAGTTGCAGGGAAAGGACTTTGTGATCACCCATTCCTAAGGTTCTTTCCAGAGACAAAAAGTCCCTTACCTGCTTAGACACTGAACAAATAAGGAAGATGATCAATTTTTTAGTGTCTCAGAACAGCAAGACATGAAGCAGGACTTTGTTACAGGGGTTGTTTTTCCACTTAGCCAGTGTAAAGTGAATAACATGAAACACCGGATGATGGAGCTTGTCACAGAAACTGAAATAAGGCAAGGAAACCTCTGACACAGCATCTCTAAGATGAGCTCTGTGGGTTCTTTCAATAAAGCTTTGATTAATTAGGGCTCTCTACATGACTATTTGTTGTTTCTGACCTACAGACACAAAAGGTCAGCGACACAGAACTCTGACCTGTATTCAGGTTCAGCTGAATGTCTCTTGTTTACCTACCAGGTCTCTGTAGGAGACAGTTGATGCAACACGTGTAGAGCTGCAGCCATGAGAACTGCCAGAGGTCTCTGACCCACACAGCCTGGGTTTCACTATGTTTGTTAGGTGTGAGAATGAAGCACAGACTTTTTTTTTAAATTTAAATATACACACCCTCTGGAAAGTCCTAGATGATTTTACTCTAAAAATGACACATTTTTATCGGTACATGCAAACAACTTCAAATGCAGATTTTCGAGCACGTGAGACTTGGAAGTCAAAAAGCTGAGTCAGGAAATTCAAAGGTGTTAAAGGTGCTTCACATCCCACGAGATACAGCACCTACAGATCTTCCCCAACAGAAGCTTAAAAGCTGAGACCCACTTGGAGGCTCAGCTCCTGTGGCATCTCAGGTTCAGTGTTACACCACTGAAGTTCCTTCTTTTGCAATCTGGAGAGCTGTGATTAGTAATAATATGAACCAATCAATTTTTCATGGCTGATCTTCAAAGGAAATTGCAAGAGTAAGAAAAGAGATGTTTTGTAACAGACTAAGATCAAGTGAAACTGCAGCAGAATTGGACAGTATCACTCTGACTTCTGAAGCTGGGGAGCCTCCATTTGCAGAGGCTCCCCAGGTCTGTGAGAGGGCAGTGAAAATAAACCATAGCCTGCTTCCCTAGGAGGAGAAGAAAGAAAGACAACCATTTCCAATGAAATATATAAAATTTGGTCACATGAGTGGGACCTGAACATAAAATCTGCACAGCCTGTAATCCCTTCAGCCTGAGCTAGGAAACATGAAACAAACATAGCACGAGAATAAAACTAAACTACTTATTAAAAGCCTACGGTGTTTCTCCTCCTCCCACCTATTCCCTTTTCAAAAACATTTTCCTTCTGTCTGTGCTCATCTCATCTTCACTCATCTTTCATTTCAGACAGTTGCTTTTTTCTTTTCCTTTCTTTTTTTTTTCCCAGTCCATTCAAAGCTGTAACACAAGACAGAAGTGTTTGAAGCAGGGAAAGAAAGGGAGATGGATTATCTCTGGCTGCAGTTAACAACCACTGCAATGAGCCAGACAAAGAGGCCAGAACAGGAGGAGGAGGGAACACAGAGCTCCAGGGAGAGCACCTGTGACAAACTCCCTTTGGAGCTCTTCAAAGGGTGCTGGGCTCAACACTCACGCTCATCACACAGCTCAAATCCCAGGACCAACCTTATAAAAGGAAAGGGGCAGAAAGACTCCCTGGCTCTGTTTTTTTTTGCAGGATTTGCAATTTTAGGTGAGCAGCACAGCAGCCAAGCTGCAGCCCGACCTACGGGTTCCTGGAAGTGTGTGGAGGGCTGGGGGTCAGGAAGCCAGGCTGTGACAGCTCCTCAGAGCCATCACCTGCTGCTGCACACGTTTTCTAGGGGATTGGCCAAAGCATAGAACAACCATATTAATTAAATAATCCCCGACTGCAGTGACTTTGCCTCCGGGCCATCGTCGCTCTTGGCCTGCCAACATAATACATTTTCCTTCCCCGGGATCACCTTTCACCAAAATGAAAACCTGCCCATATGTCATGTGCAGCACAAACAATCCAAAACATACTAGCAGCCCAGGGCAACCCCGATAAACATGACATAAGAGAATCCACTTGGGATATTCAGAGCATGCCACTGACCTATTGGGGAATGCAGAGCAGGCAGGGGAAGCTCCAGTGGGTGCCTGTGTTTGGAAAGCTGTTGCTCTTATCTCTGAGAGAGCACAAGCCCCAAGTCCTCAGTTTTGGGAGGACAATGAAGAGACAAGAGCAATTACTTGGAAGCAGCTTGTTCTCCAGACTGAGCAGCTTAAAAATCTTTTAGATGACCTCCGATGTCAGACAAGATGATCAAACCCCCTCGTCATGTTCCTGATCCCTTCTTTCCCTGGCTCTAGGTCCAACTCCCTGAATTGTGTGACACAAGGTTTAGCTCAGGGCTGCAGGGCAGGCTGAGAAAAAGCCCCATCAGACCCTCCATCACATAAGGCACAAACCTGCTATCTACAAAACAGTGAGGTACCTTTTCATGTTCAGCCCTCTTTTGAGCTGGGCTTGCGGTTTTTCCAAAAGAAGAAAATTTAGCACCACTGAAATACCCTAGAAAGGTCCTGCCCTGGCTGCTAAGAACAGAAACGGGCTCCACTGCTCACAGTTGGCATGAAAGCATCAGGAAACAGCAACACAAGGTTACCCAAAGGAGGTGACACTGCCCTGGTCACACTGGCCCCAGACAGGGGTACAAGCGTCTGGACATCTGGAAGGACCCTTGTCACTACAGGCAGCCATGGAAACAAAAAATTACACAGACAAAGGGTAACAGCTTAGGATACAACACCATCACAGCTTCCCCAAGAGGGGTCTGTTCTCACAGCCAGTTTAGTTTGCTATTTGTTGATCCAGATTTCACTAAAGGAGTTTAAGTGTCCCCCCGCCCAACTCTGGGTGCTGCCAGCGGGATCCTTCTGGTGAAACACAGATTTTGAAGTCATCCAGACCAAGGAAGAGGACAAGAGGTCCTTCTACCACAACCTCCTCTAACCACAGTTGTGCTGTTCAAGCTCAAGTTTGGCTGTACAAGACGTTCCCTAAGTCATGGAGACATTAAAATGCAAGTAAGAGCTGGGCAACACTGAGTTGTTCTCAGAGCCTCTGATTTAATGTGATGAACAGAAAGTTTTCAATTAATTTAGTGCATTTTCTATGCACCAGTTTAAGACTCGTAGCATTCAGGAGGCACTGACTGGCATCAGTAACACTGTCAGAGTCCAGACTGTGTTAGAGAATATTGACACAGAAGTTTGATCCACTTTTGAGTGCAGGACAAAAATATCATGTTCCACTAGAGACTGTCTGCCTTAACATCTGCCCAGACTTTGGGTCATCTGCCAACATCTCTAAAATCATGATTTTCTGTTTTCCTGTAGTATGCAATAGTTGTGTTTTGTTACTCAACTACATTAGAAAGAGGGTCAAAGATGTTCTGGGTGCTATAAAAGCCCCACAGATGAACTTTCCAAGTGCTCTTTTAGCCTTCTGTGCAAAAAGTGAGGTATTACAGTGATTATTAAATAACATTTTTATCAAGGTTAGAAGTGAGTTTTTTCCCAAAAAAGTAAGTATATGTAGGAATCAGGTGAACAATAAAATGTGCTCTGCTGAAGCTACTGTTGAGAATTCTTATTTGCTAGAGTTTCAATAATTAAAATCTGCCTAAATGATCTACTGCCTGCTGCCCTAAGTTAATTATGTAAAAAAGATAGCATTGCTGGTGACTCTCTTGTTTTGATGATGATACTGAGTCAGACACCTAAAAGAACAATCAAACTCAATGCTAAGCAACTTATTTATGTTTGGCTTACCACTGTTATTAATAAGAACATTATTTTAGTGACTGCCTGCTGAGAGCTCACCTCCTGGATAGCAGTTGTTTTATAATTAATGTTTTCTTCCTACTGGCATGCTCTTCAACTCTTTGTTCATATTCTCAGATTCTCAAAGTACAGCAATAGTATTTTGTGCAACAGAAAGCCTTTGTTCAAGAAAAGTTTGAGCATGAAAGGAATCAGCATCATAACAGCATGTACTTTTGTAATAACTACAAGCCCTTCTACAATGCTTTTCCATCACTGGTTTCAGCATTTAAAAAACAACATTAAAAATCTTTAATATATTTTACAGATAAGGAAAATGAGGCACTTATAAGTGATTTATCTAAAATCTCCTAAGCCAGTGGCAGAATCAGCAGAACTCAGTCCTGCACTAATGCTTTCAGGTTCCAAAAAAACCAAGGGATGAACAGGAATGGAAGGGAACCCTAACCAGTGGAGCTACAATTTGTACAGCCATGGCTCTGCCTTGGAAGCTGTCCTGTGTTCTCACAGGTTGTGGACTCTGGCAGGTCAATCTGAGGAGAGCTGCACCAGCTTTGTACTGCTGCTGGGCCTTCTCATCCTGTGGGTTTCACCCTTCAGAACGCACATCATACAACCCAAGAAAGGCTCCAAAGCTGCTCCACACCTTCAATGCCCATAACAGGAACAGATTCCCATTTTCACTGCTGCTCTTGAACAGCTTGATTTTTAAAGAGACGCCAAACAAATAAAAAAAAATAGATTATTCTAAGGTATGGCGTGAAATAAGAGTTCTTTGCGTAGGAAATTACAGAGGGATTGAGACCTGGCATATCAAATGTTTAAAATGTGGAGAGGCTGTGAGGAAGAACATGCCCATTCGTGAATTTGTTTATAAGTGTGTGTCAGCTGCATGATGAAACCAAAACCGTCAATGCTTAGTGAGTCAGCATCCAAGCCAGCATCAGGACTGAGAGAGTTCAGTGTTTATGGAAAACAGCGACAGTCCAAGGGGATGAGAATAAATACACGACGTGCTCAATGAAGCACCTGGGTGGGTGAAGACTTAGTAGCCCTCAGATGAAGCAAACTCAGATGCTGTGCTTTTTAATGCACATTTTTAAAGGCAGAAGAGCCTAGGCCACAGGGAAAAAAATATAAAATCAGCCTTCACAGCAACGTCCTGCTCAAGAATCTAATGGGAACAGTACCTTGGATTCACCTGTCCTGTCTCCGGTTTTGAATGTGTGCTGAAGTATTTGCAAGCCAGATCTGCACTGAGTGAAAGAGCTGTGTTGCAAATTTCTACCATGTATTTTGAATAAAATGGAAATGTGGGACAAAACCTTCACAGAAACCTCCATCACAGCAGTCTGACTTAAATTAATTCCTTGAGAGCAAACCTCCAGATTTGACTAAAGTGTAGCTGCATGCTCATGGTTTACAGTGGAGTCCAAATTTCAACCACCATATCTTGGATTCTAAAAAACTCAACTATTACTTCATTAAGCCTTACATTGTTTAAAAATAATCAGTGAAGAAATTTAACAGTTTGCCCAAAGACATACTGCAACTCAGTACCAGAGCTGGCTGTCAAAGCTAATGATGTTGTTTTACTGTGCTTTTATTACAAGCTTCTATTCTGTAGTCCACCTTTTGTGTTATTGTATTTCATTTATTTACCCAGGAGCAAAACAAGCTTTTTCTGAAGAACATTTTCCTTTGTATTCCTTTTGAAGATATTCAGAGTATCTGCCTCTCAGGAAACCCTGGAGCCATCATTTTGTAAAGATTATTTGAGCACCTGTTCCTAACACAGGTTCACTGTACCAAAGCAACTGGTCAACAAATAGAGACTCCATTCCAATACAAGTAAATCTGAATGAATCGTAAAACTTCTACAAACACGTGAAGGGAGAACACCTAACTAAAGAACAATAACCTCACCCAACTCCTGCTGCCTATCACTGCACAGGCACTGAGCCTAGAACAGACCTGCCTTTTCTAGCTCTGTCTCAGGCAATCCCAAGAGCCCTGGAGAAGACAAATGGATTTTTTTATTTATTTTTGGTGGGCAAGAACAAAAACAGCAACCACTGGCAGCAACATCCCGTCTTCTGTAAAATGCCTGAGGTTCACTGTACAAATAAGCTTTCCATTTTCATCTTCCTAATGCTATTTTTAGAACATATTGGCAGTGCCAGATGTCTCTTTCAAAGGCTGGACTCTCTCGAGCTGGAGTTAAGATTTATAACCATGTGCTTGCCCGCCACAGATGTTTGAAGACAACAGGCCTGTGGGAAAAGCCCCCCATTGTTAAGATGACACTGTTCAAAAAGCTGTTCGAAAATAGTTACTCACAGCATCTTGAGTATTTCAACATAGCAGCCCAGGATCCTGTCTGCCTGGGCGCTCAGCTCGATGCTCATGGTGCTGCAGGTGGGGCTGACCATCAGGCAGTCGATGAGGTTGGGCTCGCTGTCGTTGCCCACGCTGGCTGTCATCTTCTGGTTCGCCGTGTTGTTGCGCTCCACTTCCACGTGGATCTCGTTTGCAGTGACAATAACTGGTTTGAGACGGGATTCAGTCAAGGTGGCCTCCTGAGAGACCAGGTCAGGACTTGTGTGCAGAAGGCGGAGGGGGAGATTAGGCTTTCGGTCGCACTGCTGCTGGCAGCCATTCCGAATTTCCTTCAGGCTTGGCGAATTGTCCCGACTGAATTTGAGAAATAAACAAATCATTTCAATAGACAGACATACCAGCAGAGAGCAGGAGAGGGAGTGCAACGCTGAGGAGCCAAGACTTTTTGCAATTTCCCACCGCATTTCACCCCAGCCCACCGGACAGCTTTCCCCTGTGTAATCGGATTACTGAAATCAATTAAAAACATTAAAAGGCTCCAATAGGACTGTTCTGCAGCCCCTATTCTACAAAGATTTGAGCTTTTCATTACTCTAATTGACATGCCAGTTTAGTATAAAGGTGAACTTTGCCATCCAAGTTGTGCAAAGCCGTAACAGAATCCATGCCCAAGTATGTATCTGCCTCCAGTACATGCCCAGACATTGGTCTGCAGCCCTCACGTCTGGAATTTGTGCTGGACACTAAGCAGCCCCTGTCCGTGCTCTACCATGAGGAAAGTCAGATAGGCATAAACAAACAGGAAACATAGCAGAGGGGAACCCTCAGTGCCTACTGGAAACTGGCTCGTGTGTCAAGAACTGCAGCGTCTATTTTGTGGCAAGTCAGGAATCGAATTTTCCACTATAATGGAGACAGCACTGTGAAACCAGCTCGGGTTCAAAGTTGTAGATATACAGGGATTTACACACAACCCCTTCTTCAAGGTCTCACCCTTCCCTTTGGTGAGTACCAGTGAACGAAGGTTCAACACCTTTCAGGTTTTCCAGCACCGAGTGTAACAAATATAACCACGTATCTACAAACACAGAGATGTGACTGACCAGAACACCAGCAATGAGCAGGTGAGAACAAAGACACCCTCCCACAGACCCACACCCATCTTGTTTACTGATGCCTTGGGTTTGGAAGCGAGCAGCTGGGAATTCATACTGACCTGTTGATAAATTCTTCGTAACACGAATAAATGGCTGCTAAGCAGACAGCTACAAGATTTGGCAGGACTCTGGGATGTGGGCATTGTCCCGTTGGACCATGCATGCTGAAAAACAGAAACCAAGATGACATCACTGCCAGGAAGATTTCTGTGGGTAAAACCAGCCAGACAGAACGAGGTGTCAAACCTGGATAAGCATCCTTGGGGAATCTTTCAGAAGGGCCATAACAGAGAGATACTTTAACTCTGTAAATCCCTACCAATTGCCCTATTTATGATCAAGGCTAACCTGCAGCATGAGTTTAATTGATGTGGTAGCCCTACAGACCCCCAAAAAACACACACATAATTGAGCATTATGAGGTTGAATGTTAATGAAAATATCCTTGTAGAGGCTTTGAGTCTAAATATAAAGGAAGAATGTACACGAGGCAAAGTCTGCTTCCAGTGTGGAACTAGGCAGAAGCCCCAGGCATATTTGAGAATTCAGGTTTTTTCAAAAGAGCATTCAGCAACATTAGCTAGTGGACTCAATTTATTTGCTGTTTGCCAGTCCCAAAAAAGCACCAGCTACTCTTAACAGCCAGTAAGGGGACAAGCAGATGTGGGAGAAGCAACACACCAAGGCATGTACACAGGATTGGACATATGCCATAAATTAAATGCAACTAACCTGTGAATAAACTTCTTCACCACCTCCATTCCAGCATTCAGCTCGTTCAAAGACAGAATATACTCCTGAGTAAACAGCCGCAACCGAGGGCACTTCCCAAAATCCTGTCCAAAAAGGAGAGACCCGGTGAAGATGGTGAATGTACGTCCAAACTGTGGTTTTTCAAAAGAAATCAACTCAAACCCAACTGAATTCACTTTGCTATTATACTTCAAGAGGACAGTATTGCTGCATGCTGATGTAATGTTCTCCCCACTAATAGTTACATGCTTTCCAATCTCTTCTTTCCCCATACCACTTTAAAAAAAAAAAAAAATGTTTAATGAAACAAAACATCCCACCTGCACTTACGTTTCTTTTGTACATTTCACTTTATACCTTCATTTTGAACATTTTTTGCTGTTGGTTTGCATTTTTGCTTCCACTTATCACTGCAGATTTTTGAAAGTAAAACTCAAAAATAATATTATACTTCTACGTTTGGCATCATATGTACCCTGGTTTTAGAGAAAATCTTTTGGGCATGCAATCAATAAGCAGTCAAATGAAAAACCAGAGGTCAGTTTTTTCTCCAGGGATTTTACTCCAGCTACAATGTGAATCTGACAGGTGAGCTCAGCAGTCACTTTCTTTAAATCCTGCAGTCAGAAAGGCACCTGCAAACCGAAATCCTACATCTCCTCACATCACCTGCTATTTTTAGATGTGAAAGGAGTAAGTTCTGCTGTCTGGTGAGTGTTATTCCACAGCACATTTCTTCACATTTGCACAGGTGTAACCTTATTACACAGGTGTTGCAGAACTGAATTTCCAAGGGGTGAACAAGGTCCTCTGAGGACAAACAAGTACCCCCAGTTATCCCTCCAGCAGCTGCCTGTGGACAAACTTCATGGCAACTTAAAGAAATGCCACAGTGGTAATGAACTGGTGGTGGTCTGCAAAAGGGATGATACATTCCCAGAGCACTGAAACCTCCTGCTAACTCATTTTGGTTTCAGGCACTTCTATAGCATAGCCTGTATTAACATCTCCTAAGTTTTACACCTAGAGAAAATTACCCAAAATGTGAAAACTAGCCTAGGCTGAACAATGTCTCCTTCAACCTTAAGTGTTACTCTGCTAGTACTGAATGTCTACCTGGTAAGTTCACCCAGCAAAGGGACTGTGGGCGATTCCACACTTGGTATTACAACTAAAATTATTAAACTTCCAACAACTCCTTCTGGCAGGAGCAAATTGACTTGGTCCAAGGGCATGAGACCATGTGTGCCTCACACAACATTTGAATAATTCCATGAACACGCCTTGCAAAAGAGCTCCTGCAGCTGCAATTTGCCTATGAAATTTTTCAACCCATGTGGGTGTCTTAACTGAAGCTAGAATGCAAGTCCAAGGGGTCATGAAAAGGATGTCATTGCTGATCCCTGTAAAATAAAATATCTCTCTAAATATAATACAATGCCCTGTCAGCATATCAAGTACAGAACAATACACACTGTTGATATTGTTTGCTAAAAAAAAAAATAGTGCTTATATTCAAACATTTGGGCTGAGCCTACAAACAGCTGAAATCCAAAGGTTTAGGAGGTTGCTGAGCACTCCCCAAACAACTCAACACACAACAGCCTCCGGTCCTGCATGTAATCTGCAGTATCAGCAAGACAAAAAGTCATCCTTGTTCTTTTGAGATCTCAAAATCATAGACAAATGAGACGCCCCTTCCCCATTTTATAGGTAGAAAACTGTGGAACGAAACTTGTCGGGAATTTTCAAAGGCCACAGAACAAAGGTGCAGAGATCCGGCTCAACTCTAAGGACGCTGAGCTGCACAGATGGTGAAGTTTCCTGCCAACAATACCGTCCCCCTAAAATGTAACTTCAGTTACGTGCACACACACACACACACATTCTCTAAAGGACTGTTCAGTACAGAAGTCCCTGGAGAGTGGTAAAGTGCCCAAATCCACTCCAATTAATACATGACACCATAAATTCCCTGACTACACGCTGCGGTACAGACATGTTGATTTTCAATCTGCAAATGTTAAGTATGGTAAATATACCCAATTCTCTGAAGCTAACCAAATACAAGCATTACACTGTGCATTTAGATTTTATTTGAGACCCCTCAAGAGCTCTGGATGCTTTAAAAACATCAGTCTGGAATCCAAGAATAACATTTACAGAATATTTCATTGAACGGTACAGAATATTCAAAAATGTTTACATGTCTGCAGAGTGCAGGCACAGAGCCAGGAATACGACCTTTTTGCCATCTTGGGCTTTCTACCTAGCTCTGTAAACTCGGGGAGTTAAATAATAAGATTGTAAAAATAAGAAATATGAACTGTTTTCTACTGGGTTTATGCTGCACACAGCACGACAGCAGATGGTCTCTAAAATTACCTCAGTTAGTGAAAAGAAGTTGATTATGTAGTTACAGAGGTTCATCCTTGAGATCACTGCCAAGTCAACTGTCTTAAATATTTTATTTTACTTATTTGTTTAGTCTTTGCCACAGCATTGTGAAGTAAGACTTCTTTATGCAACTTAAAAATCATGGCAGGAAATTTAATATGCCACAAAGGCTGGAGAGCTGGTAAATAACCCAGAACTCTCTTAGGGAAGGAATACGGATCATGTAAGAATATCTTCAGAGTTTGTGGAGGGGGAGGGAAAATCTGCTCCACAGGGCAGGACAATCTTCTGGCATTTATTTCAAACACTAACAAGGAATTGATTGGCAATGAAAAGAGAAAAGTCTGGGTGAGAACAGTTATAAAATGAGTACATGAATCCTGCAATGAAAAGGAAGAATAACAGCAGAAAAGCATAAAGAAATTCAGGAAAGCTAGGTAAGAACTCACTGGACATGAGCCTAAAGAAAAATGGAAATCCAGAGAGCTGGGGGTGTCTTAAAAAAAAATGTTGAGAGCCCTAGCTCAAAATCAACAAAGTCCCTGTTCTGATTTTGTTATTTTTTTGATTTTAAACTATTTTAACTGCAAGGATGGCAGGTGGGGAGTAAACAAGGCACCAAGAGCCAGGTGGGAGAGAGCTGGAGCTTCATATGCTGTCACTGCTGCCAAAAGAAGTGCCCCTCAAAACAATACTTTGCTTAGATGCTCTGGAAAATCCCACTGAATACAAAGTAACACACAATTACATGCAGCATTCACAGTCTGGGGGGGCCAGGTCTCTGGTGCACTCACCATGTTGTGTTTGAGAATCCTCTGTACCACTGGTGTGAACACTTCGATCACGACCATGGACCGCGGGCGCTCTCGGCAGTGCTGGAACGAGCAACAGGTCACTTTGTGAGCTGCAGAAATTATGAAGGTGGGTCTCCCCTGGCTTCACACCCCATGCATGGACTACCCCAAGATTAACAAGATTCAAGGGCTAAATTAACCTTTCCTGGGTTACACTCCTCTCTCCTATGAATTTGCTGGCATCTAATAGACTATACAGGTTCAAGAGCTCCCATTCTTCCCAAAACTCACTGGAATGTAGCATTTTGGGTACTCATATCCCTTTTGTCAAATTTGGTTGAAGCTTGCCAACAGTTTTGAAATGGGTTGGGAGGCAGGAAGATATGTACACACAGGCAGTGTAATGGCACAAACCTCCTTTCCTTGGGATCCAGGCTAAAAACCTCTGGTGGATCTTGGAGGGTACTAACAACCCACTCTCCCATCACAGGATAATATATACAATTCAAATGTATCAGTCAGGGTAATTTGGGTTGGGAAGGACCTTTGAAAGTCATCTTGTCTAGCCCCTTCCTCAAGGCAGGGTCAATTTTGAAGATAAATTTGCCCTCTCATTAGTCTTGTCCACTTCAGTTCTGAAAAGTCCATAACCTGTTTCCATTCCTGCAACTCTACACAGCCCATCCCACACATTTATAGACAATCAGGCACCCATCTCTGATGGAGACCAAAGACAAAAAAAGACCCAAACCAGGAAATAAAAATGCCCTGAGTCCAAGGCTGGAGAAGACCCTACAAGTGGCTTATAAAAATGCAACAGTCAGAGGAGTTTCTGAAACTTGACTTAATTTCTGTAGGAAGAAGCAGCTGATGAGTAACTCTGGATGGGAATTACAAGCAGCATCCAGAATGTTTGACAGATGCATACACAGTCATCAGCAAGCAAATTTAAGCAGACTTGAAACTGAAACACTAACAGGCCTAGAGGAAAAGTAGTACTTTCAAATCCATAAGGTCTGCAACCCAAAGTACTCAGAAGTTTATGGAAAAGATGCAAAATGCAGCACAAGCATGGATTTACCAGAGAAGAAGATAGGTCCTTATTAAGTCCCAGTGACATAATACCATTAGGGCTGAGTTAGACATCACATTACCACCTCATCTGAACACAGATCCAATGATCTCTGCATTAGCCAAACAGAACATGCAGTAGGACACCTCCTGTACCCAGACTGAGGTGTGGGAGTCTGAAACCTTTAACTCTCACACAGTATCAGGACAAAACAAGACTGATGTACTAAGGCACACGGTTCTATTTATCATAATGGTGCTGTTAACTATTCCACTATCACTGGATGCTGACCAAAAAACTGAAATCAATTCGGGCAGGAGGCAAGGAGTTAAAGAAAAAAACAACCACCCCCTCAATGAACTACGCTCATCTACAACTATGAGATTTCAGAAAGCAAAACTGTTCTGATACCTTGCAGAAGAATTCACAGAGGTCAGGAGGAGGATGGTTGTTTTCCAGCAAAGGTGCAATTGCCTTTAAAAGGAAAAAGAGAGAAAAATTCAATTAAAGGACTGCAACTGCATATTGCAAACAACTATTTTTCAGGGTGAGGGCGGGAACTCACTTTTAGAAAAGGACAAAAGCATAACCAAAGAAACTAGAGGTAGGCTATGTGTTTATTTTACAAGTAAACTCAAGAACACCTCTGCCATGAGTTCTCTGGAAAACTTTACCTTTAACTGCACCAGTGTAAATACATAAACCACAGCAAAGGAGAGAGATTTTTATAATAGTTTCAATAAAAACAGGAGCAGACCAATTGTTCTAGGATGTAATAAGGCAAGGATGAATCTGGCTCACTACTTCAGTTAGAACACTTCCCTAAAAGAAAAAAATGAAAAACACCAGACACACACACATATCTTTTATGGAAGACTTAGAGTTCTTTTTTATGAGAAATAGCCCACTAAAAGTGACCCAGCCCTGTTCTCACCTGGGAGTACCCTATTCATCCAAATCAAGCATTTAACTTTGTGAAAGTTGAGATCACTATTCCCCCTTTGTTGCTACGCAAACCAAAGTGCTTATGCTGGGTAAATACATTAGAGGTCATACCTGCCACTGAGGGTGTAATGAATTTATGTTGCTGTTACTTCCTTTGTAAATCAGAAAATGGTACTAGAATAATACACTGTGTCTCTATGTGATGGTGCCTTTGGGTTTTTCCAGTCTTCAGCTAAAGGGATTCCCAGTACCCACTGAAAAGTAAGGCACTAAATATAGCAGCCAGGACATTTTGTATTAAGCAACTGAACACCAGATATTTTATCTGGATGGCATCTGGAGTTTTACTGCTTTGGTTTTTGCTCTCCCTCTCATCTCCTTAAGGGTTTCAGCCCTGTGAGTCTGTTTGCAATGGCTGTGTTCCACAACAGCCGCTCTCACACACACAAGTCAAGATTAGTGGGAATTTCAACAACGAAACCCAACACATCTGCAAAGTTCAGTTTTGGTTATGCACAAGAACTTTGAACTTTCTGTTTGTTATCATGTGCCATCCTCCTGCAACTGTTCAATTCCTCTCTGGTGGTGGCCCAGCAATGGTGGGCTGATGGAGAACACAACACCAGTCCAGTCAGAGTAGAATATCCTCGCTCCCCATCCAACACCTGAGCTCGAGATCTTCCCTGAATCCATCTTTTGGAGTGCTTGCTATGGGACCTGCCAAACCACAACAGAGATGCTCAAGCAAGTCATGGCTCTGTCTGTACATACAGTGTGGAAGAGCAACACCCTGAAAGCACCTTTTCCTGTACTTTCCTTATGAGTGCTGTGGTCAAGAGCAGCTATGGCAACATGTGCCTCCCTGTCCTGAGCAGGAAGGGATTGGCTGGAATATTGATCTGTTCCAGCACCATCTAGAGAAGGCAAGCTGGCTCCATCTGCACAGCAAATCACTGTGTACTTTTCACATAAATACACAGTATTAGCAATACTTTCCAAGAATAGCCTGGTTATCTGTGTAATGGCAGTGAGCTCTGAATGCCCAGGAACTGCCACCTCCTTAATAGCTCGGGCACAACCTACAAAGAAAAGCAAATGCAACTTCAGACACCTATCTCAGTGACTGATTCCATCTAAAATGGTATCTTAGGCAGCAGATAAAGAGAACTCACACCTACTGGCAGCTACCTGCCACCTTGTCATTTCGCAGAAAGAGCCACGGAGATGTGATACAATCAGGTGGTGGTGAGGCTCTAGATTAGATTACTGGGAAAGTCTCCTGGAAATTGCCAGAGAATGAAATTAAATTACAGTGATGGGGAACCAAGTTCCATCTCGGATAAATTGTTGAGATTTTGTATTTTGTTTCACAAGGAACAGAGCTGCTATTTGATTCACTTATTTCTACGTCTAAATAAACATGACCTACAGAAAAGAAAAATTTTGAAGAGGCTATTTTTACAAATCAAGTAAGCAGGGGGTTAAACTGTAGTTACACATATCCACACTTACAACAGCAATCACTTGCTCACATACTATCAGCAATGGAGACATTCTGTATATGGTAGCATCAGCCCCTCAGGAAACTACTAAGCCTCAGGGTTTTATAGGGCACATCTGCAAATGATGGGTTTTGACTATTTAAAGTACATATATAGATATGAACGTTGCTCTATGTAGTCAAGTAAGGGGGCCATTTGGGGAGACTATTAACACTCACGTGCTGTGCTCTTTCATATAAACTGATGAGAAAGCTTTATTGTGATTCCTCTATGAAACAAGAGGAATTACAAAGCCACACAAAAACCAGACAAATGGTTTTGATTGCTGTCCAAGTTCACCAGCATTGGTGGAAATGCTTTCATTGGGGTAGAGACTTCACTGGGGCAGAGACAAGCACTAAGAGAAGTGTCATGAAACAATACTGATTTATCCTCATATTTCAACAGAAGGATACTCACCACAATAATGCTCTCCTGGTCTTGAGTGGTTAAGTTGTTGTTCTAGAAGAGTTGAATAGAAAACAATGAATGAGAAAAGAGTACTCTTGAGTTGGCACATCAGCACACACAGTTCTCAGCTACCACGGACACAAACAGAAAGGTTCAAGATTGAAATTGCTTATTTTCTGAATAAAAATCATCGAATTAAAATCACTCTCCTAAAGAAGGTGGTAAACTGTCTGCCATGAGCAGTGGTCCAAGCTTCCATTTGTCCCTCAGCCCACTGAGATTCAAGTCACCCCAGCCACCAAAGCTGAGTATACAATCACCAGGATGCCCGAGGAGGTCTCAATCATCCAGAAAACTAAAGCTGGTGATACATTTCTTTAAAATGTTTTAAGGCAAGTTGTATGTTTCTATAAAAATTAATAAAAGGATTGTTGTGGTGTTGGTTACCACTTGTGGGTAATAAACTAACTGCTGCAGTTTTCCTGAAATCCCTTCTTTAAACATGGTACCAGTAAAAGCCAATAAATTGACTGGAAGTCACCTATGCAAAAGAGTTTGCTTTGGGCTTTTTCAGCAGCATAATCCATCCAGAAATTACCAAGTTCTGAGTTGCTAAGACTTTTGACTACTGTAAGAAAAACAGCAACTTTTTTTGCTTATATCAAATTTTTGTAAATCAAAACTAAGACATGAAAAACTTTTTTGGCATTACATTTCCTGTTAATGAAAACTTAGATATTTGAAACAGAACTAGTAATAATAAAATAGCTGCATGATTAATTTATTGGTGTGTATATAAGAATCACTGGTCATGGAAGCAAAGCCAATGGAATAGAAGTCAAGAGGAGTTTCACCACTGACTTGAAATTAGACAAGAATCAGACCCATAATAAATTCACCATAAATATTAAACCAAGCAATTAAACAAACAAAAAACCCCAAACCAACAAACTCAAGAGAAATGTGGTTTGTTTTGTTTTTAGGAATCTACCTAACAGCATGGGTCAAATTTCCCTTCTCCCCAGCAAGTGCAAATTCCACTCAAGTCAGCAGAAGTCACAAGTAGACTCACAGGCAGAATTTTGACAGCCCAAGTTAAAATAAAACCCACTCACAAGCTTTTAACTGTCTCTCATCTACACGTGACAGTGTCTTGCAGGAGCCCTGCTGAGGTCATACCTCTGAGAGCAGTTTGGAGACAATCTCCAGAGGTGCTTGGTGGATGGAGTCGTCCTGCAGCGGGGACGTCAGCGCCATGTCCACCAGCGTCCGGATCTCCTTCAGCACCACCTCCCAGCGGCTGGGGTTACTGAGCACCTTCTTGTACTTGTAAATCTTCTTCTGCAAGAAACAGGAAAGGGCTTCCTATAATGCAACTGCCAAGTGGGCTGCTCTGAATTTTGAGTTTTGCCTTTTCTGGTTGCTGAGAGACTGTACTTAAAACTTTAAAATGGACAAGAAAACCTTGTGCGTCTGAACCGATTTCTTCTGTGGAAGCAATGGGAAACCATGATTCTTTTTATTTTTAAAATATTTTTTTTTAACTCTAGAGCATCTTTATTTTCACCATCTCCTCTTGCAAACACTTTATTCCTTGGGCTAATAACAGATACCTGCTATTGCATTGTTTCTAAAGCTGTAGGTTCTTTTAAAGCGAGGCATTAAGAAAGGGGGAGAGAGAGAGGCCATCAAAACATCACTGCAGAGATACTTTATTCTACATTGCTAATTGGTGAATTTACAGTCAAAATTTAATAAAATCAATTTTATCAAAGCACAAATTTCCAGCAGACCCACAGGCTTTCTTTTCTGTCTTGAAGTACCCTGAAAAGTCATGCTGTCATCCTTCAGGTTGAACAGACACCAACTTGTGAAGTCTCCAAATCTTCCATGCAAGACCATTTCCACTCTCAAGAACAGCATTCCTGACTATGTAACTCCATCTGCCCCAGTCCTCTGCCTTCCCCTCCACTATTGTTGGTCATGCCCAAGCTGTTTCACTGACTGCCCCATGCACAGACCAGCTGGATAAGCAAAGGGCAACTCTTATTCCTCAGCAGCAATGCTGCCACAAACAACTGGAACAGAGGCTGCTTTGTATTATAAATGGTATCCTCTAGAGAAAACCCACCCTCCCAAATTCCCAGAGGTGGCTTGATGGTACTCCAGAAATGCAGGAAAACAATGATGAGTGTTAAAATGCTACTCCTGAAAAAAAAAAAGGAAGAGCTCACTAGAACCAGGAGGGGCTTGCCAAGGTGGGCAGTGTGGAGGGCAGTGCTGGAGGCTCCTCATGGCCCCTGTGCAGGGAAGGAGCTCTGCACTGACAGACCCCACTTGTGTTTCATTCACGTGCCCTTCTACTCCTCTCTGTGTGTGAGCCTGGTGCTCTGTTCAAAGGGATGTCAAGAAGTTTGGACACATCCTCAGGTTTATTTACAGCACAGGCTGGGCACTTCTCTGTTTACGTGAAAACATCGGTGTTTTGCACTAAAAATGGATCTTAACATTCCTCAGCAGCATTTCCGGGAAAATCACAAGAACTGCCCGTGTTGTGTGTGCAGCTTGCAGGTTCAGCTGCACATTTTGGGCTATACATTGGTGCAATAAAGCAGAGGACTTTGCAAAGGGTCGGTCTGCTTTGTTTTGTTCTGGAGCTTTGTGGCTCCAGGGCATTTCCCCCTGCACTCGCCCAGGGCAGCCCCAGCAGGAACCATCTGACCAAGGCTGGCTCTCTGCTTATCAGCCACTTCCTTCCCCCCGTGGAGCAGATCTAATGCTCAACAGCAAACAGTCACCTCTGTACCCTATCCAAAACAAGAGAGAAGAGAACAATGCAGAAAAATACAGACTTCAGATGCCTTGGGTTTGTCAGTGTTGTTAAGAGGGGGGAGAGGAGGGCAGCACTGGGCTGACATGTAAAGGCTGATAAAGCAATCCAATTATCTTTTTAATTAAATTCATGCAAGTACAAAAGCACATTGGCAGTGTAGTTCACACTTCCAGTGCATTTTAAGCCACTGAAAAGCTAAAGGAACATAAAAACGTGCTGCAGACATTATCAAATGTGTCTGGGATTTCAGAACAGAGAAAAAAAAAATCTTTGTTCTTCTGATCTCCTTGGGGCAGAGATGGCCCAGCAGTAATTTTAAGCTACCAGTACTACTTCTACCATCATCAGAGATTTCTTAGACTCTTTAGGAAACTTGAATTATAGAATTTAATTTCTCTTATTCAGGTGGTACCTTTATTTAGGGTCTTTTTGTTAGACCCACTCCAACACTAAATAAAATCTAAACTTCTAAGACAACCAGACAGCTTTTTAACTTGAAGCGAGTCCTTTCAGGCTAATTGAGAACACTAAACCAAGCTGGTTCAACAGATACAATTTCCATGCTGAAATTTATTCCTTGGTCCTGTACTGTGAAGAAATCCAATTCAAAGCAGAATTGAAAGCTGACAAAGAGTGGATATGGGGGGGGATAAGAGCTTGACCACTGGGTTATTGCCTCCTTGCCTGGCCTGGACTGACCCTTTACTTGGGCGAGTTACAACTCGATTTCAGAGCAGCTCCTTCAGCCTCAGGGGCAGCTGCTGGAGGAAACTCTTGCCCAACAGGACGCTGCTCAGACAACTCCACCACAAATATCTTTCTTCCGCTGTCAAATCCATTCTTGCTTGGGGTGAGGAAGGAGCAAGGGAGTTTTCCTTTCCCTTTTAAAGACGTCCATTAAAAGTTAAAATTCTGATGATGCTGACGTACATAAGAGGGAAGACAGTGGGGACTGTGCTCCCTGCCACGCAAGGGAGACCTACCAAAGCTGCTGCTCAGAGCAGGCACACGGGGACTCAAAGGGAGCATCAGGGGACAGGTACCTTTGCAGACACACCGAGCCTGCTGCAAGCACAAAATCCAAACTTATCAGTCTCTGCTTCACGTTTCCAGCACAAAGGATTGCGCTGCACTGACACACTGAGCTGTAATCTGCAGACAACGTTACAGAAGCCTTGAATGATGGTGGGAAAGCAGCAGAAAATAAATAAATAAATAAATGAATAGAGGAACCATCCCCAAGGGGATTGAACTCTGCTATCCTGAACCTTTGCCCATGGTTACGCTGATGTTTTTCTCAGCAGAATGCTTTTCACTGTTGAGCGCCTTGCTGAAAGCCTCAATTAAAGCCTGAAACCTATCAGTGGGTTACAGAAGCAATTTGCTGTGTATCAGCAAGCACTTAGCCAGCACTGAGCCATCTGCTCCTTTCTACCTGCACTGACTCCAGAGCAAGGAGCAACAATCACTCACGAGCTTAAAAACAAAGCTGCCTGGTAAAGACCTGTAGGGGAGAACAGACACGTCAACACGTGCAAGGAGCTCGTCCCCCCTGCATGTAGGTGTAAAAGATGCCTTCAGTTGCTGAAAATATTCACACAACATTTATCATTAATGGCCTGTGCAAGAAAAATACTGGGGGGCAAGGGAGGGATCCAGTTTCACCGGGGCTTCAATAGAAGCAGCAGCTCCTGTGAAAATTTATGTGAGTGAAAATAACACACGCCAACTTGGAATTTGACCCTCCTAGTTACTGACCAGCCAGTACCACACCACCAGTGTCATTCCAAAATCCTTCAATGCTGATTTTAAATGCAAAACCACTGAATTTAATAAGTACCCAGAAGATGCAGCACGAGGAATAAGTGACACTGACAGGGCATCCTTCATTCTCAAATCACTCTAATTAATTAAGTCTTGCAGAAACTCAAAGAGCTAAGTCTCAATCCTCTTTTAGAGGAGAAAGAATTGAAGTCCACATGTGAAAAATTACTTTACCAGAGTGACAAAAATCTATAAGCAGTGTGTTTTACCATCAGTACTCAAAAGCTCCTGAACACTGCTCTGAACAGAGAGTTCAGGAGAGCCTAGGAAACCCTCAGCTTTTTAAAGTAAGATTTTCCTATGTTTTTCTCTCCTATAATGGCCTCATCCTGTAGCCCTTGCTCATACACCACTTTCTTGGACAAGAATGATAATACTGATGTAGTCAACAGCTAAGAAAAATGGACTCTAATGCACAAAATTGGTTAGCATGGAACATTTTCCTTTTTCAGCCCTAGGAAGACCTTTCACATTAGGAGCATTTTAAAACAAGCAGCACACCTGATCCAAAAAGGGAAAAATGAAGTTAGCCTTCTTGATGACAAAATTTCATCCCTGCTTTGCTACTGCTGGACAGGGAACGTTCTGTACTCTTGACAACCTGTCTCCTCATCAGCAAATACTATCTTCATTACATTAAAAAAATTAATGGCCAACCTTAATTCCTAAAGCCTGCTAAATTCTAGCTCTCTTCACCCTTTACCATGCACCAGCCCACAAAGTGGTCACTTCTTTAGGGGAGAAGTTGGAGCCACTGCAGGAGCGGGCGCTGCCTTTGAGGGCTGTGTATATGCCAGCAATTGTTTATTTCTTGCTGAGCAACGAGGGCAGTCCCAGCAAGAGGGAAAAGGTCAAGCTCCCGCACGGAGGTTCCTCCCCAGCTCATTGCGGGGACGGCTGACACGAGCTTGTGTTACACTCTAATGTTGAGGGTGTTTATGTGAAGTGGAGGTGCCTCTTGCTAGATGCAAATGTACAGAGGAAAAAACAAAACAGAGAGAGAGCAAGAGAGAGAGAGAGCAATGGTTTTCCCACTGCAGCAGAACATTTTGTTAAAACGCTGCGTAACAAGGAACAGGAAGAGTTGCTTGTGATGTCCAACACTCACGTTGGCCTGTCCCACAAAGCCCGGGTGCACCGTGTATTCTGAAGCACCACCTGCTGGCATTTTTTTCTATTAAACCCTTATCTTCATGAAAACAAGAGGGCATGGCATCCCCAGGACTCAGCTAGATCCATATTCTGCTTTTAATACTAGCAGGCATCACTTCATGGTATTCTGAAAAATACGTAAGGTTAACTTGTTGCTAGCAGAAGATTCCCTGACAGCTGGAGACGGGTTGGATCCATTGAAAGCCTTTGGAACTAAGTTCCTACCTGCAACATTTACCACTACGAAGAAAAAAGAACAATTTACCTGAAAAGACTAAGTCTATAAAAAGTCCCAATCCTGGCAAAGGGTTGGGCCCAGAATGAGATTATGGAAACTTTTCCAAATCAGGGACTGCAAACTGCTCATGCTGCAATAATTGAACTCTTCATGACCTTCCTAAAGTTCTGTACAGAAAGACTAACGTGCTGCTCTCTAAAACAGATGCAAAACAGCAGCAGCAAACTTTTGCTCTCTACCATGTTTTCAGGTCAAGGCATTTTCTGCATTTTTCGTTCTACCCAGTGCTAAATG